TTGCACTCCAAAAGCATATAAGGAGCAGCATCTTATCCAAAGCCACTAAAAAGGGTTTATAAAATGCTTATTAGGCCTGTACTTACATATGGCTCATTATGTTGGACGATGACTAAAGACCAAGAATAAGGCCTTCTGAGATTCCAAAGAAAAGTGCTCCGCAGAATATATGGAGGTGTTTGTGAGCAGGGTTCCAGAAGAAGACGAACAAATGCTGAATTAAACGCAATATATAAATACGACAATGTCATCAGCTTCATCAAATTTCCACGACTCCACTAGGCTGATCATTAGAATGAACCAGGGAGAGATCTCATTGAAAATTTCGTCGAAGAAAGGTATGGTGCAAGGCCGGTGGGACATTCCAAGCTTCGTTGAGAGGATCGTGTGGCTATGGACACTGAAAACTGCTTGATTTAAGGAATTGGAAGGTAGTGGCACACAATTGAGAGGACTGGCAATCCTTATTGGAAAAGGCTATTACTCATCAAGTGGGTCGTGATGACAGATAAAAATAAGAAGTATTATGCCAAGCCATTGAAGAGGCTTTTTCCACCTGCAACACTGGGATTCACACAACAACACTTAACCATCTTTGCTTTCCCACTCTAGGGGACTAATCATCATTGGATGGTTTTAATTCTTAGAAGAGAAGGGAACTCTGTATGGCATCAGCCTTTGGCAGGTGAGATGCAGCTTCTGGTCTGATTAATCATAAGAAAAACATATTTTCCCAAGCAAAGATCAGAAGGAAATTTTGGCATTGTCGAAAATTTAATGTAGAAAGATGAACTGATGGAAAACTCTGGTCAGATTTATCTGAAGAATTAAAATGCTAATTAACTGTCCTTCAACAAGAATAATAAAATTTACTAAAACAGATGAAAAATAGTAATAGTGGATAAAGTGAATGTGCTAAAATGTATGAAAATATACAATAACATTTACAAGAATTGGAGGCAAATGTTTCTCAACAATAATAATTATCAATAAACAAAGTTACTAAAAAAGAAACAATAAAAAAAATGAAAGAGATGTCAGAAGACATAACATAATTATAGTGTTGAAACAAGAAGTTATACTTATTTTTCAACAAATGAAAAATAAAAATTAACGTTTTTCTAATTTCAAAGAGAAAAAGATAGAGATGTTTGCAAACTAAGGAGTAATAATAATAATAATAATGCAAAATATGGAACAATAAAATAAAATGAAAAAATGGAACAGCTTCATTCCATACAAAAAAATGTTCCTTATAGAAAATAAGAAGCTGCTGCTGTGGCCAATGAAAATAATGAGAATCCTGCCAGTAAAAAAATGAACGGCTAACAGAAGAATTAGAACCAGGCTTAGAAATCATAAGAACTCTTATCAATGACTGAGCTACATTGTCATAAAAATCTTTCCACAATACTTTGCTCTGTGGGTTTTGGGGATAAATAAATCATAAAAACTTTTGTTGTAAAGCATAATAAATAACACGAGACTTCGTGTTCTTTATCAAAAGAAAAATTTGTTTAGAACTATTAATCTAGATGAAAATACATATTGTTCTAAGGATAAAACCAAGAATAACATTGAAAACTCGGATTCCTTGATGTATTTCTTGTATAGATGAGTGGATGTAAAGGCAACAAAATATGCAACCATTCCTGGCACAGCCAATGGGAAGGAATTTTATATAAAATACAAAAAATTAGGACAGTGTTGTCTTCTAACACCATTTAAGGTTTACATGAACTTATAGGCAATGATACTCCTTTAAAATTACACTATGAAAAACAATATAATTCCCTTAAAATATGAGACACAGAGATACCAATTTTAATAACTGAAGTAAATAGATAAAAGGGAAATATAAATACACATAATAATTATCACATTTTTAAAAATTTATTTATTTATCTAAACAAATAATCAAGTATAAGTAATTTAAAAATTAGGCATTAATCATATCATATTACATCATCGAATATAATTTCTCTCTCTAGGAATGTATAAATTGAATAATACCAATCTTTTAATAAGGATGACAAATTATTCAGTCCCTTCACAATTTTAATTTCTATCAAACTAAAAAATCAAATATTAATTTAATCCCATATACATGAGAGAAAGCATTACAAATCAATTAAAGTACAAATAGTGGTAACCATCTTAAATTATAAATTAAGTAAAGATGCTTGGTAATAAAACTGAGACATATTTTACAAATATATAGCTACATCAACAAATAATAAATTACAGCTTTTCAAATTAATATTAAAAAAAAAAAAAGATATTGACGTTTATGTAATGGTACATATTTGATAATGCCATGAGCTACCACTAGAGAGGTGGAAGCACTATCACACTTCATAAATCTCATCATTATTTGCATGTGAGCACAATTTCAGTCATAGTACTATTCAAAATTTAATTTAGATACCTCCTCTGTTTACAAAGCTTTTCCAATTTATAGAATTTAAAACCATAAAATCTTTCAGAATGGAATGAAAGAATACTAATATAATAATAACCACATTACATGGCAAATTTAAACAAGAATTAGCTATTTGAACATTAGTCAACTTAAATATTCTAAACGATATACATGTACTAATGTTCACTTAATTACAAAATTTTACACATAAAGTGTAGATCATTTAATTAAATATAACAGAGAAGAAACCTGCTAACTCAGATTTTTATCATTTCAACTAAAACAAATTTAGCTCTAAAACAAACTAAGAGAATCATAAAACCCATTATAAGCCAGCTTTGATTCACAAGTAAAATGTTTAAAAAAATCTGATTAGTAGTAACAGAACCTAGAATAGAATATTGTCCAGTTTATCAGGGGATGGTCAAGAAAATTGGAAACCTTAAGCAGTAAAATTTTCAGAGTCTCTAGAAAAACCCAGACAGGAGTTCAACTTTGAAGCCAAAAATTTAACATTTTGTTTTTTGCCTATTTTCTGAAATATTTTTAAACCTTGTATGTCAATTCTAAAATATCATAAGCCTCAAATGGCTCTTTAGCCTGCCCAAGTCTATTGTAGTGTTCCAAGGTTTGCCCTTCATTTCTATCTTAGATTTTAAGGTGTTTGTTAGGTTTCTTTCTTATAAACTAACTATTTCAATGCAACTTGAACTTCTGAAACTAAAATACCCATCATCTACTGAGGTAGCTGGTTTTTCCCACATAGTCTTCGAATATTTAGAAACACATAAATACATTGTTTCATAGTAACACTGGTACAACCATTTATTTATTCACTTATTTTTTTAATAGGTTTCATACAAAGATGTGATAGGTATATGCATACACTTCTTGCAAGTGCATAAAAGATTTTAGGTTAAAGAAAGGAAGATTTTAGCTAATGGTTCTTAATAAAAATTTAAGCTGTACTCATTATATAAAAAAAAAAAAATGAAATATCAATATCCAAAGTTTGGTACTTGTATAATAGCGGGTAGCGTCAAAACCACCCTTGTTATCTATCATTTCACATAAACTCCCTTATCTCCTTTAACCTAAGTTATTCCCTTGTTTATTTATTGTTTCTTGTGTTAGCTGTGAGTTAGTGTTATTTAATTATGGATATTGTCACATTGTGGGAATTGCCATCTTCAGAAGAAGAGGCTAACAAATATTTTTAAGACGCCGGGATATTTGCAAAGGTGAAATATTGTGATGAAGGTCATCAAGTGAAGTTCGACAGAAACATTAAATGGAGATGCTTTTGAAGTTGCAACAAAGCCGTTTCTATAAGGAAAGGAATGTGGTTAGAGGGGTCGAGGATTTCTTTTTTAATGACTTTAAAATTCATTTATGGGTAGTTTTATAATTTAACAACAATACAGTGAGGGAAAGAGCAGCTCACACTATCCCAGGCAACTATCGTAACATGGAACAAATATTTAAGAGAAGTTTGTGCCCATAACATGTTATACAGGTCAAATAAAAAAAAATAAAAAAATTGTGGGCAGGGTGGCCGAATGGACTAACGAGTGTGCACTGCACCACCGTTGCCCGGCAACCTGATACATAAGACTTTGATAAAAAAAAATAGTCACAAGTTCGCGTCCCGGTGCCCGGAGGAGTTTTTAAATCCCCGCCCACACTCCCTGGCCCGGGAAAACCCCTGTATAGCCTTAAAGGCGAGGAAGGGGAGGACAAAAAAAATAAAAAATAAAATAAAAAATGTCAAATAAAAAAATTTGGAGGGCCTGGCAAAGTCGTTGAAGTAGACGAGAGTCTTTTTTCAAAAAGAAAAAATCATGTAGGGAGAGTCCTACCTGAGCAATGGATGTTTGGCGGAGTTTGCTGAGAAACAGACGAGTGTTTTATTGTCAAAATAAACGATAGGAAAGCAACAACTATATTAGAAGCCATTAAAAACAATATTCAAGAGGGAAGCATCATTTATTCCGACTGTTGGAAAGGATACAACACCAAACAATTCAATGAAGCTAAGTACAATCATTTTCAGGTGAATCACAGGAATAATTTTGTTGATCCATCAAGTGGGGTCAATACTCAACACATTGAACGATTATGGGGCTCAGCTAAGTGGAGAAATAAAAAACATGGAGGAACTGCCAGACAACACCTCGATTCCTATTTATGTGAGTTTTTGTGGCAGCGGGCTCACAGAGAACAGGATCTCTTTCTCGCTATTTTAAATACCATAAAACTATTTTCCCTACCACAATAAATCAAATTAAAATAAAAATTTTCATATTTTGTTATATCGTTTCTTTTATATGTACATATGCTGTTTAAGTGTATTTTTATTGTTTTATCTATTTTTGTCTGTTTTATGCCTATTTTTATTATTTCATTTATTATGATATATATGTTGCAATGTTTTCGTAATGTTTTTTAATTATATATTTGTAATATTTTGGTCTATTTAATGTATACGTTGTAAAATAAAAGTATTTTTTTATTATTACATTTATCTTTGTTCATAATTTCAATAATATAAATAGAATACAATAAATATAAATATGAGGAAAAGAAAAGATATAATAATATGAATATAATACAATAAATATGAATAGGATGATATTATCACTGGCTTATCACAGTTATCAGTGTTAAGGTTATAAACATTGGCAGATAGCATTCAGATGCTACCTGCTGTTATACAAGTACCAAAGTTTAATAAACACTTCTCAGCCATCTTTCATTTAAATTTTCTTAATTAGCTCATCATACATTACAGCTTAATTAAAAAATAATAATATTGTATATAAATACACAGCCCCATGGTTTTTTACATTACTGTCATACCAGGAATGTTTGAAAGAAATACTGATGTTAATAATACATATTAAACAAAACAAAAAAAGATAAGAAACTTAACACTTTACCTAAAATAAAAACAAGAATTTTTTTTTTTAATCAATACGTATCCCTTTTAGTGAATCTAATATTTTAAATGCTAATTATACTTTCCAATACATAATAAATGGATAAATGTATTGTAAGATAAATATAACTGAATAAAGAGATTAAAATATTTAAAATTTCATCCAAGTTCTTTAAATTAAACTCTCTTCTGATAGCAAAAAGTTATCGGTATGGGTGGTAATTGATAAGACTAGATTGAATACCATAAAAAAGATCCTTTTTAATCTTTCTTTTCATGTGAATAATCTGAAAAAAATATATACAATAAGTTATTACATAAAATTTATTGAGTGAGTTTTAATTTATTATGTTAAAATGTTAGTACCTCCTTCTTCTTCTTCCTCATCAGCATCAAGAATATCAGCACAGCAAATGGAATAACATATAAGTGACAGAAATCCCATTGGAAGTCCAAATAGGACTGCAGTAAGAACAGGATTACCACGCCACATTTCACTTAATGAAGTCCGAGCTTCAAAATAAGTTCGATAAAGTTTAACTGGTAGTGAATTTCCTCCATAACTCTACAAAGAGTTTTTAATTTATTTTAGTGGTTATTTAAATTAATTCAAAGTTATCTTAATGTGAGTTTACAATGAAATGTAGCCTATATAATTGTTAGCAAAATTTTAATAACATTGTAATCAAGATATTGATGTATAATTTTTACACTTTTCAATAACAAAATTTTAAAAATATTTTTATAAAATGGTAATGACATTCCATAGGACGATTTGAATAATAAATAACAAAATGTTATAAGCAAAGTTATTAACATGTTATAAACTTCAATGCTTGTATTAACACAAATTAATAACACCCTGTCACTAACATTTTTTGATCTAGACAAATCTGAGAGGGATCCTAAAATGTATGCTATTGCCAATGTTATTCAAAATAATATTAACTTGTAAATGAAAAAAAAAAGTTAAATGTTACTGAAAAAGTAAATATAATAAAAAAGTAGCAGGTTAAAAACAAAAATGATATTAACATTTTCAACGAATCAGTGCAAAAGAAAATCAAATGTTAGTGACATTTTTCTGAGAATTTGTTTAGAGAAATGTTATAACATATAAGTCGAAGTTATCTCACGTGCAAAACCATCTATAGATTTAACATTTTTTTAAACATAAATTTAAATAAAGTTTTTTTTGTTTTGAATTATTCTCATGATTAGATCTAGTATATTTTAGATATACATTTTTTTGATATTGTCAGAAAAAAGAAAATTCCATTTGACTTTTTGAGGTCAAATAATTCCACCTGCATGCATGCCATTCATATCTTACAATAAGATGGGAGCAGTACAGGCCCTTACACGAATCACTTAGTTTTTTTTTTTTTTTAATTTACAAATTAACTTCTTTGGTAAACAAAATCACCAACTGAAATCATTGGGAATATAAAACAAAACAAAAGATGAATGCTATCCAAAAAACAGACCAGAAACATTAAGGTTCTCAAGAACTTGAAACAAAAAAATCTGAGTTTACAAACATGTTGAAGAGAGCAATGTCATTTTCCTTCTCTTTGACCATATCATCTGCCTTTGATAGTATGAGATAGCCCAATATACTCCAGCAGCAGAAAAATGATGCCCTCATACAAAGCTACCGACAGGTTTATGAATATCGGAAGCAGCTATTACAATGTAGAAGCTTTCATAGCAGGGATGTCTTCAGGGAACAGTCCTTAGTCCAAACCTATAGAAGCTGGTTTTTTGTGAGTTACTAGGAGTGATAGAATATGACAGGTTCCTGTCTCTGCCAATGCAGAGGACCTACCTGCTACAGAGACACTCACCAGCAGGGCTGGGGTCAAATCAGCAATAGAACAATCCACCAACCGGGTGTGAGCGAAGAAGATGAGGATGACTGCAAAGAAGATACAATCCATTCTCTTGAAGGACACAACCAATAGAGCACATCATATCAGTATGGATATGGAGGATCTAAGAATACACCCGAGTGAGATGGTAACTTACCTCGGTGTGATACTTTACCTTACTACATAAGAGACAGAAGACCAATAGTGTTAAAATATCATGTCAGGTGCTGGTTCGAATCTAGTCTGGAGAAGTTGAAATTTTGTTTCAGAATTTCACAGAATGGGTTTCTAACTTCTCATTCTGGTTAAAATATATTGGCTATGCTTGTGGGAATGGCCAATTTGGAGAGGAGAGAGTAATAGGGAAAAAAAATAAGTTAAGTAGAATTTAATTTAAAAAATAACTCTCTTTATCCAACCAATACCTTCAAAAATCAGTAAGATTCCACTATAAGGACGATCAGGTAACTGAGATAAAACATGATATAACATTGCGGCTAATATATTGAAATGGTAGATTTAGATTTATTTAGACAATTGAAAATAAGCAACATTAATAAAATTATATTAAAAGTACTTACAGGTGCTGTCTGATTGACAATTGAATCAAGAAACATATGCACAACTTCAGGGGTGAGATAATGAGGTTCATCATCTGGAAAGTGATGATGATTTGTAGTTGAGTTAACCACAAGCAGATAAGGCAGAGGTAGCTCAGTCATAGCAATACTGTTTGCGAGATCTGGTGATGCAATCCAGCCAAATTGAAACCATCTTTGGTAACAAATAAAATAAGGCTCAAACATAAAATTATATTTTACTAATTATAATAGGTATACAATTACTTTAAAGAATTATATGAAGTAGATTAATTAAGTGTATATTATATATACTACTATAGTTAGTATCCTTTATTATACCTTGAGTGAAGTGCCAATTTTGAAATTAAGCTAACAAAATTTAATTTTAATTAATTAAATGTAACAGAAATGAAAATAACTTAGCCAGAAAAGTGAATTAGGCGTGCTGGATGGAACGAAAACCAATCCCATCACAAACACTTAGATCTAAACTACTCATTTTAGTGAATTTCTGAAAACTTTCATGCATCAATGAATTTTCTGTTTGGTTTGACATAGTTCTGAGAGCCAGATATGGATCAGCTACTCTGAGTACCGAGTACCAAGTATTTTACTCAAATTGTATCACTATTTGGAATTCAATCACTACTTCAGTTAATCGTTTGACATCAACTGAAGTAGTAATTAAATTCTTTGGTACTAAAAAAAAAGACCAATATTTAATAAAATACTTAGTACTCCGTACTCAGAGTAGCATTTGGCCATCTCTGATATAAATGAGACCTAAGATTAATTTCTTTTTTTTCCGGTTATCTGTTTCTTATCGAGTATAATTTCCTAAATCTCTGTATAGTGTTTTTGGTATTGATGTAAAATACTTAAGTCAGAATAGATGTATAAAACAACCAGAAATAAATACATGCAAATAAATGAACTTGTAATAAATATAATAACCTGAAATAAAATTGCTCAGAGGTCAGAGGTAATTCAACTGTTGTTAAGTGAAATTTTGTTGATTTGGATTTTTTATTGTATTAGCATTATTCGGGATGTGTTGACCAAGTTTAAATATCTTTAAAATATACTAAGCTAGAAAAGTAATAAAATGTTCAACAGTTTAAATATAAAAGATTAATCACTATCCACAACAACCCTTAAAATTCAATCCGAAATTATCGTTTGCTCTCTTATAAAACTTTGAAAAATGAGTTTACCTTTTAAATATAGATCTTAACATAACTTAAAATTACCTGTGAAACTTCTCTCTGTGATTAATAATGACTGATTTAATCATGTTCCTGAACCTGAAACAAAAAATAAAAATAATTTTTAAGTAATAAAGAAAAACTTTTAAAATTGTATCATCACAGTTAAATACTTACGCTATCATCTCTTCTGGTACTTCTTCAAGTTTATTTTCAACAACAACAGCCAGAACAAGATATTTTTTAGTTTGCATGAACTAAAACAACACAAATGGAGTGACAAATATTTTTTTCATATTAAATTTATATCAATTAAATTTACATAAAATATTTATTGTCTATAACATATTCGTGTTTGATGAGTTTTTTTTATTAACAAGTAATTAAATAAGTGCCTAATTACCAAAATCAAAATGCACCGCTACTAATCACATTAGTTATGTTTTATAAAATGAATAATTATTGATTATAGTTAACTAAAGTCAACAATTTGATTAACAAAATATTGTAAAAGTAAATGAGATATGCAAGCCAGAAAATGTAAAATCCGGGGAAAATTACAGGCTACCTTCTTCCACACTTTGTTGAATCTGAAAAGAATAGTCAATGAATACCCTTAAAAGAGAGAAAAACAAAGACCAGGCAACAGTAAAATGACTTGAATCAAACCAATTGAATTTATATTTACATATATAAGCTATGTGAATGAATGTAAATATAATTTTTTTAGGTATATTCAATATATTATCTTGCTAGTATTAAGATAGAAACATGGAATGCAAATTGGTATAACATGATTTTTAAAGTAAAAAACCTTTCTCACACACCTATGTTTACAATTGCAAAGTATGTTTATTTGGTAGCCATATGCCCCGGAATCTACTTCCTTATCTCATGTAACCTCTTCTTATCTCTCGACTCGGCTTAGTTATTTACTTGTGCTTCTTATACAGGTTAGCTAAAAAAATTGGAGAATCTAGAAAAGTGATTGAAATAGACGAAAGTCTTTTTTCTAAAAAAAAAACATGTAGGGAAAGTGCTCTCTGAACATTAGATGTTTGGCAGTTTGTCGAGAAACAGATGAGTGCTTCATGGTAAAAATAAAAGCAACAACTATCTTAGAATGTATTAAAAATGATATACAAGAGAGAACCACTATATACTCTGACTGTTGGAAGAGATATAACACCCAATAACTACATGAAACAAACTACAACCATTTCCAGGTGAATCACCATCAAAATTTTGTCGATCCTTCAAGTGGGGTCCATACTCATCACATAGAATGATTATGAGAATCAGCTAATTGGAGCAATAAAAAACATCAAGGAACTACAAGGCAACACCTGGATTCATATTTATGTGAATTTTTGTGGTGGCAGGTCCACAGAGAAGAGGATCTGTTCCTCACTATTTTAAACTATTTTGTCTCCCGAAATAAATTTTAAAAAATGTTTTGATATTATTACATTTCTTTTTGTCTATTTCAATTTCCACAAATATAAATAAGGTAGGGATTATCAGTGTTGAGGTTATAAACAATGACAGATAGCAGTCTGTGGCGACTCACAAGTACCATTTACTTTTTAAAGTTTATCTACATTTCAAGTCTAAAATTGCATATGATATTTTAACAAATACCTGATGTATATTTCCTCTTGTGATCTTAACAAATGTGCCAAACCGTTCAGTGTTGACCCATTTGGTTAGGGTTACATTTAATTGTTCTGTTTCAGTTTCTGTAACTATTAACATTATCATAAAAACACGAAAAATTGCTTAACAAATTACCCAGTGCCAAATGATTTGTTTTTATTTACCATCAGGAAGAAAATAAACATTATTTTCCTTGTAAACAAATACAGAGGGTCCTTTCTCATCTTTAAGATGCTGAAATTAAGAAAAAATATTAGTACCTATTAAATCACAACCAAACAATATGATTAATAGTAAGTACAAATCCATTATTTAGAATACAGAAAGGACAAATCCAATATATTTAATACTTAAATAAATAAAGTTAAAATAAGAACCAGATGTATGTCTACATGCACAAGGGTATATTATTAGTTGTTTTTTAAAATAATGTTTTATATAAATAATGAAAAAAATATATAAAGGCTATTTTATAACTAATTTTTACTTTGTCATTAATTGATCATAAATTATAAACTAATCTTTAAATTAAAAAAAAATTTACAACTACAATAGAGTCTTGGATTCAGTTTTTTTGTAAGAAAGAACTCTTTCATGGCTAACTGCCAGGCTTTCCTCATTAATTAATTATATAAGAGTACCTACTTCATAGATGGTAGTGCCTTAGGTGAGTCTCAGGGTTGATACACAGTTGATGTAACAGAATAAATAAATACCTGCACAGCCGGACTTGAACTCTGGACATTTAGCAAAGGAAGTCAGTGCGTTACCTAAGTTAACCCATTCCATAATCTATACAAAGAAATGTCCTTTACCTTACTAATACTTTAATGAATAAGGTTATTTTCCAGAAGATTAAGAACTTATTTATCTTGTAGTGCCTTATACCACTCTCTGATGAAGACCTACAAAGTGGGTCGAAACGTCGGCGTAAACAATAAAACACCATTTTAATATACAATATTTATTTGACCGCTTCGCCTGAACAACTCCTTCTCATAAAGAACTTAAGTTTATAAATTGGTTGTCAATACTATAAAATTATCATTTAAATATTTAGTAGAAAAATAGCAGAAGAAGAAACTACCTTCTTTGTGAGTTCAGCAGATAGCGAATAAAAGAAACTATATGGTTGAAATCTTTCAGCTACGTCATAGTAGAATTCCTAAAATTGAAAGATCTTATCAAGAAAATGAAGTATTAAGTAATATTCAGACATATAATTAATTAAATTATAATTCTTAAAAAAAGTACTACTTCACAAGTGTTGCTCCACTGGGATGTGTGAATCCTAGATCATGACCACACTATGGATGGTATCTCTCTCTATATAAATCATGATTTACAATTTTCCCAAACTCTCATCTGGTTTAATTTAAATTGGGATTTAATTACATTCCACTTACACTCACTAAAAAAAAAAAAAAAAAACAAGTCCCAAACAGGTCCTTTTCAGTTGAGGTCAGGATCCTACCAGAGTTTAGTTACCTCCCTCTACTTTCGCTCATTTTTGAGATTTCATCTACAGTATGATCATGATTTCTTGTGACCACCTATCATGTTTAAGGAACAGATGTGAAGTAAACCAGAAAAAAAATTACCCAAAGTGTTCCTTCATATGGGCCAGTATAACAAAAAAATATGTTATCAGATGATTTCAAGGCATCAAGGCTCTCCTGGCGTGTTATTTGCTGTACAGGAGGACCACTTAATCGAAGAGCAAAATTTATGATTTCATCCTTGGTTCTATCGCCTTGAAAGGTGAATTCTTTAATATCTCCTTTTAGACTAAATCAAATGATAAATTAATCAACAATATATGTCTGAAAAATGTAAAATTACATCAAATCAACTTACAACATAATTGTTGGAAAACCAGATATGCTGAAAGTTGAAGACATGGAAGTGTACTTGGTGCAGTCAATTCTTCCCACTCTGATATTAGTATTGTATAATGCTTGGGCAACATGAGCCCAAATTGGCTCTAAACGCTTACAATGTGCACACCATGGAGCATAAAACTACGATAATAAATGCTTGTATTAGAACTAAATAGGTAACATACTAAATTCAACATGTAAGATCTTCAAAATTTAATAGTCACACTAACCATCACTAACCAATGTCCATCCTTCCTGATTTCTAAGAAACTACAACCAAACAAAATTATTTACATCAAAACTTCTACTAAGTTATTTATCAGACTATAGTAATTAATAGCTTACCGATCACTTAATTCTAATACCCGGGAAGCACAAGATAAATTAAAGAAAATACATAGTCCTGAAATAAAATGAAGAATATTCAGTTTTTAGGCTTTTGAGTTAAAAATAATTGTTATGACATTTTAATTTTCTTACCTAATAATAAGAAACTAATTGACGTCATCTTTGGTAAGTGATTAAAACTAATAAAATTAAATTAAACATAAATACTACATAATACTTCAACTAGCGACGAAAATCAAAGGGCAAGTTGCTAAACTAAGCACTGAGCACATCGATGACACAGAAATCTAATCAGTTTTAACTTTCTATCTCTGATTTTTAAATACAATTTAATACCTAGCTGTTTCCTAATTTTTTCTCTTTTTCATGTGCTTTGTTACCTTCCGGGAGTATCAAGATAAATCCAGCAAGTCGTCCCTAAACCCAATGTAACTGGCTGTCCATTGCTACTGTATTCAGTCGATCATTGGACTCCATCAATGAAAATAGTGTTGAATTTAGAAACCGCTGTTGGTGTGTTAAGATCAATACTGATTAACCTGGCCCCACACTACAGGCAAACCGAGGCAAATTTAGATCATTTTGATGGAAATTTGCCTGAGTTTGCTAGCGCCAGTGTCGTAGGTAACAAAGGAAAGTGCGAGAGTGGGAGAGGGTGGTGGGGATATTTTGACTAGGGATGGGTTGATACTAAAATTTTTGTATCTAGATACAACTGATACGGGTACTTTTTTGTATCTGATACTTTTATCTGATACAAATGGGTCAGTAGTTGGTCATGACCTTCCTACTACTTTTTATCTGATACTAGTATCAGATATTTTTATCTGATACTGGCATCAGATACTTTTATCTGATATTTGTATCGGATATTTTTATCTGATATTTGTATCAGATATTTTTATCTGATACCCGCATCGGATACTTTTATCTGATATTTTTATCTGATACCTGGACTAGATACCCAGAGGTATGCATGCTGTCGCTTGGTATCTAGTCTAGTCTTGGACTTATTAGTTAATATATAATAGTTCTAATGACTTTATAGTTATGTCAGGTACTATGAAGATATTCACACAGTTTTTAAAACAAAATGTGATTCATATTAGACAAAAGAATGGAATATATTAAATAAAATATAACAAATTCATGCAGAGAAAAAATTTTCCTGATACAACGTTCTTAAGAATTTTGAAAACAATTGAAAAAATTCTTAATAGGTACGTTTAACATACTCACACACACATATATATTTTTTATTTTCACTGATCAATCTACATCTTGGGATTTAGATTATATAGGACTTGTATAATGTTTACAATACTATTAAATTACAATACTTTGAACATATTAAATTACATATGTAAATCATTTAAAGTAAATATTAATCCACTCTTTTATTATTTTTTTTTTCATTAATACAATGGTATGACAACAAAAGTAATTTGTCCTTTCATTTCAAATTTCAGTTAAAATTCCATAGTTTATTGTTTTTAGTAACTATCTTGCTGTATTGGGCCTTATTGCTCATATTATGTCTTTAATATATCAGTATAGTTATGTAAATCCTTCTGTTATTACTTATTTTTTAGTTTTTTTTTATTGTAATATGCATTTTGGCCAGATGTTATGTTAATTTTTATGTACAATATTGTTATTCTCAAGGGACTTTGTCCCAGAATAAAGGTGATTATTCTATTCTATTCTATATACATATTTATTTTTTCTGTTTGTATTACAGACCATGTAGATCTTTTGCCACCTTAACAAGTATGCTCAATCTCTGCCTGTCTTGGGCTATTTTTTGCCATTTATCTGCACGCAGCTCTATTGTATCTTTGTTGATTCTATCTATCCATCTGCTTTTTGGCCTTCGACGTGGTCTTTTGCCTACTATAATAAAAATAGCCCAAGACAGGTAGAGATTGAGCATACTTGTTAAGGTGGCAAAAGATCTACATCGTCTGTAATGCAAACAGAAAAAATAAATATATATATAGAATAGAATAGAATAGAAGAATCACCTTTATTCTGGGACAAAGTCCCTTGAGAATAACAATATTGTACATAAAAATTAACATAACATCTGGCCAAAATGCATATTACAATAAAAAAAAACTAAAAAATAAGTAATAACAGAAGGATTTACATAACTATACTGATATATTAAAGACATAATATGAGCAATGAGGTCCCAATACAGCAAGATAGTTACTAAACAACAATGAACTATGGAATTTTAACTGAAATTTGAAATGAACGACAAATTACTTTTGTTGTCATAATATTGTATTAATGAAAAAAATAATAATAAAAGAGTGGATAAATATTTACATATTACATATTAAATGATTTACATATGTAATTTAATATGTTCAAAGAATACAATAATAGTATTGTAAACATTATACAAGTCCTATATAATCTAAATCCCAAGATGTAGATTGATCGGTGAAAATAAAAGAAATATATGTGTGTGTGAGTATGTTAAACTTAGCTATCGTATAGTGAATATCTTCATAGTACCTGACATAACTATAAAGTCATTAGAACTATTATATTTAAAAATGGTGTAAAATATTTATTACAGGGACAAATTTAATAATAAAGGAATAAAATATATATAGGTACATATTTAATGTATGTTTTATTAGGTATCAAATAGGTATTAAAATATCAAACCCGATCAATAATCAATTACAGTTGGATTAAAATATCTGATACAATTATTGAGATATCAAGCCCAAGTGCCAGTATGCATACCGCTGGGTATCTAGTCCAGGTATCAGATAAAAATATCAGATAAAAGTATCCAATGCGAGTATTAGATAAAAATATCTGATACAAATATCAGATAATGGAAAGAAATAGCCCAAGAGAGGTAGAGATTGAGCATACTTGTTAAGGTGGCAAAAGATCTACATGGTCTGTAATACAAACAGAAAAAATATATATATATAAATGATGTGTGTGTGTGTGTGTATGTTAAACTTAACTATAAAGAATTTTTTTAATTGTTACAAAATTCTTAAGAACGTTGTATTAGGAAAATATTTCCTCTGCAAGAATTTGTTATATTTTTATTTAATATATTCCATTCTTTTGTCAAATATGAAGCATATTTTGTTTAAAAAATTGTGTAAATATTTTCTTAGTACCTGACATAACTATAGAGTCATTAGAACTATTATATATTAACTAAAAAGCCCAAGCGCCAGTATGCATACCGCTGGGTATCTAGTCCACATATCAGATAAAAATATCAGATAAAAGTATCCGATGCGGGTATCAGATAAAAATATCTGATACAAATATCAGATAAAAATATCCTATACAAATATCAGATAAAAATATCTGATACAAATATCAGATAAAAGTATCTGATACTAGTATCAGATAAAAATATCCGATAGCAGTATCAGATAAAAATATCTGAAATTAACATTACATAAAAAACAAAAAAATTAGCGTGAATATATTTATCTACAAATAAATATTTAATTAAATTAAACTAAATGAATAGATAGTTCTAAAAAAATTGTGCACAACTAAAATTATAACTAAACATTTCTCTTATATCAATGTGGCATGTCTGGACAACCATTTTGTATCCATGTGAGCATCAGATACTTTTGTATCAGATACTTTTTGGTTGTATCTACTGGTTGTATCAGATACTTTTTTAGTATCAGATAAAAGTATCTGATACATACAATCCGACCCATCCCTAATTTTGACCTGCTTTGTTTGAGCTTGCAAGTTTGTTGCATATCCATCCGGAATGGAAAACTTACGCAAAATCCAAGGAAGTTTTGCATTATGGGCCGTTGCACTGCGCTAGTGATGCATTGAATAGCCACTGTGATTGGCTGAAACAGAAACTTCCATTTTCCGCTTTTTTTTGCAATATCCGAAATAAAAAAAAAATAGTGCGCACAACACACGACTTTCACTTACCTTTCTACTTCGAATAGAAATTATTTTCTGGAAATGTTGAGCAATTATAAAATTTTTGAAGTGCACTTTTAACGGGTCTATAGCTTAAAGTTTAGAGCTAACAAATCATTAGTATCACTAAAATAACAGAAACCCTATTAATTATATCAACGGTAGATAATAAAAACCTTCCTACCCCATCTTTTTTCGTAAACCACATGACTCCGGTCTCTGAGCAATATATATATGTCTTGAGAGATTTTAAAGTATATCTCTATATTCAACCTATAAATGATTATGGATTCTACGCCTATTGGTTATTAAACTGTTATTTTCCATTGTAAAGTTTACTACAAAGAAATTAGGAGATTTTCATTGCTTGTCATAGATAGCTCAAAAGTTTTTACACTAATTTAACAAAGTGAAAATTCATCAAGTTATTCACTAATCTAATTTTTTTAAATGTTATACGGCGATCAACGGACGTTGATACCTAATTATTTAAATATAATATCAGATTTAGAATTATTAAACTACAGTAAATGTATTTAAGGTTATAAACATAGGCTTTATACATCCATGAAATATTTTTATATTTCAATTCTTTCACATTAGTACTATGAAATAGTTTTTTCATTAATAACATTGCGTTGATTAGGTGAGTTTTAAATACTTTTTTTCAAACTTAAAAACAGTTTAAATTTAGTTAGTAAATTTCATTTATTTAATTTCCTTGAAAAATTGTGATTTCCGTTAAATAATATTAGTTTACACCAATTATTATTTATAATAATTTCTCTCCATTACTTTCTATATATCATATTGTTTTTTTCTAAAATCATCTGCTTTCCAACCATATAACTTCTGACAAGTATTTCCGGAAATTAATTTTCATCCTCAATACACATTTTCCCTTTTTTCTCCATTTTTTAATTATCAAATTCTTTCAAAAGTTATATTTAGCATTTTTTTGTAATTCTTAATAATGAGATTTGGTTAATTATTTAAAATTAATGAAATTAAAGGTACTTTAGAGGAAGACATGTTGAACATTTAGGCATTTAAGCTATGTAAAGTGACATTAATGGGGATAAGACCTCAATGATATTAAAGACCACTTAATTATACAATGATACATGAGTTTAATAAAAATCTTTTCAAAATCAATATTTTCTGTGCAACCAACTTTCTGTCTTTCAGTAATAACAAACAAATCATAATAAACTAGAAAAATTAAATGAAGATATTATTTACCATTAAATGAATTATGGAAGTTTGTTAGCGGAAGGGTTCATATAAATAAAATTAAATAAGATACAATGAAATATAACATATTATATCTTTTAACATTTTTACATAATATATTTTAAATATCAAAACTTTTAATCCATTACTTGTTATTGCCATTTTTCATTACTTACATATATTTATTTGATTTATTATAATATTTCCATATATTTGATATTTTTTACTTATCATCTTTTTGTGTGTCAGGTATATATATATAACCTTTCGTACTTATTCATTACCTTTTATTATCATAAACTAAGCTTTTGTTAATTCATCTAATAACATTTTATTATTCATATCTAATTATTCCATTTTATATTTCTTCTTCATTTAATACTACTCTTCATTGTTTATTTCCGTTTTATAGTTGAATTGAAATACTTTATAAAACCAATTATGTCAAGTTCCACTTTTGGTAAAATTATTTCAGCCAACAATTTGCCCTGACATACTCCTATCTACCTTAATAAATAAGTATAATCACTGAAGTTTTCATTTTTTAGCTAGAATCTGCATTTACACAAAAAAAAACATTAAGCAAAAAGTTTTTTTTTATGAAGGGGAGGACTTACAGAACCCTACATGTTTTTGTATTGAAAACTCAGAGTTGAAATTTTTAATGATCCCAATACTTCGCATTACATTAAAATAAAATAATATCCATTTTCACATATTTAGTCAATATAAAAAAAAAAGTTCAAAATTTATTTATTTTTTAACCTATGCTTGTTCTACATTTAGCGAATTGAAAACAAGTAGTCATTATTTTTTTTAAATGATCAGTTTCTTTTTGAGTGCCCATATTTGTATCGGTCTGTCAACTAATTTTACATTTCACAGACATAAGTGTTAATCTATATCTGTTTTTTTTTTCTTTCTATATCTTCAATTCAAATGAAACCGAACAATTCACAAAATTACTAACCTAGACTCTAATTAAGTTGCATTAATAACATTTTAAGCACATATTGAAACACCATAATACAATATTGTGGTTTAATATACTATATTTGTAATTAAATGACTGTATCATGGTTAGGAACTAACATCATACAGTGCCAATTTTGATGCCTACTTCAATAAATAATCAACCATTACTTTCTTTTACTGACTACAACAAATATCATTATTTTTAGTGGTAAATTTCCAACATTTTTGGGTTTTTACATTGTATCACTTTGGAGATATTTAACCTAAGCCTAAAAAGGTTATATTTGTATAAAACATTGTCTGATTAAAATAACAATTAAGTCTAAGAGTGGAAATTTTAACCACATAGTGAGACTGCCTTTGTTTTGTTATTCGCATTTTTAACTTTAGAAATTTGACGTATACCTACCATTTTTTGATTATTTACACATAAGTTGTAATATATATGTTTGAAGGGAATTGATAGATGTTATTTATAATACATACAAGCCATATATTTACAAAATATAATAAATCATATACATAAACTAAAATTTAATAATTATAATGTTGCTAGAAAATTAATCTTTATATCTTAACTTTGTTATTATTATACAAAACAGAAATTCTATTAATGAACAAATAAATATTTTTAGGTTCAAATATACAATACAAAATATAAATGAATTAATACAACATACAAACTAAACAAATTAATGAATACAAGATATGCTATTGTTTATACAAAATCATGAATAAAGGAATATAACATTACAAATAAAGCATTTTTAAATCCATCAGAAAAATTTAAATAATAACTAATGATTATTCTAATAATTTACTGGGTTATTCTCCATCTTCTTCAAACACCTTTAAAAAGGCTTTATTAATAATATCTCTTTTTGGAGGTACAACCTTACTAGTATTTACAGAAAAAGTTGTTTGTTTTATATTTTTTAGATGGCCCATCATGTTGCTGGAAAATCATTCTTTTTGGTGCATTCACAATAACTTGTTTACAGGCTGCCATTTTGTTTAAACTAGTGCTGGTTTCAATATTACAAATATTTTTATTCCACAAAATCCACACACATCTTCCCCAAGCCTCGTTCCATTTCACATATGCACAAACTTTGTTCTGGTTGAGGTAATTGGTCCAACCTTTCTCCTAACATGGACCCATAATTCTGTGCAATTGTTTTGGGTTTATTTGTATTTCCACACTGTTTTTCTAATATATGGACGAGTTTACTGAATGGGGCCATAATTTCCTCTTCGCCTTTGTTTGATTTTTTTTTTTGTCTTTGGCTGCAATACATACCGTTGTTCAATAAAGACGAATCATCGAGTACTTCAGCCTGTCCTTTATCTTCACACTCAACAGGAGGGAAACGCTAAAAAAAAAAAAATTACCAATTTTAGGCCTGGTATCATCCAACTAAAAAATCAGATTTTTTAATTTCGTTATAATTTTTTCCTTTCTATTTTGCCATGCTTATAAAACATTTAGTTGAGATTTTCATTTTTAGAGGAGGGTCTATGTCTGGCACACTTTAAGACTAAATTTTACAGAGAACAAATAAAAGCTATGTAACATTTACATTAATAATGAAAGTCAAGGAAAAAGCAAAACTAACCCTCAATTGAAATAGGAAACAATGGAATCAAATTCATAACAGAAGAATATAAATAATTTGTTATGGGTAAACAGATAATGTGGAGGGTTAAGGAAACAAGACAGAATGGCTAAGGCATCATAGGGCATTTTCTCATTACCCTATGTACATTGTTTTGCTATATGAAAAAGTATTAAAAAAATAACTTAATCATAGAGTAGGAGGGATATCGTTAACTAACAATGAACTTCCAAATTACTAAATATAAATAACCAGTTAAATGCTAAATAATTAACACCCCTTGTCCATTGTTTCCTTTCCGATGATGTACTTATGTTGGACGTTAAAAAAGAAAATAGAACTAAATTAACTTACTACAGACTTAATTGATTGTTTGAATTGAAAAATAATAAAGTAACACTTGCAAATTTAGTAAAAGAGGAATGAAACATTCACTAAATTGTAAAAAATGTCTATACAATAAATCAAAGAACCTCATAAATAAATGAAGAAAAGAATTTTTAAATGCATTCAAACAATTGAAAAAATATTGGCAGCTCATTGCAAAGTAATTAAGTGAAAATTCATTATTTCTTAAAGTAATCAAGAACTTTGAATATCTTTTTTTTTATAAAATCAGAAAATTGTGTGCTCCTTGTAAGTATAATTGATGTAAAAAGGGTTTGTTTCATTTCCATGCCCATACAGTGTTTTTGTATAGGTAAATAGTCAAAATTCATAAAAAAAATCTTGAAAGTTAACCTATATCAAATATGCACATAGTGCATGAATTGAATGCAGTAAACGGAGGATATATCAAGAATTTTCACTGGTTAGAGAATTAACAATTGACTATGTTTAACGTTAGGAAATTGACAATCCTAGCAATTGTGTGTGAAAAATTATATAAAATCGCGTTAATTAGCTTTACAGAAATATATTTTGAAAAACAAGGTAAAATGTATTTAAAGAGAAATGTCATGGCAAAGAAATAAACAACTGATATTAATAAGGAAAAATAAGATCAATTTTATGCTTACCTTGTACGATTCTCATGAATTTTCGACATCTACCATCTTCTTCTCTGTTTTCTCCACTTATTTTCTACTACTTGCTTTTTTTTATAGAAGACATAACCAAAAGTAGCAGTCAATCCCACGGCAATTCTAGAAGGGCTATGTTGGTTAGATTAGATTGTTGAGCACATTAACCATGGTTGACAAGCTTCGGTTAGTTCCTTAATTTGCCGCAAGTTTGCCAGAAATTTTGCCAAACCGAATTTGCCTGTAGTGCGGGCTTCACTGCTCACTGCTGATCACATTGATCAGCTGTCTCTGTTTGTGATAGCACGTGGGTCGAGGTTGCAAAGCGGTTACTTGGGAGAGTGAAGTGTTATTGTGTATAGTGCTTTAAAATTTACTTCAGTTGTGTTTCATGTGCATTTTTATTAATTAGTTCGGATTATTGTTCTGATAAGTAGTGTACTGACAGATATTATGGAGCGGTTATCTGACTTGAGATACTGCAGTGCTCAGAGTCTTACTTTTGGCACTTTTACTGCTGATGAAATTAGAAAACTAAGTGCTGTTAAAGTAATTACACCTTTATCTTTTAATTCTTTGGGACACCCCTTACCTGGTGGCTTGTATGATCCAGCTTTAGGACCAGTAGACTATGGTGGACAATGTTCAACTTGTAAATTAAAAATGCTACAATGTCCTGGTCATATGGGTCACATAGAATTGCCTCTTCCGGTGATTAATCCTATATATCATAAAATTATAAAAAATATACTAAAGATATCTTGTATTCAGTGCTACAAGGTACTGATCCCTAGCAGTGTGAAATACCTTTTGGTGTGTCAGTTGAAGCTATTAGAGAAAGGTTACTTTGTTGAAGCTTCAGAAATGGAAACCAAATTTTCGAATGTAGTGTCAGGATGGGATAAAATGAAAAAAGATATTGCAGAAGAAATTCTAGCTTCAACAGCTATGGAACAGTATGTTGAAGAAGTTTTGTCTAAATCATTAGAAACTGATCAGGAAGTAAAAGGAGAAGGTGATCTGAGAAATTCATTTATTAAAAAGTGTGTTTCATATTTGTATAAAGGTAAAAGATGCCCATTCTGCAATCAAATTTGGAATTATATTAATATAGTTAACAACAAAATTTTAATTAATTTAGGGAAAATTCAAGTTGCTGAAAAATTTACTACGCCTAGAAAATCAAATGCAGATGTATCAATGGGTGGATACAGTTTTGTTACAGCCAAAGAATGCAAAAACTATTTAATGAAAATTTGGGCTAACGATGCTGACATTATGAAATCAATTGTCCCAATGCTTAAAGACACTACTGAAATAGACCCTGTGAACATTTTTTTTATAACCAATGTATTTGTCACACCATCAAATTCAAGACCTGTTAACATTGTTAATGGCATAATCACCGAGCACCCTCAGAATATGATTTATAAAGCTATCCTGAATGACTGCCTTATTATTAAAAGTATTATAGTTGTTATGAACAATGATGAAAATAAAGACACACTTTCTACTGAACGCATAGAAATAATTGAAAAAATAAGAGGGAAGGATTATACTGAGAAATTACAATTTGCTTGGCAGGAATTGCAATCAAATGTTGATTCTCTCTTAGATATAGATATGAAGAAAGTTCGTCGACAAACTGGTATAGGCTTGAAACAAATTATTGAAAAAAAACAAGGTATTTTGAGGATGAATATGATGGGGAAAAGAGTTAATTATGCTGCTCGTACTGTTATTACCCCTGATCCCAATTTGAATATTGATGAAATTGGTGTCCCTGAAGCTTTTGCAAAGAAACTAACTTATCCTGTACCTGTAACTGTTTGGAATGTCACTGAACTTCGTAAATTGGTCATGAATGGCCCTGATGTTCACCCTGGAGCTAATTTTATTGAAGATGAAAATAGAAGAATATTAAAAATAGATGCAGGTGACACCGTAACTAGAGAAGGATTAGCTAAACGTCTATTGACTCCGGGTGAAAAAGCTGGCTGTAAAATTGTTCATCGTCATTTAATTAATGGTGATATTTTGCTTTTAAATCGTCAACCAACTCTACATCGTCCTAGCATAATGGCACATAAAGCTCGAGTGTTAAAAGGTGAAAAAACTTTTCGTTTTCATTACGCAAACTGTAAGTCTTATAACGCTGACTTTGATGGTGATGAAATGAATGCCCATTTTCCTCAGAATGAAGTTGCAAGGAGTGAAGGTTATAATATTGTTAGTGTCTCAAAACAGTATTTAGTCCCTAAAGATGGTACCCCTTTAAGTGGGCTTATACAGGATCACATGGTATCTGGAGTAAGGCTTTCTGTTAGAGGTAAAATGTTTACCAAAAGTGAATATATGCAATTGGTTTTTCAAGGACTTTCCTCTAAGCAAGGGAACTTAAAAACATTAAAACCCTGTATTATGAAGCCTGTTCAACTGTGGTCAGGAAAACAAATTATATCAACTTTAATAATAAACATTATTCCAGAAGGACAAGTTTTAATTAATCTCACTTCTAAAGCAAAGATTTCTTGTAAGGCTTGGAACAGGGGCTCATCTGAAAAATGGAAAGCTGGTGGAACACCTTTTAAGGATGAAAAAATAATGAGTGAGGAAGAAGTTGTCATAAGACAAGGAGAACTTTTATGTGGCGTTCTTGATAAAACGCATTATGGTGCAACTCCTTACAGTTTAATTCATTGTATGTATGAATTATATGGTGGTGAAGTGTCAAGTGCTTTATTAAGTTCCTTCGCTAAACTTTTTACTGCCTTTCTTCAGATGGAAGGATTTACTCTAGGTGTAGAAGATATTTTGGTCTTGAAACATAGTGATAAAAAACGAACAAAGTTGATAGAATCGGCTCGTAAAATTGGCAATGAAATTGTTTCTAAAGTGATTGAGGTACCTAATGGTAGCTCTTTGGAGAAGGAATTAGCTCAGAGACATGCCAAAGAGCCAACATTCCGTGCCCTCTTGGATCATAATTACAAAACAGCACTAGATACATATACTAATGAGATCAATAAAATTTGTGTCCCGAATGGCCTATTAAGACCATTTCCCTACAATAATCTTCAGTTGATGGTTCAGTCTGGAGCTAAAGGTTCAACAGTCAACACGATGCAGATCTCCTGTCTCTTAGGGCAGATTGAGTTAGAAGGTAAAAGACCACCTCTCATGGTTTCCGGAAAGTCTTTACCTAGTTTTTCTAGCTATGACACATCTCCAAGAGCTGGGGGATTTGTTGATGGAAGATTTATGACTGGTATTAAACCTCAAGAATTTTTTTTTCATTGTATGGCAGGCCGAGAAGGACTTATTGATACTGCTGTTAAAACTAGTCGTAGTGGATATTTACAGAGATGTCTGGTCAAACATTTGGAAGGTCTGAACGTTCATTATGATATGACTGTGCGTGATAGTGATGGCTCTATTGTGCAGTTTCTTTATGGAGAAGATGGTATGGAAGTAACTAAATGCAAATTTTTGAATGAAAAACAATTACCATTCCTTCTTAATAATTTTTATGCTGTTCGTAATGAAAATGTTCTAAAAGTTTTTAAAGAAACAACTGATGTCAAAACTATAAGATCGTATAATAAAAAAGTTAAGAAGTGGATGGAAGTAAAAGACACAAAACCTAGGAGATTGAGTCCATTTCTTAATTTTTGTATGAGTATGAGTGATCAAGTTGAATCCTCCTCTTCTATAAATCCATCAAAAGGAAGAACACACCACAATCTAAAGCTTTGTAAATTATGGAACAAGCTTTCACATGAAGAGAAGCTTAAGTAAGTATCAGCTTTTAGAATATTATTAAATAGTCAAGTGAACATTAGTGATTCTTACTAGTAGCCCAATCCTTAGTTATAATATCGATAATTTATAACGATAGAGAATGTTTTTAAACAGGAGTTGAAACGGGAAAAAAATCTTTTATTTTTAAAAAGTTTCCGTATCATCGGAATTTTTACTGTCAATAGTTTTTCAGTTATTTTGAAACTTTTCATGTAAAGGTTTTATAGAACTTTTATTTTTAACAAACTTTTATTCAAAAGTCTTTTGATTTTGTTAAAAAGACAATTCAAAAAATTACTTTTTTCATAGCTACTCAAACAAATGACATATTAGAATCATGTGTAATTCTTTTAAAACAAATTATAACTCTAATCCAGCCCAATTACTGTTTATTAACGGAACTTTTTTATAGAACTTGAATAAATAAAAGTTAAGCTTTTTCCATAAATCTGGAACTTAATTACCAGAAAAGTTTCTTAGAACTTTTATTTTAAGAACGTTTTTCCTAAAAAGGTTTCACAGACTCTGTTAAAATGGAACTTCTTAAAAAAGTTCCATGAAAGTTTCAATTCCTTCTTTTAAATTCATGTTTTTATTTATGAACAGAAGAATAGTTGGGGTGATCAGTCAAATAAGAAGGCAAAAATAAATATTATCATTAATTTTTGCCTTCTAATTTGACTGATCACCTCAACTATTCTTCTCTTCATTATTCATGACAGTCAACCATTTACCCACAATCATGTTTTTATTTGTTTGTATATGATTTTTAAATAATGCAATATTTCCACAGTTATGGAGAAAATTGTTTAAAAACTCCAGATCCAGTTGTATCCAAATTTCAACCTGACAGGCATTATGGTTCAATTACTGAAAAGTTAGATCTTCTTATTAATAATTACATGAAGCAACAGTAAGTATCAACATATTATTTATAACATATTTAATCCATTGACACCAATGATCATTGGGTCATAAACATTTTCATTTTAGATGATAAATATTATTTTAAGGAATTTTTTTATTTATTTATTTATATATCTATATTTAGTGAAATTAATAAATTTTATTTAAAGCCAAGGGGAAGTGAAAGAGAAACAACTTAGAAGTCTAATTTGTGAAAAAGCTCTTTTATCTCTCTGTCCTCCTGGTGAACCTGTTGGTCTTCTTGCTGCTCAATCGGTTGGTGAACCATCCACTCAAATGACATTGAATACTTTCCACTTTGCTGGTAGAGGAGAAATGAATGTAACGCTGGGTATTCCTCGGCTAAGAGAAATATTGATGGTAGCATCAAGAAATATTAAAACTCCTTCTATGGTGATACCTTTTAAAGATGTTCCTAAGTAAGTATTTGTAATATCTTCTGTTTATTTTACTTCCTCGAAGTTTTATATTTTAATATTTTTATTTTTCTATAGATTGGAAAGTCAAATAAATAAGTTAAGAAGAAAGCTAACTAAAATTACATTAGCTGATGTTCTTGAAAGTATATCAGTTCATGAAAAGCTTCAGCTAAGTCCACACAGGCAGCAAGTAAGTTTTGTATTAAAAGCAATGGCAAAATTATTAATAATTATTTAGGAAATATATTTACAAATTTTGGATTGGTTTAACAAACCTATGACTCCTATTTCTGATTTGAGGGGAAGTTTCAAAATATCACTTGATTGATTGAGAAACTCCACATAAAGAGTGGAGGGAATGCACTGGACTTAGACAAGCCAAACAACTTACCAAAAACCCCTTCTTCTCTAAAACTAAGTGGCTGCTGGGCATAACTAAAAAGGAAATCTGACTTATCATCGGAGTTCTAATAGGCCACTGCAGACTTAAAAGACATCTAAAGATCTGCGGGATAGTAGACGATGAACTTTGCAATCTGTGCAAAAACGCACCAGAAACTGCCCTTCACTACATAACAGAATGCGTCGCTTAGATGCAGACTTCTGGGCTCAGATAGAATACAAGAACACAAAGCTACCTCCTTAAATGGTCCAGCCTTTTGAACTTCATTCGAAGATCAAAAAGGTTTGAGATATAATTGGAGGTATAATAGACTATCATTGGTATTTTTGTCTTTGGGGTTAGCAAAAAGGACCAATAGGCCCACTTGCTGGACTTAGTCCCCCTTTCTCCCCACTAGTACCAGTAATAATACTCCTTAAACCAAAGTGATCACTCAAAAGTGAATTTCGCCCCTATTTATCCTTAATTTCATGTGTATAACAAGTCCCTACAATGTACTCATCTTCCTCACTGATAAATATGAGCAGATGCTTCCTTAGATCATGCCATTTTTTGTATGTATCTTATATTTATTTTTTCTCTCTACTTATTTTATCTTGTTCTATGACATTTCACACATTTTGGTATCATGGAATTGAGATTTATTTTTGAGAACAAAATTATCCATATTACTATTCCACATGTTTAAATGTCTACATCTTTATGTCAAAACAGAAATGAACATACATTTTATGTACCAATCACAAATATATATATATACAACTCAATAGATAAAATTAGTTGAATAATTTCATTTGTAAGGATAAAATAAAAATAATTGGCTTGAAAATGCAATATTGAAATGTACAGTATCGAGGAGATATGAAATTGATTATTTATGCAATTATCTTAGGTCTTAACCCAAATCCTAATCTTAAGTATTGGCAATTTATTCTTCTTTAAATGAGAAGATTTTTAAATTTGTTTTTAGGAATTTTGAATTGGAATTCAATAAGTGTGAAAAAAACTGTTAATTTGCTATATTTTAGGTTTACATTCTAAAAATGAAATTTTTACCTCATGAAGCTTATAAAGATAACACTATAGTAACACCAAAGCAAATTTTAAAGTAAGTATTCAATTTTTTTTTCAATTATTTCTAATTTTTATTTTTCTTATCTTCAGTAGAGGTATATTACATAGTTTCCAATTGTAATCCATCTCCAAGAAAACAAAGGAAAAAAAGTTACAATGAAAAGTTATTTTAATTGTACATAACTTAAAAAGTATTTGTTTTACTACCTACAACCACTTCTGCCATGTTAAATTCTTTGCATACACAAAAAATAAAAATAAATAAATAAAAAAAAATACAATTTTTAAAAATTTAGGGCAGTGATAGAGAGATACAGCATATAGTGATATTGTTTGCAGCTGTTCCCATGGAAGTTGTTTTTAGAGGAACTTGAAAATATTTTGGATGGTAGTTTTAAACAGTTAATTTTTTTACAAAATTTAATAGCAAAGTTGAACTTTGAAAAAAAAATCTTAAATAGAACAATATTAGTAAAAATATTTCAAATTATTTTTGTATTGGTTTTTGCTCCAAATTGGTATGGAAAGTTATGTGATATATCTGTTATATTAGAAGTATCTGGCATGTTAGTTGGAATATATTACTATTTATACTTTTGTAATTGTGAATTTAATAATCTATATAATGAATATTACTTATTATAGGTATGTTGAAAAGAAGTTTTTAAAAAATTTATTGAATAGTATTAAATCAAAAAGGAAAAAAGCTAAAGAAATTATCACTAGTGAAGCTGAAGATGGCAATACCAAGTCCTCAAAGGACGATGATGAAGACGAGGGAGAACCTGATGCAGGCAAAGTACTTGGCACATTACTTTTTAAGTTTTAATACGAACCTAATGCTAATAATATTTATGGATTATCTAAATAATATTAATTTTAGAAAACTAAGAAAGCAAAAGTTGTTACTGGAGATGATTATGAAAGCTCGGAAGAAGAACCTGAAGGTGATGATGATGATGCTACTACTGCTAGAAGGAGGTATGATATGAAAAATAAAATTCTCTCTCCCCCTCCCTTGCAACGACTTTTATTCTCCCTGCAACACTTAAGAGACAGGTTGTACTTCTTTTATTTATTTCTTATTTCAGCTTTCTCAATTTCTTCTCTCCTTCCTTTCATTCCTTTTCTCTGTTTTTAACTCTTTATTACATTATACATTGTCTGTACATCTTGATAGACTTTACAATATCTCAATTTTCTATCTAACTACTCCATTCTCAATGTCTTAATTTTACTATTTATTTTCATTTCTTATATAACTTCATATTTCTTTTTAATGTTTTACATTTTATTCTAAGATTCTCATTGTAACACTTATGTCACCCTTTTAGATTACGACTACTTCATCATTCCACACTTTGTAACGGTTATTATTATTTATCTCTTAGTTCTTAGTCATTATTCTAACAATTTCATTTTACTTTATATTTATTTATTTTATTTTTTATTTTTTTTTTTACCATCACTACTTATGTTTCTCATACGTTGTTATCTGGTTATTTTCTTTGCCCTGATGAAGGCCTGAACTTCAGGTCGAAACTTCAGCATATGTAAAAATAAATATTATCATTTATTTTTGCCTACCTTTTTGACTGACCACCCCAACTAGTCTTCTCTTCATTATCCACGACAGTCAATCAATTACAAATTATTAAAAATAAAATTGCTTTATTGTTAGTTATTTTACTTATTTATTGATTTTTCATTTTTAGAGCTCGCCAGCAGGAAGAGCAACAATATTCAGATATGGAAGATGATGTGTCTGTTGAAGGAGAGATGGCTGGGGAAGGGGTTGAAGAAGAGTGGGAAGTTGAGGAACGAATAGAAGATAATGATGAGGAAAAATCATCTGATAATATAAACAAAGAAGTGATTGGACGGAAATCTCTTGTTACCAGTCTAGACTGTATATCAGAGTATAAGTGAGCTGATTTTTTTATTTTTTTTTTCCTCATGATCATTTTATTTCCTAAGTTAATTAAGACTCTATCAGAGAAACTTCCGCCCTTGTTGGGAGTGCCAAGATGGTCTGAATTGAAAGCATTTTAATTTAATTATATCTAACATTGTAATGACCAACTTTTTGCTATCCCTTCTTCAACTATTATTCAATGTAACATCAATCAATGCAGGATTATAATATCAATTAATTAGTGTCTAACTGAATATTTTCATTTTAGGTATGACACTGTGAAAGAGCAATGGTGTGAAGTGACCATTGGTCTGCCAATGAAAATCGGTCGCATTGACATGTCTTCAAAGCTTAGAGAAATTTGTAATTCCAGTATTGTCCATGAAGTGCCAGGAATCAAAAGGGCTATTGTTCAAGTACGCCATTATTATTATTTTGATCAATTATAATCATTCAATGTCCACAAAATTTAATTTAATAATTATTTATGTTACAGACTAGAAGGAATGCAAGTACACCACTATTGAGAACTGATGGACTTAATATGTCTGAAATGTATTCTTATGATAAACTGCTTGATCTTAACAAACTTTTTACAAATGATATTCATGCTATGGCACTTACATACGGTATTGAAGCTGCTACAAGAGTTATTGTAAAAGAAGTACAGGATGTGTTCAAGGTATTTGTTGTTGCTTCTTGGTTTTAATTTTCAATTCTATACCTGGCAGTTTTATCTGGTGATACTGGGCAGAGATAAATAGATCATTGTTTTTTTTTTTATATTGAGTCAATTTATTCAAAAATTTTCAAGTATATTATAATTATTCTATTTGTAGGTATATGGAATCACGGTTGATCCAAGGCATTTAAACCTTATTGCCGATTATATGACTTTCAGTGGAGTCTACCAACCATTATCTAGAAAAGGTTTGGAAGGAGGTGCATCTCCTTTGCAGCAAATGAGTTTTGAATCATCATTAGGGTAATAATCTTAACCACTTATTATTACAGTACAGGTTTTTTTAATTATTATTAAAAATGTATATTTTGTATAATTTATCATCATTTCCTGCTAGAATAAGTTACACAGTAAATCTAATAGCATTTGAAATTGATGCGGAAGAAGAAAAAGACCAATCACTAAAATAAATCTTTAATGGCTTTATACTAATTATTCTTTTTACAAGGTGTACGTCAGTGTAAACAATATTTTTAGTTCTTTTACCCTGCGGTATACACTGGTTTTCTCTGTAACCTGGTCTAAATAAGATAAAATATAGTTGATCATGGGAAAAACAATCTTCTCTTAAGTTGAATTCAACATTCTTAAAAGTTAACCCCGAAGATTGACTTTATATTACAAAAACTGCAATTGATACTTTAATGAGCTGTGATCATGTAATTTCTCAAAGTTTTCCAGATCGATTAGCATTTATAGTTTTACTGCTCCATTCCAATAGATTATGTAAAAAGTCTTCCTCAATAAATGTTCTATTTAGTGCAAAAAGAATTTAGAAATTGGTAGATTTGATTATTCTTAAATTTTCTGGAGACCAAAATTAAAATTAAATGTAATATAATTTAATAACTCTATCCTTTTTAAGAGAATGTGCTTGCTTATCTAGTTCAACACCTTGATAGATTTATTAATGAAATATTAATGCCCTTCAATGTGGCAGAATGTATTAATATTCAATAAAGAAAGTAAAAAAAAAATTAATGAAATGGCCTACAAACATTGTAAAGTTGGTGTACTAGTCGGATGCCTTCCACTACATATTGCAACTCTTGGCAAGTAGATTTCATCCTATGAATTAATCCTTGTAAACATCTGAAAGAGCCTTGAGTTTTGATTGGGGGATGGAAGGCATCTCACTATTATTCCATGTTTAAATATTTGTAGATTTCAATTTCTCTACAAATCAAGCAAGTTTAGTAGAAATGCAAGTACAGTTTCTCAGGATGGATTGGATTATTTCTGTAGTATTTTTTTTTTTACATTTTTATTGTTTAGCTTATTTATAATTTATTATTGTGCCTGTGTCATGGCTTTTTAATTTTCCTGTATCAATTTTATAGTTGATTGGGTTTTTTTCTGTATTTTTACAATGCAAAAGGTTTAAAATGTTCTATTACAGTAGAATTCCGGTAATTTGTAAAGATCAATAATTCCTATGGATTTACCAGTCCCTTCTAATTCTCTCTCTAATTCATATAAAAACAATGTAATTTGGTTCTTTTGATAATTCTTGTTTATTTTCTTCTTCATAGAATTTTAAATGTTTTATATTACTATTATTATTATATTTTGAATTTGAAAAAAAAAATCTGGTTGGCTCTTAATCCTTTCAAGAAGAGAGGAGAGTGAGTGAGAGATTAGCATTTGTATGAATTTCCGTTTGTTTGCTATTTTTTTTCTATTTCAGTGCTCTCTTTTTGTCAAATATAATGTTATTTTTCAGTTTGGTTTTGAAAAATTTCTGAAGGGTCTTAACAATCTCAAAGAAAAAAAAGAGGAGACAATTTTACTTTATATCGATAATTGTCAGGTCCAAAACAGTACTCGTCACTTAGCTGTTAATGTAGTGTTTTTGGCTGCTAACTCTACCTCTAATCCTCAGGTCTCTAGAACAGGGCATAATTAAAACATTTAAAATTTTTACTGAAAGTAAGTAGTGATGCGACTCCTTTACAGCATCTGTGATGGAAAAGAACTTAAAATCACCTTATTTTGAGTGATGAGCATTGGTCCATTGGTGGGTGGATTTACTAAGTTGGAACTGCCGCCAACACTTGGTAAAAATTTAAATGATTCAGAGACCCTTCTCGTATGGAAGTGGGTTTCTCAAAATAAAGACACTCCTATAACATTCGAAAATTTTGGTGATGGTTTAGCAGTAGCAGAAATCTTAAATGAAGAGGAAATTTTAGCTCTCTGTAAAGAGTTGATGGGGAAGATGAAGAAGTTCTTAAATCTATATTCTTTTTACATTTATTGTAATACATTTTTGTATTTTTACTCCATATTATTGAAAATCTTGATGATTATTATTTTCCTTTTGCTCTATTGACTATACTAATTCCCGGGATTTCACTGTATATGTATTTTTTTTCCTGTCTTTAATTAGTGTGTTGGGTTCTATATTTTATCCTTTATATTTCTCTTATTTTTTTCTTAATTCTGTTATTGTATTTAAAAAATATGAGTTACGTAATGTTGCTTAAAAATATATCTTTTATAGGTTTTTGAAAAGTGCAGTTCTAAGAGAGAAAAGAGATGACTTATCATCACCATCCAGCCGACTAATGCTGGGAGCTCCAGTGAAAAGTGGTACTGGCTCTTTTCGCCTTCTGCAAAGAATTACTGTTTAATCAACTGTAAATTATTTACTTATATATATGCCTGTATATTGTAAAAATTTTTAATTAATTTTATCTTAAAGAATTGTAAATAAAATTTAAAAATTGCTTATTGCCTTTTAATCTATATTTGTGAATAAATTGTAAAAAGATTTCATTATTTTGTTTTTATTTTTTTAAAAATAAAATATAAGACTTGTTTCAATATTAGTTTCCTTGCTACTTACAACTAAATTACAAAGGTTTATTGAAAATTTTATTCTAGAAAAAATATATTTTTTAAAAATTTCATTTTTATTTAATTAAATCGATTATTCACTATGTTAATGTATAATAATAAAGACCAGTGAAGTAATAGTATGGTTTATTCTTCTGAAAAATGAAGTATAGTAGTCCAGTCTGAGGTAAGAGAGACGAATGGTTACAAAGTAGAAGCACTTGTCTAATAAAAGAGTAGTTAGACTAAAATAAAATTAAATTTATTTATTGGAACCATGTTGATTATATACCTGTAACCCAACCTACAAACATTTGGTAATAAACGTCAGATGGTTTTCTGGACATCGTCAACATTATTGAAGTTGATTTCCATAAAGATTAAGACACGAAAACCAGACATCCTATAAAAAAAATTAGCAAGAACCACTGATGGAGCTAGAAGAAGTGCTTCAAATTAGTCAATGTTTTTCATTATTGAAACAAAATATGGAGGACTTTCAATGTTCTCTTACCTCCAAGCTAATGTTGAAAACAAAATTATCAGCCAAAAGGAGGGAGGAGGGGATGAAAAGTCCTTTTAAAATCAATAAGCAGAGTAATTTAAGTACATATGTAAAAATACTATCCATTTAATTGAAAAAATGTGAACATCTTTCACTTGACTTAAGCAGTGGAACTTCTCTCTAATGAACTCTTATTTCCCATGAATGTTAGTTAGAGGGAATATTGCAATGATAGCCAAAAGACAAACAATGTCGTTTGATATTTCATAAAAATTTAGCAAATAAAATTAATAAGTATAAATAACCAGTAAAAATTAAGTAAATACGTAATCATATTTTACGTGGTGAAACCAGACCATGTGTGGTTATTTATAGGATGTGTGGAGTTAATATTTTTTTTATTATCCTGGGACTGTTGTCCCTTTACAATAAATTATAAATACATAGAAAATGCCTGTGTGGCCATACAATGCATCAGGAGAACCTAGATGAAGAGTAAGAACATTATAACCTTTATCATCATAAGTTCACAGAGAGATCATACTGATCCCCATAGTTCTTCATATAATTCATAAAGGTGAAAAAATAAAAACTTTTTGCTTTTACCAATTCAGTTTTATTGTTTCAGCGCTTGATGACAACCAATAAATACATAATCTTATAAGTGTTGCTTCTGTTTAATCAATGATACAAAAATATTTGACATGATCTATGCTTGCATATAAGAAATATTACAGTCCCATAATTATTTTAAAATATAAAAAAATAATGATTTACAATATTAGTTTTAAAATAAAAATAATAAAATACTCCTGCTGAAATAACAGAACTCAGAACTCTAATAATTCTTTTCAAAACTTGATCCAAGGAGATGAAATTTAAAATAACATTTAAATATGAAATAATTGAGTACAGATATAGTGAATTTATTATCTAAAATGCAAGAAAATATATTTTTCTGGAATAATTTTATTCTTTTTGAGGTAATGAAAATAATTATATGTACTACTTAGGCAATACACACTCTAAAATCAGGCAGTGCCTATTGAGAAAAAATGGGTAATTGATTATTATATAAGCTGATTAAAAAAAAAATCATAAATTTATAATATCGTACAATATGAGCTTTAAAAGTTTAAGTTATCAGAGATTTTAGAATGTTTCTGCACATCTCAAATACATCTAATGATAATTTTTTGTTAAACTTCAGAATCAGATAAACATCTAGCACCAGTACCATAAACTTTAGTACCATTTATGACTATGGTAACCAGAAAAAAAAGTTACAAATATTAAATGTTAAATTCTTATCACAGAAAGCCTAACCTGTAATATACAACAAACTTTTGGGTTTATTAATATAAAGCAAGTAAGGATTAGGCCCGACAGTTATTTTATGACCAAGATTAAACAAAGTATGTAAGATTCACATTCCTAGTTCATCTGGTATCAGGTATTTAGGATATTTTCCATAATTGGGAGTATCAAAGAAGTACTCTAATGAATATATAAACATACTGAATGATAAAACTGCCATCATATTGAGAGAATTATGTACATATACTAAAGTTAAATGCACATGTTTGTTTCTATCCCCTACATAATTTCTCCTGAGATCTCATACTTAATATCATACTCGCAGCTTGGGCTGATATTAAATACTGTTTGACTACAAAATAATTTTTTATAATTACATTTTTTATCTTTGGTCAAATAAGGGATATTTCACAAAGGCTATAATAGTACCAGCTTCATGAAATAAGCATATCTCATTCTCGGAATGAATCTCATCATTTATGAACAATGACATAATTAATATAAACAATTAAATTAATAATTTTAAACATAATTAATGTAATAATCGATAAATCAGGAAAGTTCATAATCCTAATAATACTAAACATGAAAAAAACTAATGCCCGCATTTGAGATAACATAATCCTAAGAAACCTTAGACATAATTCGACAACCACACTGCAACACAACAGCCTGTAAGTGCAAGACATAAAATTATTTAAAAGATGAAATAAACGTGTATTTCTTATCATATGAAATAGATGTTCCATTCAATTTTTATTGCATACTTAAGACAAAGATGTAATGTTCTAAATAACATTTTTAGTTGGTTTTTAAGAATATATCAGAGGCCAAGATTAAACAGAAAAGCTCAAAACCACTCATTCTAATCAAATTGTACTAACAGGCTTTTTCAGTGTGGCTGTCAAAATATAATATAGAAAAAATATCTTATTCTATTCACTTAAAGATATGTATAGTCAATTGTTAGACCTCATTATTTTATGCGTTTAATGTAATACAATAATTGAATAAATCATAAATACATTAATAAAAAAAAATGGAAGAAACAAAATAAAATATTAAGGTAATTACTTCATTGAGTAGTACTTTTCTAATTTTACACTGACATCATTTTGCCTACAAGCTATTTGACAGAAATATAAATTACATCGTTTATTAAAATCTTTTTATTTAATGATGAAAGAAACAATAACTTTAGGATTATTATCATCATTTGTGAAGTTCAGTTGCCAAGCATTGAATCGGTCATATATGAAATTCCAAGATTTTTCACAAAATAAACTTTTTCTAAAGGAGAATTGACAGTCCAAGCTATCACTCGGACATTTCGCAGTTTCCAATAATTCACCACCTCTCTTTAACAAATACATAAACTATCATTAATACTTCAATAAAGATAGTTTTAATATAAGAACCCTTAAGAAAAGGGTTCTTATCCAAAGTGGTAACTGATTCTCTAATCCTTTTTCTTAATTTTTTTTTTAGAATAGAATAAAATAGAAAATTGAACTTTATTCTGGGACTAAGACCCCTTAGAATAACAATGATGAATTAATACAAAAGAAAATATAAATCTGGTCAAAAAACTAACTTATAAAAATTCTAACATTATATACATTATTTAAAAAATAGTATGTAACCACTAAACTATTTTTTAAATTTAAATTTTAGTTAAAGATTCAAGTCAAGTTAAAATTTAAATAATTAAAGAGTTATAAAGGGAGTTTTATAACCTTCATTATTTTACAAATATGAGTTATACAAGAATCTTCATAAAAACGGAATCTAACTTACGGTATATACAATACTGACAATGGAATCAAACTAATGGTATATACAATACTTACGCAGTGATAATATCCTTGCATAAGAGAACTGCAGAAAAACCAGTCAATCGATAAGCCAGATTGTTAAAAAACCATGTTGTACCATGATCAAGCATCCTTCCCCAATAATACATAATTGGTGTTCTGCTATAGGGAATACATTCCTCTTCTATGACTGAGTATTTGCAATAAGTCATATAATAAGGTCTCCAAGCCATAGAAGCAACAATATTTGGATCTCTTCTTCTGATCTAAATTGGAGTAAACAAAAATTACCATTCCATTTTATAAAAAAATAATTTTAATCCATAAATGACAATTTATCTACACCTTCTGTCATGAATAATCAATGACAATAAAAATTAATTATAAGCAGTTTTATAAAGCTTAATCCAAACTTACAAATAAAAATAGAAGAAACAAAAAATCTGACTCAATTTTTAATTTCACTTATCTATACATAATATATAGTTCAATCTCCGAGTCTATGCAGATTATGTCAGGAGGAGAATAAAACAGCCTTTCGCATTGTTTGTCGATGTGACAGACTTGCAAGGCTTAGACTGGAGCTATTTGGGGAAGAACGGATTGATAGCTCCAGTAGCTATGAGACTGTCAATCCAACAAGCCTATTAAAATACATGGAAGCAACCAAACTAACGTTTTAAGAATAATGGGGAATGCATAATGGCACACAATAGATCCATTAAGCCAAAAGGAAATATATATATAGTAAGAGAAAGTATTGTGATCGTGAAAATTTTTAAATTTGAGTTTTAAACTGAAATACACATTTTTAGGTCATCTGAGTTCAAATAACCAAGTCCCACAAAATGGTCTGTGTGTTCCACAGGGAACAGTAGAAGACAAGAAATTACGTTCATCAGAGGATACCATCCCCTCCTATGAACCTTCAAGATTTCCCGTCTCTACCACAGCCATCTAGGAACTTTGAAGTGCAGAAGCAGAAGCAATATCAACAGCAACTTCTCATGCATTAGCAGAAACCACACACCAACAATATCTTGTTCAGCAGTAACAGACAGCTCAAAAACAGTCAGAAAAAAACTCACGTCTACAAACTGCGCTTTCAGCATCAGTACCATAAAACATTCGACAGAAATGCAGGAAGAAAGTACCCAGCCACCTTTTACCGATAACTATATATCTCCACAGCTGTTTCAGCTATTGAATGGTCTGAATACTCTCATTCAGCCCCTTTTTAGCCTCCTCCAAGAGCTTGCACAGATAACTCAAGGCGTGTGTCTTCCTAATGGCCATTAATCAACTTACTGTAGGCTCCCTATCTATCCTTGTGTGGAATGCTAACAGACTAATGCAATACAGGACAGAATTGGACATATATTTACACAAAAAACGTATAGACATCGCATTGATAAGAGAAATACACTTAACACCACAATCTAAATTTCATATTCCAGGTTATATTACGCACAGAACAGACCACCCAGACAACACCACTCATGGCAGCACAGCTATACTAATAAAGACATCACTATCACATAATCCCTTGTACTTATCCACGACACCTGACATTCAAACAACAGGCTTAATACTACATACCACAGTAACTATTGCTTCGGTATATTGTCCTCCGATGTGCGTATTGACATCTTTGATGTTTTGCGATTATTTTGAAAGACTTGGGCATTGCTTCATAGCAGGTGGTGACTTTAACGCAAAGCACCAAATTTGGGGTTCACCGCTATATGGATACTAATATTGGATATTAATATACAAAAAGGACAAAGACATTTTCAATCCCTAATCCATTATACAAGAGAAAGAAACCTGAGGGCTGCTATCTATGAACTTTCATTGGACACTATATCACCTGATACACCGACATATTGGCCAGCTTCCCAACGAAAAACACCAGACCTGCTTGACTTTTTTATAGCCAAAGGACTACGCACCATACCTCACACCATAAATACAAGCTCTGATCTATGCTGTGATCATTCCCTTATACAAGTTGGTTATCCTAGATGAGCCCATCAACCTTCCATGAAACCCAAAACTGATCAACGGTAAAATGGATTGGGATGCTTATAGAGCATTTCTGGATTTAGAACTGTCAATTCCTGGATCAATTAAAACTAAAGAAGAAATAGATGAGGCAGTGGAAAAATTTACCAAAAATGTTCAAAAATCGGCTTGAACTTCATCTCTTCCAATGCCATCAAGTCCAGAATATTTGCCCAGATACCCTCAGTATATAAGGGACTTGATCATAACAAAGAGAAGAGCTCGTAATGTATGGCAGACTAACAGACTTCTTTCAGATGAACGAACATTTAACAGACTAAATAATGAACTTAAACGACTAATACAAAAATTCAATGCGACAAAACCTGAAATATTTGCTGACTATCGATCATCTGTATTTACAAAATTTACTGACTTCATGAACACAGAACATGAAATCACTTTAGATATATACCATTGACATTACCATCTCTCTCGTTCACTCCTTCACAAGTTGAACAGCAAATAAAACATCTACTCAAAAGAAAAGCTCCAGATTATGACTTAATTACTGCCAAGGTTCTCCAGCAAATGCCCAGGAAAGCACTAGTGTTCCTTAAAAAACTATACAAATATATCCTGAAGACAACTAAATTCCCACTACGATGGAAATATTCACACATCAATATGATAAATAGAGCTTGCGTTATTTTGATGGCCTTACGAGTTTTTGGATTGATAAATGTGACCAAAATTCACAAATATGTTCTCTAAGGTTTAGTTCCATTAAAAACTTTTTGTAATATCCTAATTTTGCCAGATAATTTTTTTTTTTTTTAATAGCCAGTTCTTACAAGTATTATCACTGCAGGCTTCTCCTAATTAAGAGGGTAATGGTCTAACTTCCCGTAGGGACCGCATTGGGAAGCAAGGCCGGGATTCGATCCTATCATCTTTGTTTTACTAGTATAGCGCGCTAACCACTCTGCTATACCGGCCCCAGCCAGATAATAATAAATAGCAAATTCAATAATACATTCTGTTCAGGCTAGAGGTAAGTGAAAGTTTTGTGATGTGGACACCAGATTTTTAATAATGTAGTAAAGAACAATAAAAAGAATAAATGAGGAAATCTGAATATGTTGGAGGTGAGGACAGAAAACTTGAAATATCTATAAAAATAAAATAAAGGTTTTGTCTGTATATTGAATAGAATCAACCTGTTTTATGATATCTTTCTGTTTCATACAATACAGCTACCAAATCTACTTTTAAAAATTTTGTTGTCTTGTCTGTATGTCCTCATTGTCTAGCAAAATTTTGTCAGGGGTAAACTCAGCAATGGCTAATGGTAGACGTCTGAAAATTTGACATTATATTTAGGTTTGCTTTATTTAAAACATAGACTTTAAATGAAAACAAAATATTGAGTAGAATCAAGGTTATGAATTCTTGAGTCATTGGTCTATAGAACCCAGTTAGGTAGTTACTTACTTCGATTCTCATCCCAACCTATTCTACTGCGAGCCACATGTAAAAGTTGTATTATTCAATTGATGGAAAAAATGGTCACAACTCAACGGGAAAATCCGAAATCCCGAACATCTGTAAAGCGTTCTCGCTCAAAACACAATCATTTTTCAACTTTGTCTGATTTTCCCGTACAAGTTGTCATTCGATTCAACTTCCCGAGCCAAATAAATGTGATATACATTTTTAGGATTAACCATACGGATTAGCCGGAAATTGGAAAAAAGAAGCTCCCAAAAATTTCACTCCGTCCATCACAATATTTAGATCAAGTTCTAATTTTGCACAGATGTAGGTGACTCAATGTCCAATGTTATTTTGCCAGCGATAAACTAAGCGAAAACAAGCAAACTTTTGAAATTTTTACATTATATTTAGGTTTGTTTGACTTAAAACAGGCTTTGAGTAAAAACAAAATATTGAGTAGAACCAAAGTTATGAATTCTTGAGTAATTTCTCTAGAGATCCCGGTTCAGAACCCAGCAGGAAAAAAAACGAAATCCCGGACTTCTGCTCAAGCATCAAAGCACTGTTTTAAGTGTCAGTAGTTATGTTTATCCAATTGATCTGCTCGAGATGTCATTCTATCAAACTCGCCAAGTCAAATAAATAAGGCCATATTTCTTTTTTTTTTGGATTAAATATATGGAATGGCCACTTAAAAAAAAAAAAGAAAAAAGGTTCACCCTAGGTGTTACATTTATAGAAAACGTAAATACTTCACCCTACTCTACCAGGAAAAATCCAACATCCGCCCACACTTGAGCACCCAAGTCACACTGTTTCTCTTAGTCACCTTCACCTAGGTTACTACCCGTTTCACAGAAAAAATATATGGCCAAAATTTTGTCTAAAATTGTTCACTCATTAGCTCTATCATATTCATTGTCAGTCAAGGAAGTAAGAATTTGTTACACATATTGGTTTTCAATTTTAAATCAATATTTTACTTAATTTTTAAACCTTAAATTAAATTGATTAATAAATAACTGTTGATATTCAAATAATTTATAATAGACATTAAAAAAATCTAAATACATAAAAGAATTCATTTTTTTTAAATTGTCTGATTCCAATTTACTAGGTATTTGAAAACGTGGATGAAATATTAATTAAGTTTTTATGCAGTAAAAATTTGAATGATTGAAAAGAAATAATTGACGATTTGAATTTGTTTAATCTCAAGCTTACAAGTTTTTTCAAGTTAATTGAAATTAACTTGGAACAATTAAATTTAGAAACATTTTTCTTTATAACTGGTCTGTCCACTCCATTACGCCCGCCGTCCTTCATTGTCCTTTCCTTTGTTGCCCCTCTCTCTATCATTCTCAGTATACTACCACTGATTAAACTGTAAGGAACTAACTCTTGATGAAAACCGAGAATATTTCTAACTTTTGGATTTGAATAGGCTTTGATTATTGATATTGACTTGAATTACTGATTTACTGTTTTGATATAAATTATTGAAACCGTATTTGGTTGAGTGAATATCACAAACTTGGAATTCGATCCAGCTTCGTATATTGAATTATTTGGACGATTTGGTACCAACACCCTTGGGTTTTATTTTTATTTTTTCTCTACAGTTTACTTGAAATTTGACTCGGCTTGGTAATTTGATAATGAATTATAGGAATAATATTTGGGACGAATTTCTTTGGGTTTTATAATTTTTTTTTTACAGTAACTTGGTACTTGACCCGGTTTTACCTTTTGTTATTGAACTATTGCAATAAAGAATAGGTACCAGCCGCTTTATATTGAACCAAATTTTGTGGGTTTTAAAATATTTTCTGCAGACCAAATTGTGTGGGATTTTTAAAATTTGGTTTCAAAATATTTTTTACGGATTGATAAAAAAGTCCAATTTAAGCTCAATTTCCAAAACAGCCAAACTTAAAAGGAAAGTAAGATTGAAAGACCTACTCACGAATAGAGCTGTTCAGGTTGAGGTTGATTCAAAACAACTCCCTTACCAAATTTTACGAAATTAAATTTGGATCCTCCCCCATTATACAAAATCCATCTCAAAAAAAAATTCTCAAATTTTAACTATACACTTGTCAACGACGGGTACATCAGCTAGTATGCCTATAAAACAATAGCATACTAATAGATACACTATAATCTCAATGATTATAAAGTTATTTCTTAATATACATTTTCTATTGACCCTTTATTTCAAATACTTGAAATTTTCATGGCAGAACCACTATATTAGATATATTGTCTTAATTTCATAAAATTAGTATAGAACAGATTTGATGACATGATATATGATGCAATTCATTATAAACAATAAAAACTAAAATAAATTTTAATTAACACAGAAAAAATATAATTAAAGTAATAAGTTCACTTACATTATAAATAATCCAAAAGTTGAAGGAACTTACGACTGCCCTTCGATATAGTATAGGATGCTCCTTAAATGTTTCAACAATAACTCTTGCAATCTAATTTTTTTAAAAATAATGTTATGTAGTGATTAAGTAGTTAGCTTTTTTTTTTTTTAATAGAATAAACTTTAAAAAAAAAAAATCTTACCTCTGCCCTTTCATCTTTTATATCAATGAAAATTCTCATGTCATATTCAATAACTTTTTTAATAACATCCTCAAATAAAGGTATTCTAGCACCCACAAATCTTTCACTGTAATAATATGGATAGAAATTGTAATACAAAAATTATATCAGTTTATAATACTGCTGACATACAATACAATAAAAACTTTATAATTACTGTGTTCTGAATATTTATCACCTATAATATCAATGAAGAGTATAAAATCAGAAAAATGGAAAACAAAACAGTAATCATATTAAACATAATCAATAACAGTAAACGTTTCAGATATCATAATTTGTCACTCGAGGTAATACTTTTTTTTTGTCCACTATTTGCAGTATATCAGTATATACACATCACCTATTTCCTCTTTTATTACCAATTTCGAAAAGCATAAGGACAGAAAAAAAGAAATTTGGATCAGAATCACAGCCAATGACTATTGGAGAGATAGTTCTAGTCCTTCATAGAGGCAAAAATGAAAGCTAATGCAGCCCTTAAAAAGAAAAAAGAGAATCAGAATAATCAGGAGGCAAAAGATAACAGGAACCAAGCTATCAAGGTAACAAGGCGGAATGGCTACCAGATAGTTAAAGAAAAATTCCCTGACATTACCATATTTAATGATAGTTTTCCTTGACCAATATGTTTGGGGGCACAAATATTAAAAATTTATAATTTACAACTTAATTTATTTATTGTACAAGAAATTATTTCTTCTTAGAATAAAGCCAATCCTAGAAAGTAGGGAAGTTATTCCGAATCATCAATTTGGCTTTTGTTCTTACCATTCCACTGTACAACAGTGTCATCTTATAGTAGACGCTATCTCAGTCGCCTTCGAAAAAAAAGAATTCTGCTCAGCAAAATTCCTGGATATCGAGAAAGCGTTTGATAGCGTCTGGCAGAAAGGTTTACTGTGGAAAATAAAACCACACCTTCCTTCAACTTACTTTCTGATACTTCAATCTTTCTTTCTTGACAGGTTCTTCTGTATTACTATTGATTCCTCTACTTCTCCCCTCTTTCCTCAACTAACGGGTGTACCACAAGATAGTGTTTTAAGCCCTATTCTATTTTCTATCTACACATCTGATATCCCTAAGCACCCTAGCACCATTCTCTATAGCTTTGCTGACGATACGGCAATACTTTCTTCTCACAAAAATCCCAAAATCGCTTCAATAGCCCTTCAAAATCACCTGCACTACCTTAAAAAATGGTTTCACAAATGGAGAATTAAAATCAATCCCAGCAAGTCAACTCATATTAGCTTCTCCCTGAGGAAGATCTCGTGTCCTGCTGTGACAATAGACAATAAACCAGTTCCCTCAAAAACATATGTACGGTATCTAGGACTATACTTGGACAAAAAACTCACCTGGAACATTCACACTAAATTTAAAAAAACAAGAACTGACCAGACGATACAAACAACTGTCACATCTTTTGGACTACATATCTCCACTCAACTTACTAAACAAGCGACTAATCAACACCACTATACTAAGACCTATTTGGACATACAGAGCAGAACTTTGGGGTTCCGCAAAACACACACACATAAACAAAATTCAAACCACACTATCTAAAATACTTCGTAAAATTGTCAATGCTCCTTGGTTTATTTCAAATCACACCATACACACAGACATGAACATACCAAAAGTAGAATCCTAAATACACAACAAGTACACAACATTTCATTCTTCTACTCTCAACCATCCAAATCAACTCGTTCTATCTCTATCTTCCTCCCTGTTACCTGGTGAGCCTCAAAGACGACTAAAAAGGCAGTGGCCTAGAGATCTTCTGCTGAAAAGTTAAAAATATCAAGAATTGAAGTAGACAGAATAAACATCAACATATTAGCTTGATGCGCTACAACGCAGCGGCAAATTTAATGAAAAATAAATAAATAAAGGAATTTAATGTACATGAAAGACGTATAATAAATAATGACAAAATCGGTTCTTCTCAATATTCAGGCATATTTCACTCAGAAAGACTAACAAATATTTAATATCAATTCATGATCCATTTGATGAACCTCAAACTAATATTTGTGAGGATGGATACAAAGATTCTGCTCCCGATACAATACTGTTTTTGAAAATATAGCTGTGAAACTATCAGCTGTTCTCTTTCAGTTAACCAAAGAATGGAATTAAGTTTACCCGACAGTTCATGAGAATTATTATGATGCTGAAATATTCAAATTTTTTAAAAAGTTAATTAAGACAGGACTCTACATTATAAGATTGAAAAATGTTCTAATGAACATTGATCTATAGACATAATAACCATTAAGAAGTTGATTACTTTATTAAAAAAAATAAATACATCCATCGATGTATATATCGCAAATAGTATTGGTATGTTTTTCTTTTCAAAAAAACAGTTTTTAAGTCCATTTTGCTTAAATTTTATTCATTACCCTTGTTTGATTTCAATATAATGACCAGCACCGTTATCGACAGTCAAAGTTGGATGAATATAGCGAACCACAGTGTGGTCATTTGTAATGCCTAAGTTTAACCCTTCAAGGCCATTATAAACGATATCCACTGTATATATTTATATCCATTTTGAAAAAAACATTTATGTACTAAAAAAAATCCCTGACTTTAATCATTTTTTCCTGACCTTCCCCATTTTTCAGGTTGGTCGTCATCCTGAAAGATCATGAGATTTAGTCTGTTAAAAGTTATAGTCTTGAACAATGGGGAGAGGGAGCATGGTCATTAACAATCCTAACATTGACGTGACCATCTTAAGCAGTATACTATGGCATGTTATGTCAGATTTAGAATCCTCTTCAATCTTGCTCTTCACGAATCTACCGAATGGTGAAGCAACAAGAAGATCACACCACAAAGGAGGTGATCACAAGCATAGTGATTCTTGAAGAAGAAATGTGTCATAATGGAGTGGAAATAGTTGATCGTGGTTATAATTTGAGGAGATGGTTGGGAATGCGGTCAAATGTAATACAATATATTATAATAGTATTTTATTGGTTACGCCGATGTTTCGACCCACTTTGTAGGTCTTCATCAGGACGTTGTATCAGGCACTGCTGAAAGCAGTTCAGAGACTTGAATAAAACCTGACGTAACCAAATAAAATACTATTACAATATATAGTATTTAATTTTACCGCATCCCGACCAACTTCTCAAAAAAAAAAAAAAAAAAAAAAATAGAAGAAGAAATTTGATTGGACAATAAATTCTGAAGCATAGTCTGGGGATTCAATCAAATGAGTACGAGAGGTTTTAGACTTTGTGTGTTAGTTGTGAGGAGCCAGTTAGTAGTTGTGAATAATCTCTCAGCAACTGTAAAATTCCTGGACCAAGAGGGAAGAGCTGGTTGCGCTGATCAGATATATTGTAATTCAGACCCTCAGATCTGAACAAAGTTCTGACCACAATGTGATTGCGTTAAGCCTAGCATAGCAAGCAGGGAGTTCCAACATCCATATCATGGAAAAGAGTTATCAGGAGAGCATAATGAACCTTTTAGTCAGCTCTGGAGGGACATCTAGTCATAAATAATGGGAAGCAGCAGAAACACGCTGTACAGATAATCCATTAATTACAATGTTTCAAGCCTTACGGATATCATCCATGATGATGCTAAGAATTCCTTCCACCAACTGAAGGTAAGAGCTCGACCAGTCCCATGGTTAACACTGGCTTTAAACACCTTAAAGAGACAGCTCTATAGGGAATGGGGGTCGTACCAGAGGTGCTCTTGTGATGAGAGGCACACTGGACATCATAAGAAGTACAAGTCTAAAGGCTGGGCATGTTGAAACAAGGCCAACTAACAGATAAAATCTAGGGAAGAATTCATAGAGGAAGAGTAGGCAAAGAATCCTTTCATGCAAGGTAACTTTGTGCAAGCTTACTCTGCCAGAGGCTATTGGAGCTCTTAAGAAAGGAGATGTCCAGGTAAGCATCCCAGAAGAATTTGCAAAACTTACTTTCGAGGGAATTAAACCAGGGAGAGCCCATAGCTAGAAAATAGAAATACTTTTATGAGACAGCCCAGTGCACACCTATGCCCACTAGGGGACATATCGCTACTGTTAGTGCAAAAGATGGTATGTAGAAATTGAGTTTTTTTTTTGAGTTAGAGAAGAGCATAAAAATTGATTATTTCTTTATTATTTATTAGTATAATTTCATATTTTATTTTCCACAGCTATTTTCCTATTTAGCAGACTACTTTTAGCAGTTGCAGACAACAAAATATAACCTGTAGTGCAAAGAAAATAAACATGTAAAAAAGTTATATAAGACATTTGCCACTAACAGTAGCGATATAGAATCTTCAATTTCAAAATTTAAAATGAAGAGGGAAGACTCAGCAGGTCTACCAGAGAATGTCTGGCCAAAGGTCGATTCAGATCCCAGATATATCTTAGAATACTGTTCAAAACAAAAATATATTAGATGAATGAAACCAGCTGAAAGTGACAATCCCCCAAGGGTACAACCTGAGGAAGTATTTTTTAAGTGTTGTCATGTTCAGCTGCAACAGTAGTAGACATGGAGGCTCCCATTTGTCAGTTTATTGCAAAAAGTCACTAATTAAACTTTTAATGCAGTTATATTTTACGTAATTATTTTTAAATTTAAATCATTTCTACATTGTGAAAATTCATTAAGAATATAAGAATAACACAAACACTATTATAAGCTAAAAATAATTACAGTAAGCATATAATGTTTTGATTTCACCAGAGAAAATGGTTAGATTTCATTTTCAAAAACATTACTTAAAGACTTTTTTTTGCAATAAACTGACAATATATTAATAGAGTAATAAAGTTCCTGAATATAAATATGATGAGGATCAAGTACCCCAATCCGCTGTGATGAAACCCACTTGAGTAGAAATAGAAATGGCATTAGAGCCTTAAAAAATTGTAAAGCACCAAGTGAAGATAAATTTTGTAGCATAGCTAATTAAAAATAAAATTGTAGCATTAAAATAAAATACATGATATACAAACTGATCTGTGATATCTGCAAATCGAGAAAATGTCACAAGAATGGAATATAGACCTGTTGTGCCTTATATTTAAAAAAGGTATCAAAGAAATTTGCTTTAACTATCGCAGTATCAACTTACTAGAGGTGTCCTCTAAAGTGCTATCTAAGGCCATCATGAGAACTCAACATTTATACTAAAAAGCATTTTGGGTGAATACCAATGCGGCTTCCGATATGGAAGGCGTACAACAGATCAAATTTTTGTCTCAAGGCAAATTATGGAACTTTTCTATGAATACAATACGGACATTCACCTTCTATTTATAGACTATAAACAAGTCTTCAATAGTGTGAAAAGAGCAGCTCTATTCAGCATCCATAAAGAATATGGTATACCTGCAAAACTTATAAGGCTCATAAAAATGATATTAAGAGATACTGCTGCCAAAGTTATGATTGAGAATAAAATGGGAGATACCCTTGATGTGGCCTCAGGAGTAAGGCAGGGCAATGCATTATCGGCGACACTGTTCAACTTGGGACATGGCAATTATTGAAAAAAAGAGGCAGACCGAGGAGCTGCTGGAAGGATGAGGTGACAAGAGATGCTGTAAAGTTGGGTGTCGTAAATTGGAGAAGTGCTATCAAGCACCGTGACAGATAGAGAGATATAACCCAGAAGGCCAAGGGTCACAAAGACCTGTAAAGAGAGGTAGTAAATGAGTATATTAATATACTGAAAATTATGAAACATACACACAACAAAAAAATAAACATTAAGTATCAGTTGGGTAGTCATTACCCAACTCAGTATTTTCACTCCATTGACATTGGCCTGTCTTATTTTCATTTATACTTGTATTATTTCTTGCTTTTTGCTCAAATGTGTAAATAATTACTAAAGATGGAAGTAATAATTGCCACTTTCACTAATTTAAAGATCAGAGATAAAAAAAAATTATAAGTTTTATAAATGAAATTAAAATCTAGATACTTACTGAAAAGGATGATTTATTGATACATCCAAATTCTGAAGTTCGGCCCAAGTTTTCCTTTGTAGTTCACCAGTGGCACTAGTTAATCTATCAAGCTCATTATCGTGAAAAAGTATAGGAACCAAATCTTTGGTTAAGACCAAATCAAATTCAGCACCTATTGCTCCATTCTTATAACACTAAAACAATAAACCTACCATAAAAACACTGCGATTAGAAACAGACATTCATTGGGTTCGTTAATCACAAAAACTGAACATACAACTTCCAAGGCTTCTAATGTATTTTCTGGTGCATCCAAACCAGCAAACCTATGGGCAATGACAGGCATTTGTACCCGATGATCTTCCTTTTCATCACAGTCATTTTCATTAGTATACTCAGGTATAAGTGGACGTCCTAAAATTTCTTCGGCAATTTCTAAATTAGGTTGAGGTATTGAAATTTGTAGAAGAAAGTAATATGTGGCTACCGGTCCAATAAGAATAACGAGGAGGAAAAGGGGATTGGTAGCTTCAACAGCAAGAATGAATATACCAAAAAAATATGTCCACAACGAGACACAAGAAAATGCCAATCGGGAGTCGATAGGATTAATACTGTTAACTTCGAGAGGCATTTGTAATTTATCTCAGGTACAAATACATAAATCCCATCACCTGACAATCCCCGATTCCTCCCTTCAAAATTTGCTGATAATCCAAATAAACAAGTGATAAAAATCAGTGTTGTGCTGTGAACTACAGTAGAGAAAAAATTATTTTCCCATAATCTGAATATTTCTCTTTTGAATATTTTTTTTTAGTTATTAAAAAAATTTAAATATTATTAATTACATTATTTAACTTTTAGTATTAGTCAAATGACAAAAATCTATTTTTAAAATATCAGCTCCTAAACATTGAATTACGTTAAGAAAATATTTCTACATACAGTAATTAAATGAACAACCTATCTCTTCATTGAATACAAAATTTTTAATTTAACTTATTTTAGATTTATTTAACAGGTATAACAACGTATTAACATATTAATATTATTTTTTATAAAAATACATTGTTATACCACAAGATTGCCGACAATTGGCATTATTGGAGAACTAGTCATTCTGTAACTTGTGTTTTGAATAGAAACTTAAATTTTCATAACAATGGGCAACTTAGTTAATGAATTTAATCTGGAATCAGGCCAGAATGTTTTATTAGTAAATAGTAGAGAAGCAGACTCAAGTGATATTGTAAAGAAAGTTGAATCCATTAACAATTTCGTACATCCTGGTGGTGTTGTCAAAGTTGAGAATGTTGGGAGGTTATCTTTAGGTATGATTATAACTTTTAGAACGCTTTTAACCCTAATTTATATGTAACTAATTTATTCCATTACAGGTGATCATAAACCTTCGAGTTTTGATGTCATTATCTCAGATGTTGTGGCTCCAAGAACTATTCAACATGACAGTGATCTGTTTGAAGTTTATCTTACTTATTTAAAACCTCAGGGCAGATTTATTATACAAGAAGCAGTAAAGTCTCTGGATTCCTTAACATCAATTCTAAAATTAAATGGGTTCAGAAATATATCTGAATCTAAAAATATTGTTGTTGATGATGATGAGAAAAGCAAATTATCAGATGTTTTGAAGTCTGAAACATTTCACCTTATTCAGATTGAAGGCCAAAAGCCCAATTATGATGTAATTATTTTATCTTTTTCAAGTGTCCTTCCTTATCCTTTTTATTATGGTTCTTATCAGTAATTCTTAATTTTAGGTAGGTTCATCTGCTAAAATTAATCTCCCAGTTAGTGACAATGTTGCTGCTGTTTGGAAATTAGATGACACAGTTGATGATGATATTATAGATGCTGATGATCTCCTTGATGAAGAGGATCTAAAAAAACCAGATCCAGCATCATTAAAAGGTAATATGAAATGAAGATTTTTCATTTAGTTTCGTAACTAAAATTTAATTTCGATCAAACATATTCTAATTCTCTTCTACCACTTGAAGTCTATCAAACAGAGCGAAATTGTTCTATAAAACCTTGAACAAATTTGATTCTATCAACCAGAGTTAAGTAAATCATTTTTGTTACTGTAGTCTAAAACCAGAGTCTCCAAACTGTGCCCCACAAGCACCTTCAATTCGGCTAGCGAAAGTTTCTTTGCTTAGTTAGTGAAATTGAATAAAATTAAGTAAATAATTCAAAAATTAGGTTATTACAACATTTATTGCTTGAGTTGTTTCTCTGAAAAAGCTCATTTCACAACTGAAGTATAGAACACGTTTTTGTTTTTTTTATCACAGGTCCTGGGCGGGCCTGTGAGGGTCTATGTGGTCCTTGGGACTTAGTGGTCTCAATGTAGCTTATGAACCAATACGTTTGGAGACTCCTGGTCTAAAAGATGAAATGGCCAAGCATGTAGGGGCTAAAATGCCTAGTAACTAGTAATAACATTTTAGATTCAATTCCCACCTGACCTAGTTTTTAATTGCCGATGGCCGCAGGCAATGCATTTTGACATTCCCACTCTGGTCAGTACACGACCGCAACCTCTCTATCAGGAGTTCTCAAACTGAGTGTTACCAACATATGCTAGGCGTGCTGTGCCAATAGTATTTTAGGTTCAGATTGTGATATATTTAAAAAATTCATTCATTTACATTTTTTCGTATCAGAATTAAAATTAATTAAATTTAAGATCGTACTGGTAAAAATGTTATTTAGCTTATAAATATTGCAACATAAATGGATAGAGATTCAAATATATTCACTTTAATAAGCTACAATTTTTTTTTTCAGTCTGATAAGGGTGTCATAAAAACTTTTTAGCACAGAAAAGACATGGTAAAAAAAGAAACGCTTCTTCAAACTGCAGTGTCAGTTCATTTTGATTTTTCCTAAGCTACTGAAGCCATCTTAACTAGTTATCCTTCAGAAAGGCTTCCATTCTATTGTTTTAAATTTGAGACTGGCCTGGTTGGTTGTGTTGTGAATAGTATCTTATTTAGTTCTCCTATTGACATTTTGTAATAATTCATATACTTGACCTCTTTTATCCAATATTAAAAGTAAGAACTCAGAATTCAGAGGAGTACGAAATATTAAAAATATCAATTTGTAGGTGACCATCTTCATCTTTTTGTAGATATCTCTGGTTAAGATAGTCTTGCCAAATTGTGTCAATCCCTGGCCCTGTTGCTCCTGTTTCTTCACCTCCAATATGTGTTGAGGTGAGTACCCTAATTCTTAAAGCTTTTCATCCTGTGTCCAGATCATCAGCAAATGCAAATACATATTTAAATGCCCTGGCTGAATACTAAATTTCTTCTTTATGTAAGATCCAGGATCAGTATGAATAAATCAAATATTTTACCGCAGATAAAAATAAATAAGTTATTAGGAATTAAGTTAGAAGTTTTGTGGGATATGTAAAGAGCAATATCTTACAATAAAGTTATTAGTCCTATGTTGAAATGTACATAACTATAACTTTGTAATTTAACTTTAAATGATATGTGAATGAACTAATGATCTCATGTTTTCCCCTAATATAGTGGAATGCTTTCATATTTTTTAATAAACTATGTATTCAAAACAATTTTAGAACTGACTACTTTCTTAATTGATAAATTAAAGAACTAAATCTTTCGATTTCTTACCAGTTTTGTGTGGCTGTACAAATAACTAACAATAAATACACACATCAAATAATAAATAATATGCAAATAAATATATACATTGGGTTCTCAGATATTTTTGAACCGTTAGAAGCAACACATGGCTAAATACTTATGGCAGATTACCGAACATATAATTCGTTAGTTTTGCTTGCAATTAGTGGGAAACATAGCCAAGTGAAGGAAAGAAGAAATAGTCAAAGTTACTGAAAAATGATAACTAAACTTCGAAGTACGCGTTTCTTCTGTTCTTACTTACTGTGACATAATAATGGTGTTATTTTCTTCATCTTGAACAGTTAATCAAGTAGTACTGCAAATCTCAAATATTTAATGAGACTTCTTGGGTTTGATGGAGAAATCTGCAAAGTTGGGAAGATTGGGGTCTGGATAAAGTAAACTAATGGTTTACTAATGTTTAAAACTTAATTTATCTAAATTTCTATCTATTTAATCAAATTATGGACCAACTTCAAATGTAGGTAAAGTTTCATCGTTTATTGGAATATTTCTTTTGAATACAACAATATTAATCTTTTTTCTTATTTCTGGGAAGTTGTATGATATTCATTGTTATTTGACAATGATTAGTTCCAATTGAATAATTTGTTGTATTATCAAAATTGCATGTTTACAAGTTTATGTTTTGGGATATTTACTCCCATCTTCAGAACCACAATCCCAATGATCTTGTGGATACATGGCTAAAAAAATTTTTTGAGTTAAAATATTGTGCATGTTACAATACATGTCAGAATTTGGTTGTTACAATAAATTTGTAATTACCTTAAAACTAATGTGCTCCATCGTCAGTTTCTAATTCATGTTATAATAAATCTAGGTATATAACATCTAGAGCAACATCTAGCTTTTAGACTAATTATTGGGTGTCTGCCATAGTGAATACAATTGACCTTTTTTTATCTGACTGTTTATTTTTATACTATTGTTGTCAATGTTTATTTTTTATGTAGCTGCAAATTCATATCTATTAAATTTTAATTTTGTTTAATATGTTCGTCTAATGTGTTCCTAAATGTTTAGTGTCTGTTTTATAATTTACTGTTGTTCTATTGTTTTTGTGATGTTTATGGCTTCAAGTAATTACCTATTGGTGTTTTTTGTTCTGTGCCTAATATCTGTGGTTTATTGAAGTTAAATTTATGATGTAATCTTATGCTGTGATTATTTTGTCTGCTGTGATGTGCTAAAGCTGTTGTGTTTATGTTTTTAGTATTTTTACAGTTAGTAATATGTTGTAAAATTCTGGTCCCTAATTGCTTGGATGTTTCACCAATGTAGATTTTGGGGCAGTTTTGACAATTTAATTTATATATTACATTTTTCTAGTTTATTAAGTCTATTTAATCCTTTGTATTGGTGATGTGCCTGCTCAGTTTCTTATTATTATATTGCCCGAGTTTAATTTCTGTTGTCATAATTTTTGAACACGTTATTAATTTTGTTAGTAAGTTTGAGTATGTATGTCATTTTCTAGTAGTAGTTAAAGTCCATTTTGTTTGTTTGTGACATGTTGTCCTGATTGTTCTCGTTTGTTGGATTTGTTTTTTCAAAAAATTGGGTGATGAATTGTTGTGTAGGTTTCTTTATTGTAATGTTTTCTTTTGGTGTCTTTTGTATTGTTTATATTTTGGTTTTATTTTCATCATAGTTTAGTGTTGTATGTAATCGACTGTTCCAAAGTTTGTTCATTAAGTTTATAGGGTAAAAGTTCTCGATAAGTATTTTGTATATTTCTGTTTTTACTTGTGGAATTTAAGGGTTGTCAGTAAGTTCTATTGATTTGTGTATTAGGTTCTTGGCTGTATTAATTATTTGATGTTTGGAATGGTTTGAGCTAAAGTTAAGGATTCTATTACTGGCTTTCTCTTTTTTTGTCCATTTGGTAAGTATCTGTCCTCTGTCCAAAATTATGTCCATGTCCAAAAATCTGAATGTTGTTTGTTGCTTTTTCTATTGTAAATCTGATTCTTTTGTTATACTGGTTGAAGCTTTTCATTTTCTTTTTTTTATTATAAGTAGCAAGTCATCTATGTATTTTTTTATTAACAGTGGTTTTTGTTCTAAGTTAGTTAGTTGTGTCGTGATCAGTTTGTTTAAAAATATGCCACTTAAATTCGCTGACAGAGTACTTCCCATCCTGACTCCCCAGAGTTGTTTATAAAATTCATTATTGTATTTGAAATAATTATTTCTTGTACAAAGATTTATTCCTTCGATGAATATTCTTTTATCTTTGATTTCACTTTTTATGCTGTCCCAGTTGTCATCTATAATTTTTATACATTCATCTAATGGGATATTAATAAAAAGTAATTCAGGGTCTAAACCTCACCAATTTTTTTCACAAATATAAGTAAAAACATAGTAACAGTAATGAAATATTATATTCCAGGGTAATCATGCAACTAGGAATTTGATAGCGCCCATAGTTAAATAGAAAAACCAGTATAAAAGACTTATTTTTATTCACTTCTAGAACTAATAAGATTACTGAAACAAGTGAACCAATGAAATCCTATATAAATATGAAATCAAGATAAGGATTTCTAAGATTTTGCAAGAACATCAAAATTGTCTTGTTACAAGACAACAGCATTCGTTAATATTTCTTAAGTTTGGTCGTATCATGCAAGAAGCAAGTCATAAAACCAATTTGATCAGCAACAATATCCCTAAGACACACATTCTACAAGTTAAAGTGATATTTTTGGTCATTTATAACTTTATTCCATAAACTAAAGGCAGTAATAGAAACTTTATCTGAATTTACGACTTAGTCGCACTCTAAAAGAACCACACACAAAATAAACAGATAATTGACTTGAAAAGGTCCTATCTGAACTTAGAATCTTGTTTCACTATAAAAATGCATTCTGGAATAACAAACTTCTAACTGCAAAATTTCTAAATTCAAAATCATGTTAATAATTGGTACAATTAAATCAACAAATTGAAATATAAATCACCCCTTCAGTTATTGCAGAACCAGAATTGTTTGTCTTAGCAACAAAATATTCATGTCTACAGCAAATCATAATATGGAAGCTCTTTTTCTCAAAATTATAGTAAATGCGCTTAGAATCTTTTCAAACCAAAGGCCATTATATGTAATATATGGTAAGGGGAAGTTTGCAATCATGAAAATTATCAAATCTGAATTTTCAATGAAAAAATATGTTTTCAGGTCCCCTGAATACCAAATAACCAAGGCCATTGAAGTGTGGTGTATATGTGAATAGCCTGGCTCAAAAACATAAACTACTATATTACTTATAATTTTTGTGATTTCAATAATAATTATTTCACTTTTCAAGTTTAACCAATAAATTAATATTCACGTATCTGTATTATTAATTCTGTTTACTTTGTTTATGTTTTTATCGATTATTCTTTGACATTTTCATTTAATGTGTAGTGTGTGGTACAACTGGAAAAAGAAAAGCTTGTAAAAATTGTTCCTGTGGCCTCGCTGATGAACTTGAAAAGGAGGCCAGTGCTGTGAAAGAGACACCTAAATCATCCTGTGGCAGTGTAAGTGAATTAAAAATAATAAACAGAAAAAAATAGTTAAATCTTCTTCATATATCTTTAGATGTACATAATTATTTTTTTTTTTTATAATTCACTAAGAGTCACTTGTTTTCAGTGTTACCTTGGAGATGCCTTTAGGTGTGCAAGTTGCCCATACCTTGGTATGCCTCCTTTCAAACCTGGGGAGAAGATTCAGTTATCAGGAATCCAGCTGAAAGCAGATGTTTGAAGCATATGAAAACTTAATGGAATAAAATAGCTCATTTGTTTTTGTAATTAGTAAAAAATGATTTCCTTTTATCTTGATGTGTAAGTTATTCTAATTATGTCAAATATAAGTTAAAGGCTGTATAATTTTTTTCAAAATATATTTTTCTTTACAAAGAATTTTTATTAGAATTTCATGAATATGAGCGATTTTAATAGAATTAGTGAATTGAAGCTGGCTTATTATTTGACAGTACAAACAAAACTTTGATGTAATTTTCTTCTTGTGAGCTATCAGGCTAGCAAGGAAATTTTAAGTTGTTTTATCCAGTTTTGTAGGAGCAGGGTAAATGAGTTTGTTTCATGCTCAAGATTCTGGGTTCGAGTCTAGCTGTTTATTCTAATCCATCAGCCATGGATGGACATCCACCCTTCTAGAAACACTAAACTGTCAATAATGGCTTTTCTGTATAACTGTAGAAAATAGTAGGCTCTGAAATAGTGAATTAGGTCTGTCTAATCGGTGCACTGGATGAATGGGTTAAATTATGAAGTTTACACATAAATCTAAGAAGTTTATTCATCTGCAAACAAAATCAGTCTGCCACCTGATATATTATTATTTAAATTAAGAAGTTGTGTTTTAATACAAAACAAGATATTGATTTATGCAATAAATGAATTTTCCTGTATACTAAATCAATAATTTCTAATCCTAATTATAAATTATAAATCCTATTTTCTCTCTGTAAATGTAGACAATATCAATGTTTTCACCAGATTCTGAAGGCAGCCATATGTTTCCATTCTGGAGGCTTAGTTAGAATTACTTAATGTTATTTTCAATGGCAAAACACTGATTATAACTGAACCAGCTGAAAGTATATTCCTAGTTTGTAATACCAGCATAACACAATAATGAACATTTAATAGAGTGGTATGTCTGTGAGTATTTATGGGACTACTTCATAAGAAAGCCAGCTCTTTTGCTTTATATTTAATCAAAATCATTAGCAATTTTTTTTAACGTGACAGGAGTGAATGGTTCCATTTTAAAGACCCGTTATATTGAATATATCTTTTGGAATTTATGACAGTACAGTTTCAGCTACTGGCGAAAGGGCCTATTATGAGGCTCCCGTAGCTGACACCCATTAAATTTCCAATTCCTTCATCAAGAGAGGTTAAAAACATAATTTAAAAAGGAAGATGATTTGGGATAAATCAAAGTAGTTAAAGAGAAAAGGACAAACATAAGGTATGGTATCCTTAGTGATAGATGATCATTCCTGTGACACTTAAGTGAACAGTGAGGGTCTTTTCTAATTTGCCACTCATAAAAATATATTTACTATGTATATCATTTTATTTTTATATATAGTATTATATTCCACCTTTTACACTTTGTTATGTTTATTCTCATTCGTAATGTTTGTACATTATATAAATTCCTGAACCTTTGTATTTACACTTGTAAAAGTGAATACGGCAGTATGATTAAAATGAATACGCTTAAATTTGCAAAAGTGAATGCAATTTTCACACAACCTTATTAATGAATACTCTTATTTATTAAAAAAAAAATTATTTATTTACAAAAATATATTTACTATATATATATAATTTTATTTTATATATAGTATTATATTCATCCTTTTACAATATGTTATTTTAATTATGTTACAAGGTATTATATTATGTTAATTATCACTTGTAACGTTTGTGTGCAGATATTTTTGCACAATCTTATTTATTAAAAAAAATATATTTATTAAATTGTTTGCATAAAAAAAATATATTTACTATGTATCCTATTTTATTTTTATTTATAGTATTATATTCTTCATTTTACAATATATTATGTTAATTATCACTCGGAATGTTTGTATGTAATATAAATTCTCAAGCATTTTTTTTTTTATTGGGTCCAGAGTGTGGGGCCTCGCCGGTACCAGAATGGAAAGCCTACGTCTACGATCCTAGACCGACAGACTTTTCGGTGCACTGTTTACTTACGGGCTGCTAATGGCAATAAAGATAAGTTTAATGGACGGCCAGGGCAGGTACAACACTCGGAACAATACCCTGGAAATTCCATCGGAAAATACGTGTACAGGACGGACAGACTTGAGTTGTAGCAAGGAAAGGGGTTAAGAGTTGTCAAATTTGAATAGTGACCTTTCCGGACCTGCCGTTCAGTCTGTAATGTGTGAATATATTTGTTAATGTGTTAAGTTTTGCATGTAGAACAATGTATGAAGTTGATAGCGAAACTGAGTCTGTTTGTTTAACAGGCTCTTGTAATCTGGATGATAGAGATTTTTTTTTTCACAAGAGTACCGGCTCTTTAAGAAATTCTAATATTCTCACCTCCTCAGAATTTTTATTGGGAAAGCGAGGGAGGTAATGCCCGAAGAATATAATGCTATATATAAAAATTTACTTTATTGGCAATGACGAATTGGAAGAGGCAATCTGGAGTATGAAGCTAGAGAAATCCGCAGGTAGTGATGGTGTGACTCCTGAAATGCTAAAATACATGGGGCCGAAAGGAAAAGAAATCTTGCTGCATCTGCTAAAAATTTGCTGATGGAGACTTCACAAACTATCGTTCTCTCCAAAAATTCATAACTCATGGAAATGTGCCCCAAAATAACTCAAGATCCCATCAGCATATTTGCTCCTACAAAAAATTTGATGCCACAACTTGCGCCATGCAATCCCTTTCTGGGCATCTTTGAGCAATCTGTCATAGTCAAGACATGGAGAAATAGTCTAGTCAATGAATGCTCGAAAAGGAGGTATAAGGAAATGGCGGCGACACTATTTTTGACTTTTGGACTAGTAAGGAGGTAAACATAATAAAAGTCTTCACTCCTTGGTAGTGAGCCAGATGTGGAAGGGCCTCTAGAAGGTCATTATTACTTTTTTCATATCAAGAAAACTATCCATCGCATCAACTAAGACATTCATTTCTAAATTAATACTGATGAAATTTTTAATATGGTTGATTATATACCTTTTTTTGCTAACTCACTTATCTTCCAAGTTATCCGTCAACTATCACTAATGTGGAAAAATAATAGAATAGATATTTATTAGTTTATCTTTAACGGTTCAAAAGTTAGATCAATAATAACTATGTATATCAATTCTGAAAATTTGTAGAAAAAATAATTTTTATAATAATTATTTGACTGATCACCCCAATTATTCTTCTCTCCAATTTTTATAATAATCTTTATTAAATTGCTCCAACTCCCTATACATCTAAATCTCTATGTGTATACGTATATATATATATAAAATAACGTATATTATACAAATTTTGTTTTCTGCATATTTTCGGAATTTACATATAAAGTTTTAATTGATATAACTTTTGAAGATAAGCTAGTAAACTAATATATGTTCTTGGAAAAAATTTAATTAATTAAAGCTTTCTTTTCTACGACTTAAACGTAGAACGAATCAATCAAGAGTTAGCTAGTCAAATAAAGTAAAAAACAGGAGGAAAAAAATTTGTTTTTCCACATTAACGATAGTTGAGTACGGATATCTCGGAAACTAAGCGAAATAGGGAAAAAAATGTATAAAACCCATAATATTGAAAATTTTATCAGTTTTCATTGTGTATATAACCTCTTTGTCGATGTGATGGATAGTTTTCCTGATATAAGCGAAAACCCAGAAAAATGCGACCTTCTAGGCGCTCCTCGCCTCACCAACCACCTAGGAGTGGGGATTTTTAATATGTTTACCTTCTTACTAGTCCAAACAATATCCCAAAGTAAAAAAATTTTTGGCCATTTCCTTTTTATAATCATTCATTGACTGGATTAAAAGGATTTTCGGAACCATACCATAAGGTATGGTAAAATTAGTAGGGTTTTATAATTGAGATTGTATAGGTCGTTAAAAATTGAAATATAACATATCATGAGGGATCACGTATCTATATATATATATATATATATATATATATATATATATATATATATGTGTGTGTATGTGTGTATATATATATATATATATATAGGTCGTTACAATTAATTACATTATTAATTACATTATATATATATATATATACACACACATACACATATATATGTAAATGAATGTATGTCTGTCTGTTTGTTCTTTATGCTTTACTAAACCATTCATCCGATAGTCATGAAACTTTGGGAAGTTTTTGCGTACACTCCCGCGAAGGTTTCTGGCTTAGTACTTCTTTCTTACGATAATTTTATATATGTAAAAAAAAATCTAAATGTTTTTTTGTTCAAAGCCACTATTCTTCGAAAATTCTTCACCGATTGCTTTGAAATTTTGACTCAGCGTTGCAATCGAATTCAGGAGTGTTTTTGAACATTTTATTACCAACCGGCCTTTCGTTTCGAAATGGCGGCCGAAAAACGTGTCACTATAAACTGTAGCGCCAAAACGGCTTTAACGATTTTAATGAAACTTGGCTAAAGTCTTCCCCTTGAAAAACTTTTAATTTATGTCTATAACATACTTTCCCGAAAATAAGCTGAAAAAAAATGTTTTATTTGCCGATAACTAAAAAAGCATACAATTTTTGATTGATAATACCCATTTTCTTTTATCATGTTACGATGAATTCAAAATTTTATTTGCCAATAACTAAAAAAGTACACAATTTTCGATAATAATAATACCCATATTTATTTGAAAGGTACCTGAATTCTCTGCAAAATAAAAAAAAAGTCATCGAAATCGGACAATTCGTTGCAGAGTTATAGAGTTTCAAACATTTACTACTTTCTCTTCAGAAAAGGCCATTTCCCTTCTTTTTTTTTGTTTTGTTATTGATTAATCGAAAATTTTACAATTACTACAGTAATTGAAATTGTCATTTGATGAAGTGAAATGATTCTCCTTATGTAGGTCGATACTATTATACGCTCTTTATATTCATTTTTTATTTTCTCCCAATGCATTCTGGAAGTAATATGATACATCTAAAATATTTGATTTGCTATTACTTAAAAATATTTAACTGTCCAGTAATAATTATTACCGTTTATGTTTTTTTTAGAAATCAGTTTTTATTAATTTCAGTTTATTTTATTTTTTAATAAAGTATGTTCTCTAACATTGCGTTGGAATAAGGTTGTGCCGTTTACCGTCGTGTTTCTTTCATGAGTAAGGTTTATTTTTCCACTACAATTTTTACAACTCTATATCCAATCAAGTTGTTATTAAGACGAAGCAAGCAATTAACTATCTTAGGAGGGGTTTGTGAAATCATTTGAGGAAGGTGGAAGGCAGCTTTAATGCACACGAAATGAAATGGTAAAGCGCAATTTCAATGCATTGCCACGATTGATATTTGAAACCTTTAAAATTGAAACAGTATTATAAAATATTTTGAACAGCATGTGTTGCTTTTACATCCAACTGATGGTGGGTTTTTAATAAATATGTATAGTTTCCCCTTATATTTTATAATAGTAGATACCAAGCGCGTATTTAAATGCAACGTTAAGCCAAAATTTCAAGGCAATGGGTGAAGAACTTTCCGATATTTAAGAGTTTGAACAAACAAATATTTGCATTTTTATTTGCCGTAAAATGATCAAAAGAAAGTTTTACATTTAACAATAAATTAAATATTAAAAAGATAATAATGAAATTAAACATGAAAATATATGAGTGGCTTCGTATCAAAGAAACGGGGATCTCTGTCATTTTCAGAAAGCAGAGAAAAAGACCATTTTTGTTTATGGGTTCAATTGAAATTGTTTCTGATGATTAAGAATGACGTCGTATTCACTCTGATGATTAAGAATGTTTAAGTTGAATCATGAAAAAAAAAATCATTAGAATTAGTTTAAATATAAATTTTAAGTTTAAATTCTAATAAAAGCCATTTTACAGACAAATTAGTTTCCCAACTTTTTAATAATGACAGATTTCCTTTGGTATTAATCCACTCATATGTGTTTTCTATTTTCTTTCTTTTCCATTTTGCCAGACTAAGCCACAGCAGCGTGTGACGGGCTAGTATACTATAAAATATATTTTAATCACAGACATTACCACATAGTTATTTATACACAATCAGGTGGAAGGTGGCCTGAGCCCGGTCGTTACAATTAATTACAGCCGAATACAGATTGAGACATCCTGTCTGAACTCTTGTAAGGTTAGTAGTGACCCCGTAGGCTGACCCTTTACAAACCAAATACGGATTCAGAACTCTACCCGCTGGAGAACTTAATTTCTTTAAAATTAATCCGTAAATATATTAAAAAGTTTTAAATGTTCTAACTACGAGAATGATATTTAATTACTTCATAATTTTGACTAAGTGACGTTTTAATTTTGTTTTAAATCGCTTTTTACTGACAGACTATTCAGTCAAAAGACAAGAGGAATAAGTGTTAAGCATAAATAATTTAAATTAATAATAATAAAATAAATAAGTAATAAGGGCTAATATTATAATAAAATAAATATTTTCCTTACAAATAAATTATCTTTAGTACACTCAAACCTATAATACACATTACAAATAATTCACATAACATTTATTTATTAAAATTTAAAAAAAATTGTTGCTAATTATGTGCACACTGGTGAACATAAATTGCTTAAAATTAATTCATAAATATGTTAAAAAGTTTTAAATATTCTAACTTAACGCAAGGATTTTTTTTTTAAAGTAATGTGAATATTTATTGAATATTAATTTTCATAGAAAAAATGTATTAAAAAAATAACAGTTGGATTTATAAAATAAAGGTTGATATTAATAAAATTCCAAATCACATTAATTGGGAATATGTATAGTTTTTGAATTGTTTAAAACAATTAGATTTGTAAAGAAATAAGATGAGATTCACTTCTAGTTGTGCACAAAAATAAATACGATAAATTTTTACAAAACATAATTTAAAAAAAAATTAATGCTTTTTAATGATTTAAAAGCATCGTAAAGCGTCGTATTTAATTTTAATATACCTTGGTAGATAACTTAATTATTAAAAACAGACTATATTAAGAGATGTTTTTAAACGTTTGTTATTAAAAAAACCCAAAATTAAATTCGCTTGTAATATCTTCAGGTAATACTTGTATTTCTTAAGATATATGTCCATAAATGTATTAGTGTATAAGCTGTACTCTCATTAACTTATTTGATTATAAGTAGCTTTTTCTTCAAAGGAAAATCTGACTGGATTATAGTTGGAATTTCCACAGTCGAATATTCACAGTCAAAATCATGAAGTAATTAATTCTCTTAGTAATAACATTTTTGTGTGTTTCCGGATTTATTTTAAACAACTTAAGTTCCCCAGGTGAGGTTTCTGAATCCGTTTAGGGTTTGTAATGGCGCGGCCCGATGCACGGGCGGATCTACGGGGGGGGGGCTTTCGGGCTGAAGCCCCCCCTTCCCCCTCAAAGGTAAAATATAGGCATGTTTTATCGAAAAAAATATTAAAAAAGAATCTCTTAAAGTATTATTGTTTGTGTAATTATATTTAAAAGGGCTTTAGGAATCACTTAAACACCATTTCATACAGGTAGTTAGTTTCTTTCTTTTTTTCCAAAGTAATTATCGTTATTTTTATGAAAAAAACATCTTTCGGGCTGAAGCCCCCCTCCCCCAAAAATTAAATCCTGGATCCGCTAGTGGCCCGATGTAGAGATATGAGACCCTAGTCACTGTTCATTCCTTATTCATAAATTTGTTTTTAATATGTTTTGCAATTGTATTTTTAATTTATTCAGGTTGTAAGAGAGGGGGCAGCTGCTCCACCGTTCTTCCCTATGGATACGTCCATGAATTTATGTGATATATTTCGAAATTTATATCAACATCTCATAAATTTTACTCATTTTATCGATTGGATTAAGGTCTAAAAGGAGAACCAAACAATTTTTTTTAGCTCTAAAAATAAATTTTTTCTTTGAATTTGTCGCACACTTAATTCTTCTACCCGGGCGTGTTCCTTCTGTTCCCCATTAGTTCTAGGGCTATTATCCAGCTACATATTTTTTACTTATTTCTGAACGGAATTTTATAAATCTCTAATTGGACGCAATAATGTTTTCAACTTCCTATTAGAACGTGAAAACATTGGGAAAGTGGGGATACCTATCTTAGTTATCCATTAGTCAAGGACGTCGAAAAACACTGTTATGATCTCCTAGTCTTGTGGGTATTTCCAGCAGTTCGTGGACTCCAACGATGAAGATACAAATATATAGAAATAATTATTTTAGGTGCATTTTTATAAATTTTCTTTTTATAGTTATGGAAGATTTCTAACAAGTTTTGCATTCGTAAATCAATATTCCGAAATTATGATCGTTCTATGTAATCGTCAAATTTTATTATTTAAAGGTAACGAGTTTTCCCCGAAAGAAGTTTCAGTGGAACATAGTTTGGCAAATTGCAGTGTCTGATTGACCGTTCCTTGACCTTAGAAAGATTAGCCGGAAATCACCTGGTTGATCCTGGAGTCAAGGTGAACCACAGTCTTGGATAATATTTCTTACTGGCTGCCTCCTATTCCTTAATATTCAATGATGAAATCGTTATTCTGTCATTATCTATAATATTATTTACTGATCTTCACAAGTGAGTATTGAAATTCACGTTTTTAAGTTTAAATCATTTAGAAATGATTCAGGTCCCTGCTCTATTGACATTTATTATTAATCTATCTGTGTTATTTACATCAATTTCCAGAAGAGCTATGTAAGTACTTCATCAGAGTACCCATCTCTCAAACACTGGGAGGCACTATCCAGAAAACTATTTTCTACAGTGGTTCTACCACAGAATGCGGATCCTGTTTCTTACAGGCATTTATTGCAAGTTAATTTTTTATTAGTTTCTATGAACAACAAATTTTACCATGCTTAGGTTATTTTAGTTAGTGATTTTTATAATAAAATTAAACTTTATTCATTCTGATAGGTGGTTGGAGTAATTCTGTTAATATAATTTATAGCATTTCATACAATCATTACTACTTGTAAATAAAATATATTTTTGTTGCTCGTCAGCCTAGAAGAATATAAAATAATATTCATTATTTTCTTTTATCTTTGTTACTCTTTGACCTTGACTGGGGATGACCTACAATGTAGGTCAATTTTTTTTGATAATTTAAAAAACAAAATCATCTTTTCATGTTCAATAAACTTTATAAATTATTCATGATATTTCATTTCATTTTTTGAAGCCTTAAATGAAATATCATGAATAATTTAACAAAGTTTATTGAACATGAAACTTTTTAAATTATTCATGATATTTCATTTAAAGCTTCAAAAAATTAGAAGAATGAATTTTGAATTTTTTTTATTTTCAGACATTGTTACTGCGCTGCCTGAAGTTAGAGAAAAACGTCAAACAAAGTGTCCTAGGTTTGTTTTTTGTTTTTGGATGTTTTAATTTTTAAAATAGCCTGACTATGATTGTCAATGCGATAATTGAATTATACTTTTTATTTTTAAAGTGATGTTACTATCTCTTTTTATCCAACTTGTTCATCAGTTGAGTCTCAAATCGGAACTGGGAATAGATGTATAATGATTAGCATTTATTTATTTATTTAAAATCTTTGAGTTATTTTTATACATTGAATATATATGAATGTATATTTTTTGAAAAATATATATTTGAAAGAAATATATAGGGTACCTGGTTTCTTTCCTTACTGCTCTACTTCTGCTATGAAATCCCAGTTGATTTACTACATATCCTCTTTTAACATTTGAATCAACAGACTAAATCTTTACTACTCTACAGAGAGATAATTCGGCATAACTCTGGGTCTTAGCTAAAGATTTTCTTCATATCATTTATTGCCCACACAAACAAAATATTAGAAACACAATCCAAAATTAAACGAAAAATTATTGAAGCATCATGGTTTATTTCAAATCACACCATACAAAGTTAGGTGAGCATTTCAATAATAAAATCTCACATCCTTTACATTGTTACGGGTCATTGCATATCCATCGATCAGATAATAAGGTGCATATCCATATAGTTCAAGGGCCAATGTTAAAGGTAATTCAATTCAAGTGTTATTTAACTATCATTATTATGGCTAAAACATTATTTAATTAAAATCATTTATTCAAAATTTAATCAAATTAATTGTTTTTGTAACCATTTGTTGATCAAATAATTCTGGACCAACATACGTACGCAATGAAATCATATACTTTTCCCCTTTCTTTAAATTGAATTTTCTTTCAAACCTGTAAATTCCAGTTGAATCAAGGATTTTCATCAAATAATAATATAACTTAATAATTCAAAACTAAAGAAATATATGTGCAGAAGAAGCATTCGTTAATTTATATTATCAAGTGATTTAGACTTTGTAAATTTGATAGCTTAAATGGTCCCTTAAAATTCAAAATAATTATGTCCCTTGTAGTGATGGACAATTTCTCTGCCCTGATGGAGTATGTATTGATGAGATCCATCTATGTGATGGATATGGTGATTGTTGGGATGAAATTTTTTTACCTCCAGAACAGAGGACTAACGTGACTTCTGATGAAACAGCTTCTCTCTGCATCAACAGAAGGTAATTATTTTTAATATACTTAACAATAGAAGAAAATCTAAAACTTGTATTTTGTTTTTAGAAGTAAAAATTACAATGAAGAAGTATTGATGACATTCTTTATTAGTTTGCTAGATAAGACTGCATTACAAAAAAATCTGGTGCGTTGCACGCATCATACAACTTTCACTTAGCACCCTCTTCTTAGCAGAAATAAGTATTTCCAGAAAAAGGGGAAGTGAAAATAAAAATTATAGACGCTATATTTATTTATATTTCATTGTGGGTATTTTTATTTGTGTAAGTACCCTTACATATACAAATTTTAATATTTATATCGCTGTAATCTATTCAATTAAATATTAAATAATACCAACAATCATATTTATAAAGACCGCATATCTATATTTATATAATATTGTTAGAGTTGGTATTATATTAAGCTCATGCTATGGAAGCGTGTCGTAATCTTTTGGACGAGTTCGGATGTGCTTGTATTCCTTTGGTTCCTCAATTACAACTATTCTCCGTTACGATCTCATATTTTTCCTTTAGTTAATTATCAAATTCTTTCATATTTTATATTTAGCTATCTTTAATATTAGAGATTAATACGAAATGGTCAATTGTTTCAAAAAAAAAAAAATTAAAGGTACTTTAGAGGAAGCTAATATTGAAAATTAGCCACTTAAGCCCTGTTAGAGAACATCAATTAGAATAAAAACCACATTTTATTTAAAATAGCTTAATTTTACACTGATATAATGAATTTAATCAAAATTGTTTTAGCCGTTTTTGAGAAAATCATAAAAATGTGTTTAGTCCATAATACAAAGTGCCACTTCTGGTCAGCCGATTTTGAGGAAAAAGTTGCTGTAACATCCCTAGTATATAAAAACCTTAAATATGAAATTTCACTTTCGTATAACTTTCTGTATTTGAGCTAGACTGTTAACACACACACAGACCATTTTGTGGGACTTGTTTATTTGGACTCAGGAGATCTCAAAACGTGTATTTCCGTTGAAAACTGAGATTTGAAAATTTTCACGATCGCAATACTTTCCTTCACTATATATTTCATATCTAGGTAAGTGAAAATAAAAAAAAAAAGTCCATTTTATTTTAAGGTGTTAAGGAAAAGCAAAAGTTTTCATAATTTTTTTTCAAATAACACAAATTAATTTTAATGTTTCGCTTATTCCAACTGTTTTAATTTGATTTAGTTTCTATTTTAAGCACTTTTAAAGAATGTTGTCATTAAACAAAATAAAAATTGCCAATTATTTTTGATTTCCATTATACCTAACTGAAATGGAGCATTATTAATTTTATGTAATTTGTTTTCATATATTATTAATTAAGCATAGAAATACACCCAATGACGCATTGTTAAGATAATTTTTGCTTGTATCACACTAATTATTGTGGTTTCCATTTATTACATCACACAAAAAAAAAAATTTCTTATAAAAAGAAAGGTACTGTATCTAGTAGAAGTATTAAGAAATTTATATGATACAGAATTGTCACATTAGTTTAACTTTAAGATTAGACAAATGAACTTAATCATCATTAAAAATTTTTAATTTTATCAATACCAACTATTTTATATTACAATATTTTTATAGTATCATACACACAAGCTATATGTAATTTCTTGCTTAATTGATTTGCCTGACTATTACTTCTTAATTTCAAACATAATATCACCTTATCAACAGATGCCCGAAGTTTACTTTCCAGTGTGCATATGGAGCTTGCATAGATCAGGAAAAAAAATGTGATGGCTTTCCTGATTGTTATGACAAATCTGATGAAGATGAGGAACTTTGTCGCCAACACTTAGATGTTAAATACTTATCTGGAGGTTCCAATGGTTTGTAATTCCTCAATTAGAATGTGGTTGATATTAAGATTTTACTTCTTTCACCATCTGATATTAAACTAATAGTTTAGAATGAAAATAGTGAGAGAAAAATGTTAAAATTTGAGAGTGATCTACTATGATGTATTAGTGAACTTTTCAAACGCTTTATTCAGATTTATTTTATTTTACTTTTTAGGAACGTGTGAAGTATTTAGTTCACCTAATCTAATATTAAACTGTACAATTGCTGGATACCCTGTTAGCTGCAATATTCCATCAAACAAAGGCACGAGAATGGTTATGAGATGTAAAAATGGCTTTCATAAACAATTTTACAATAGTTTCACTGTCGAAACAATCTGTTTAGAAAATGGAAACTGGAGCCCTCGGCCTCGTGATGATTGTACAGGTATGCTTAAGCTCATTATATTTAATGCTCTGGGTCAGCAAAAACTTAAATTTTGCAGTTTAAAGTTACTACTAGTTCATTGTTTTGTTTTTTACCAAAAGGGTTAACTTTAACTCGATTTGAACTGTTGATAACACTGGAAGTTTTGTTCAAAATTTTTGTAAATAACATGAAACCCTTTTTAATAACAAACAATGTTCACCATGATTATTTCTATTAGGTTTTAAACTTAAATCATATCAAACCACCCATACTCAGCAAACAGTGAACATATTTTTTTTGTGATCACCTGATTATATTTTGCACCTTCAAAAACCCACAAAGGACACTAGAAACAAATGTGAATGGTTTTTTTCATTACAAAAAATTATTTGGCCTACTTTACTGTAAGCTTCTTTTGGTTTTTGTTATATTTCAAACATTTGAATCGGTTTAATATAATCATAAATATTTTTACCAAAAAAAAAAAAAATCTATTGATGTATATTGATATACCTAGATCAGGGGTCTCCAAACTACGGCCCATGAAAGTTTCTTTGGCCACATTGTAAAATTTGAAAAATATAAAATTTAGTAAATCACTCAAAAACAAGGAGACTACAGCTTTTATTGCATGATTTTTTTTTCTAAGAGATTAATTTAAAAACTGGAGCATCATTTATAGAGTTTTTTTTATTAATTTTATCACTTGCTATGGTCCGAGGAACTTAGTGGAGGTATTAATATGACCCGCATGACATAAGGGAAGTCTCAATGTGAACGTTTGGAAACCCCTGACCTAGATATCCTTGCAAAACAAAAACAGAAAACAATAATATAAAAAATGTAAGTTTTACAAAATATATTTTTTCATAACTCCTAGGATGCATTAGTAAGAAACCTCAGTCATGGGTCTAATATTTTTCAACCTAGTATCACCAAAAAAGTTTTATTTAAATACTTGATCTCACCTCTATAACTTCCTGTTATCAATGTGTTCAGTATGAGATTGACTGATGCAGTTAAGGGAATAATTGATAACTTAAAGAAAAAAGGAATTGGAGTGATACTTGAGAATGCCACTTTCTGAAGAATGAGTAGCAGTTTTTTTTTTTTTTTGGGCACAAATTTTGACATTTTCAATGCAAAAATATTTGTATCAAGAGGAATGAAATAATTAGTTGAATGAAGTTTAAATAGCCTTCTGTCAATTAACTAAAATAATCCTGTCATTTTGTAGATATACCAACATATTTTTAACTATTGAAAAAAAAATCTGTTAACAGGTTCTCTTATTTATTAAAAATGAAATGTATTAATTTTATTAAATGATAATTATTTGGTATGAAAATTAGTACGTTAAAACTACCAAGTGTATTGACTACATTGATACTTAATATTGATTAAGAAAACATTTAATTCAATTACTATCAATTGTAGTAATTTTTAGTTTAATAGTTTCTTTTTAATTATGCTTTATAGTCTGTGGAAGAAGGTACAGGATTGGTGACTATACTCCACTAATATCCTATGCACAGAATACAAATTATCTCGAGTATCCTTGGCATGCTGGATTGTATGAAATAGAAGAAAGTAAGACAACGTACTTATGTGGTGGCAGCATAATTCATCCAAAAGCTATTTTAACTGGTATGTGTAAATTAAATGATTAAAAATAAGCAAATTACAATTTTTTTTTATTTAGAAATTATTAATTGGTGTCTATAAATGACTTATTGTTGTCTAAGAGATGTTGATGCTATAAAAACATGATTTGTCTATTAGTATTATAAACAACTTTGAATTGGATATGAATATAACCGCTAAGCTATAGGTCCGAAAAAAAACAATACAGTAGGCTCTCTCCTACTCAATATTTCATGTGTTCTACTTTGTCAATAATATCTATGTATGTATTAAGATTGTGTCAATACAATACTTACTACTTTATATTAAGAGTTTACTGTTTAAAATTGTTTTCACAAAATCACTTAATAATAATTTATATATATAATATATATATATATATACAATTTTAACCCATTTTTCACTTGTAACTGCTAACCATGAAAACAAACATGTGGATCAATTTACACGTGTGTTTTTTGCAAAATGGTCTGTGTTGTCTCTAGAAGCTTTTAAGCAACTGAAATCCTACATCTGAGCTATTATGAGAGTGTTAGAATTTTTATTTGAATCTTTTATTTAATTAGGTATAATTATATATTTTTCCCTCTATTTTATGTGACAGTTATAGAAGTAAATTTAGTTGGTAATGTAATTTTTCTATATTCCAATACTTTTCAGCTGCTCATTGTGTGTATAATGAAGTTACCCACACATTGGCTGAAAAAAAATATGTGATAGCTGTGGGAAAATATAATTCATCTTGGGATTATAAGGACCCTCTTGAGGAGAGACTGCAGGTAATATTTTCCAATTTTTTTTTGGTACTGAAATTAATATTTGGCTAATATATCTCCAAAATTATAATAAGATTTTAAATTATGCTTTATAATAAATTATACTGTATAAATTTCTTCATTATCCAGTACTGATTTATAAAAACAATACAAATGTATTAAAGGTTATAAAAGATTCATTATATTAAAGAACTTTAAAAATCAAATTATTAAAAAATTTGCAAATTTTAAGAATTTTAGATACTAACAATTTCGGTAATACTCGTGACATTAATATTTGTATATGGGTTATTCCCCATTTTGCACGAATTTCGAAAGTCCAATCTCAATAAAAAACTAAGATGTAAACATTTTTTTTCATGATTCACTTCAAGATATTATACAAAATGATGGTAGCTAAAAGTGCCTAATAGAATTCATTCTGAATTGGGAAGCTTGATCATGATTGAACCGAAACCATAAAGGTAGGAAAATATAGTAAAAACCAAACTCAAAATCTAAACCATATTAGTTTTGTTATGAATTATCAAGAGATTACCTATAAGGCAGAAATCACTCAGACGAGTTGAAAAATATTAATTATAAAAAAAAATGTGTGAAAGATAAAAAGAAAAATAAGTCGTTTATCTTGTATTTGAAGATGTGGTTATTTTTTGGTTGCTGGTTATCCTATTTTACTTATATGTAGGGGTGGGTCCAGAGAGGAGGGTCGAGGGAAGGGGGGAGAAACTGCCCTAGACATCAAACTGTAGAAGAATCAACTAATTATTTATAAATGAATCATAAGCCTAAATTTTTAATTTTTTTTTTGTATTAACAACTTATTCCATCATTTCTTTCAAAACTCAATAGCTTACACTAGTGGAGCCATTAATAAAAATAATTAAGTTAATGATTGTGGAAATAAAAATCTTATTCTTGTCATAAAAGTTATCTATTTGTGTAATGGGTCACATGAGGAAAATAGAGTTTGATAATTTGAATTTAAATTTAACTGTGAAACATAATTGAATACTAAGATAAAATTAATTGAACTCTAAGCTAATAGTACTTTTTTTCTCCTCTACCTCACCTTTTAGGCTATATGGGGTATTCCTGGGGTAGGGATTAATGCCAGAGTTAAAAAACCTTATTGCCACCGGGACGCTCTTAGTTATATTATTATCTATAACTTAGTTATCAGGTTGCTGGGCAACGTGCAATGCAGTGCACACGTGTTAGCCCTCTTGGCTACTCTGCCCCTTGTTCTCACTGATTTAAACCAGCATACAAGAAGTTTAAAAAAGAGTCACAGTCAGAAGTGTCCAGCCCCCAAAATCAATGGTGCATAAACTTCCCCCTTCCTCCAAAGATATTTTATTGCTCTCCTCTCCTTAAAATCAGTGGAAACTAAAGTAAAAGTTTAAAAATCTTAAGTCATATACAATTAAATTTTCAGTGGTTTGTTCTATGTTTTCCTCTTTTCTCCAAATTTGAAATCTTTCATTTTTAAAAATAATAACCCAATCTAAATGTGAACCCCTCAAAGATTTTGATGGCACAACTTGCCCTGGCCAAAATCTCTATAGGATATTACATCATATCGTTGGAATGACCCATGTATTAATTTATTTGCTGATTATTACTATTTGTTTATTCATATAACTGTACTTTATCGACATTTTTATTTTGGTGTTCTGTTGAATCCCTAGTGTAAGGACTATTTTCTATTATAAAATTCATTCCATAAGGCATAAAGTCCATATTACAAATTTTATCAGAAGCCAATTAGCATTATTTTAAAGGATAGTTTATATTAATATTTACAAATAATAATTCTAGAAACACTAGAAAAACAAGATTCTTTCTCTGAATGACTCAATAATGAGGACTTAGTGTATCAGTGTAGTTCCAGTCAGTGTGTTGGGATAGTAAGCCAGTGTGCATGAATTTGTAGAGTAGGGATCCAATAAACATACCCAGGAGTTTTTTTATAACAAATTTCTTTTAGGAACTTCAGAAAAAACTTTGATAATGGTTTTCTGTTCAGAACCGTACCTTTTGAAATCATTGTCTTTGGGTTCAATTTTCTTCAATTAAATCTCAGTAGTTTACTTTGATGAATCAATTCGCTTCCATATTTTTGCTTCTTCTTCATCTTATTTGTTCTTGAGAAAAAATAGCTGTTCTTAAAAACTTGTTTTAATTATTATGGTGAAGCCTTCACTTTGTTCATACTTCCGCTTACATGCTGAGACGAAATCTAAGCATTATTAGTTTATTTGAAGTTTCACCACTAATCAATTTTCAACTTTAGTCTTGTTGTTTTCTTAATTTGATAATTAATATGGATCCTGTGTTGCTACCAGATTAAAAGAGTATTTATAATATCAGTTGTGAATTTCAACATAAAATTTGATAGTATTGTGTTATAAAAATAAATATATAACTTTCAGGTTAAAAAGGTCCATGTAACTGAATACTATCTAGGACTTAAAAATAGGTATGAACAGGATATCGCCGTATTAGAACTTGATCATGAAATTCAGTTTCACACTGCTGTTTCAGCTGTGTGTATCAATTGGGAGAATGATTTAAACCTTCATCTGAAACCATCTGCTCTTGGAACAGTAAGTACATCATCAAGTTTAGCTTTTTAATAATTTTAATATTTAAACAAAAAAAATACATCCCAACTTCTCACTTATCATCCTATCATATACCCAGCCCTGCAAATTTTATTAATTTGGTATGGTGCTTTTAGGAAAACTCATTAGTGCTTGATGCCTGTTAACATTGCACAGCAGGCCTCCAATCTAGTAAAATAATAATTAATTATCATTTATGATAAAATGAGATTAAGTATATATAACACTGATTGTAAAGTTGCAATTGAAGGGTCAGTTGTATAGAGGGGATAATGAACATTTTTAAATTTTTTGAAAAGTTAATTCATATTTCTACTATTAGACTAATGTTTATCATCAATTGGCACCTCTATCAACTTGAGTATTAGACCAAATGTTGAATTTGTCTGAATGGGAAGAAGAAAATTAATAATATATCACTTTTCCCATTTATAATTAAAAATAATTCGGTTTTCCTAAAAATGTCTTTATCAGCTTGACCCTTCAATTGCCATCACAAGTAAACTCTACTGTTTGACTTAAGGATAAATTATTCATGCAGGATCACTTATAAAAAAAGAAGCCTTGATATTCATGCAGTTTTGTAATGAATAACAGTATCATATCGCCAACTTACTTAATTTATGAATCCTTAAGTATTCCTAATTTAACCATAGCAATTGAGTCATGTTATTTATGTCTTAAATAACAATTTCTTTCAAAGCATTATGTAAAATGTCACCAGATGGTACCCAATAATCCAGGTAAGATATTGAATGGATCGGTCTGCAATGTATCTCATCTTTAGAAATGTATTTAATATATAAGATAAATCCCTCTCAAATAATGAACTATTTATTTAGAAATACATATGTAAATAATGTTTGTAGGTAATTTTTAATACTTTTTTCTTTAATAAAAAATCAAATAGTTTTCTCATTTAAATGACTAAATAATTGTATATTCTATCATCCATTATAATAATTTAAAAATTTCATATTAGGTTGTTGGATGGGGAAACACAGAAAAGAATGTCACAAGCGATATTCTTAGGATAGCGAAACTAAGATTTTATGATTTTCGTGAATGTAGAGACAATGCTGAAAAAGATTTTGAAACATTTATTACTCCTGACAAAATCTGTGCAGGATTAGGAAATGGTAAAGTTATAATTATATCTTTATATTCATTCATTACTAATTTTTTGTTTTTTTAAATTTTTTCATAAATTTATGATTTTTTTTATAGATACCATTGTTCAGAAAGGAGATAGTGGCGGTGGCCTCACTTTTCCAAGGCTCACCGAGAAGAATAAAGAAGAAAATTATATATACGGAGTAGTTAGTATAAAAGATCAGTCTTCCAACAAATTGGCTGCGTTTACTAAAGTCACTGAATATTTAAATTGGCTAGAACAAATTCTCAATTCAATAATTAATCAAGATTTAATAAGACATAAAATATCCAGAGGAAGAGCATGAAACCTCAAACAAACACTTTAAGGATGTATGTGTATTTTATTTATGGGACATAATTAAAATTTGATTTAATGAAATATATATAGAAAAATGATGAAAGGATTGATATTCAATTAGAAAAACGAATGGCAAATAAGTTTTATATCAAACATGATAGAAATAGAAGTGAAGCCTCTTAAAATGTACTGCTGATGTTTCAATAACTGAAAGGTATGTTTATAAAACTAAGAAAAACTTGACATCATTTCAAAAATAATTTGTATTGAAAAAATTGAATAAAGTTATCTGAAATTTTTGTTAATAACCTATTGTTACTCATAAAAATTCAATACATTTGAGACGAGGTAGGATAGCTCACTCCCTCTCATTAGCTAACACTTATATCAAAACTTTTAATCTCCATCAAGTGATTTGTTAACAAGTTTATAAATAATATAAGATAATTTAATATGAGTGAAACTATTAGAAGTCATAAAAAACAAAGACAATTTAATATGGTGTTTCCACAGATTTTTATTCTCATAAAAAGATCGCGTTAGCTCATAGGAACAGGACTCAACTCTTTTTCTGTGAATGTACTTCAACTTCATTTACTACTTTATTTTATTAATGAGAATAATAACTTGAAAATAAATTATATTTTAAAGGATAATACACATTAATTGATCATTACCAGGAAAATTTTGGTTTAGCTAAAAATTATGAAGACGTAACTTGCATTACTGAGGGGTTTCTACCTCCTGGTTCTCATCTCCTTCAAAGATATTGAAATGAGAACAAGGCTTATTTGAACGTCTGGAGAGGACAGTGAAACTAAATAGTGAGGAGGACTGAGGGCACCGGCCATTGAATTGCGGTGTGGGGAGCCTAATAGTGCACCCTTTGTAATAAATGGATTGAGTTAATTTTGAATTGAAAGTGTCCAAACTTTCATAAAGAATTAAATGAAATTTTATGTTTGAATAAAAAACAAACAAAAACAGAATTTTCTCTTTTAATAGATTATTATAATCATGTGATACCTTTAACTATGAAAGTTAATTAATTAAAGTTAACAAAAAGAATTATTGTATTTCATTTTTAAAGAAATACTTCCAACCTCAAATAAATTGGTTTGCAATGATTGTTGAATGATCAGTTTCTTTATGCCTTCATAATAATAATGATACACTATAATTTTTACATTTGTTCTTTAGCTCTTATTACCAATCATAAATTAGTTATATTCTATTACTAGCAATCAATTTCTGAGTCATCCTCTAAGAAATACCAAAATCTTAAAGTGTAGAATAACATAGCGCCTTCTGAATCTGAAAAGAAAAGATGAGTAAGTATGCTCAACTCTTCCACTACAATAATCCTCACAGCCCTCATTCTCTGTGAGATCAAATAGACTTATTAATTGCAAACATTCTTAACTTTATTTTATAAATAAAAACATATGTTGCTAAAACATTTTTTTTTTTTAATAATTCAATATGCTCTCAAACCAGTAAAGTAGTTTAGTTCACTATAACTAAAAATCACAAATCTAAACTGTATCATTTCGAGTGATAACTGATTTGTTGTTTTCAATTTATCACTTGTAATTGTTTTATTGTTATTATTCATTCATATAAGGGATACTAATTTTTTTTCGGGACATTGGAGATTGGGGAGACCGTAGTGCTTTCAGAATTCTTCTTTCTTAGAAAATTAAATTCTTATCTTTCATGAAACTGCCGAAAAATAATATTTTTTTTTTCTAATTTCTACCAGAGGACATGAAATTTGGTTGGAAATAATTTTTTTTAATTTGAATTAAAACATTTCAAAATAGATTGATGCACTACTCGAATATTTTTCTTTTGATATCTGTAATTGGTATCATCAACCATAAGTTTTTATTATATATTTTACTGCAATATTTTTTTTAGGGCTATTCTGTCAAATGTATAGTTTACATCTGTTAAAAATAAATTACTAAGGGTCTTTACCTAAAATATATTAATTTTGATATAAGTACTTTAGCGAGCCTACATTCATACCCCTGGAGGCTATGATATAATATTTGACCAAAACCAATATTAAAAATTTATTTTTAATGAAAAATTACCTATTATTAAGCATTAATCTCAGTAGAGGGACTCGTGCAGTAAGTATTTGATTATGTCAATATACTGACCTTCTGAGGAGCGTATTGAAATGATTATGATTATAAAGATGATTATGATCTGAAATTTTAAAATTTAAATTATCTTGTTAAAGTTATACATCTTTTTTTATTTAATTTGGCTTGTAAATAAAAAAAAAATTACATTGTACAAATAATTTATTACATACATTATAAAAAAAGGCGAATAGATTCATTTATTTGTACAATTTCCACCAATAAAAATAATGTTGTTCTCATTGATAATTTAACACTATGAATTTAAAACATAAAAGTAAACATTTTCAAATTTCTCATTTAAACTTATTTTATTACTGGATGGATATTTTCCTTTTTCTTTTTTTTTTCAGGATCCCTTTCTCTTATGTAGATATGTAGAAGTCTCTAGCCTTTCTTCAGTTCTGGAAAACGCCATGGGAGTCTTTATTTTTAGAAGTCTCACTTTTTAACTCCCAAGCTGTTCTTAAACTTGCTGATCTCGATTTACTCTGGACATTACTTTTTTCTGGACTCCAACAGCAACTAAACTAAACTCCCAACAACAGAAACTAATCTGTACTCTTAGATGGCCATTGATTGACTTATCAGCTATTGTTTGACTCAAACTTCTTTGGTAAATCATTCCTAACTGAAACCTTGTCATTACCAACCCCAATATTCAAACCTATTTTTATTAAATTTCTCTTGAATAAAATAAAATCTTACATATCTTTTTTGTTTTACATTTTAAATATTTTAATAAATCTTTCTAACTACTCAACCCTGTGATGCAGTCTTTAATTGATTATTAATTGTTCCAATGCAGGAAACCAGTTCTTTGGAAAAAAAAAACAGTTTTTGTTTAAATTTATTTCATATTTCTGTATTCACTTTCATACGGCAAAAAATAGTTTAGTTTTACTATTTACAATTTATAACTTCTGCAATAATATCTCACCAACCCTACTTTTTACTAAATCTAAATAAAATTAATATTAATATAAAATTATAATCAACATATTTCATTACAATGTATATATCACATAAAATCATATTGACGAAGTAAGGGCATTTCATACTTATGCTATTATTATTATTATATAAAATATCTGCTATTATAAGGAGGGATAGACGTAGGGTCAAAATGTGACCTTGAATAATCAGCTCAAAGAAAGGAATATCTTCATCCTCTCCTATTTATCAATAATGTTCCTTTACTAAAAAAAAAAAGGGAGGTGTAATTTAATAATTTGGTCTGAATAAAATCAAGTTAAGGAAAGGGTACATAACATGGTACTTTACAAATCTGAGAAGTTGAAATATCACAATAATTATTTTCCGTGACTTTGCTCTGAATCATCTTAGCAGTTACAACGATGCTTGAGAACAATTTTATATAGTTTATCTTTCAAATTTTAGTTATCTTGAATTTCAATTGATTTTATTTAGGAGCGAAACTCAATCACGTTACTACCTTATATTTCCATTGAATAAACTATTTTTTCTCAGATTTCAGTTGAAATTTATTCACTTAGTCTTATCAAATAGTGACCGTAAATTAGCTACTAAAATTTTATTAAATTTTATGGTATTAAAACTTACCAAGTGCTCTGATTACTCACTAAGGGTCTAATAGTAGAAAAAAATATAATGTAATGGATTCAGAAAGTATTCATCTGTATGCAAAAACCAACAGCACAATATCTAACTCAGTGTGGCTAGTGTGGGCTTTTTAAATTTAGAACTTAGTTTTAGGAAGGTAGCATAATAGAAGTTTTCTAGACGTTGTTTTTAAAAATAGTATTAGAATTAAAGTTAACGATTAATGAGCCATGATGTGTCCTACAACATGCAACAGAGGTCAATAAACATAAATATTTTTTGATTCATTATCACTCAAAGAACTATGGTATCTAAGTGTCTCTTAAATTAAAATAACCCTATAACAACAGTGTTCAATTTCTTTTAGTTATTTATTTAATTTAAAGGAAACAGAGTTTTTAATAGAAAATAAATGTGAGAATCATCTATTGGTAGGTATTTTTTATTCTATGGCAAGGCAATGGAATTTCAGTAATTTTTGTGCAGATCAACTGTTTACGTGAAATAATCACCAAATATAATGGATTTAAGAAAATTGTGTTCATAATGATGATAAAATTTCAAAAAAATATAGAGAATGAATCACTCAAAAAAGTGAAAAAAATATGGTAAGGTGATGGAAGTTGTAGCGTCAGAAACCAAGTCAGACATTTTCCAACAATATATCATATAGTCTGTATAGAATTCCTTTTACCTCTTAACTTCTCCGAAACCTCTACTAGTTTCATGCCAAGTTAGGTAATATAAACAGGTTAACATAGGGAACAAATTCACCTACTCAACTTAAATCTTAATTGGAATCTTTATAACACATTTGAAACAAATTTTCTAACCATTTTTGTCTAAATAGGTAACAATAGTGAAGTTTTAGGAACTAGACTTATATATTTTTATTTTCAAAACATTTGTGTGTGTTTCAAATTTAAAACTTAGCTTTAGGACAACATAATGAGTCATTTTTTAGATAGTATCAAGCACATTAAATTAAATATTAATGACCCACATGAACTCAATTTAATATGCCAGACCTTTATTTATATGCAACCAGTAGACATAAACAAACATAAATATTTATCATTGACAATCACTCAAAGAACTTGCAGATCAAAGTGTTAATGATATTGAAAATAACCCGAAAAGAATCTTATAAATATAAATAAATATATATATATATATATATACAATACTCAGTGCCAGGTAGAAAATTATTGTTCTAGGGTTTTAATTGGGGAAGTATATAAATTGTTATAATTTTTTGTTTAAATCAAATAAAACCTATAATTCACAATATACAGTCCTGACAGCTGACAACCTCAAAACTGTCAAAGAGTAAATGGCACACATTTTACCTGAAAATCATTTTCTTTTCTTTTTTTAAAATAATCTCATGCAAGGATGATGAGAAAATCAAATCTAACAGAGTAATAGTTTTTTATTTTAAATAACATGTACTTTTTAAAAACTATTAGTATTTTATAATTTATAAAGTTGGCATCTTCAGGAACACCTACTGCATAGTCATGAAAGAGGGGCACAGGATTAGCTGTGTCTCATTGGAAGCAGGATTTGACATTTGATCTTAGTGTCTCCTATGCTTGGTGTTCAGTCAGATTCAAATTAAACTAATTGGACAAACTCTTTTAAACTAACTTAAAATTGAGTTAAACTATTTTTGAAAACAGTGGTCCATTTGCTAAAATAAACAACACTAAATAACTTGCCTGCCAACCAAATTGACATTTCAGTCAAATTTATACTTTTTCAAACATGTAAGAATTGGCTACTTGTTTTGATCATTGTCAAATTCAATTTTTTCCCCCTCATATTTTAAAAATAGATAGCATTATTAAATTATTGTGCGTCCATGTTTGGATGAAGGAAGGTGACTCGATTTCCATTATTTTCCTTAATTTTATTTTAATAATATTAGGATTCATTTAACAATGGTGAATAATAGTTCAAAAGCTTTGTACCATTGTTTATATAACTAAAACAGCATTGTTTATATAAATAAAAAGGAAGATTTGTTTAAAGTTAAGGTTGCAATTCAATGTTACATAATAAATACACAACTTGAAAAATTGATATTAATCAAAAGAGAAAACATTATTACAAAATATGTATCCAATGGTAAAATAATACAAACATAGTTTGTATAATTGAATATAAAATATCAATCATGAACCACTGTTGTTTATTATATTTAACAGAACAGTTTTTATCCACTTTAAATGATATGTTACATTAGTAAATGCTATTATATCATCCGAATCACGCGGTTTCACTGAAACAATTCCATATAAATAATTTAATTCTTCTCTAGTTTCTTTGTTATAATATGGAAAAGTTAGTGATCCGCCACTGTCACCTTTATCCGGAATTGAACCTGAAGTATAGAATATTGTATAAGAAACAAGAATGGATTCCATGAAGAATATTTCTAAAAATATACAAATAAAATTTACCTTCACGAGCAATAGAACAAAACTTATCTTCTTGGAAGTATCTCCTAAAACCACCTGGAACCATTGTAAGACAGTGTGATACATCTGCATAAGTAAGTTTTGAAGTTCTTAATTCCAAACTTAATTTTTCATCTTCTGTGAAGCCCCAACCTGGAGCCTAGAATGAAATTAATTAATTAATTATTTATTTTTGTAAATGAGAACTTCTTTAGTAAATTTGTGTTCATAAATATACCAAAATCTGGAAAGTAATATATTGATCACAGATCAGTCAATATTTCTAATCTCTACTCATCGTATTTTATTTCTACTCCTACATATTGCCCAGACGTCAAAACTTGAGAAATAAAAATTGTTTTGCTGTTTTTATTACTATATTTATGCTTCAGGGAGACTTTTTCTTCCTCTTCAGCACATAATATGTCCCATTATTGTTGGGTAAGCCTAACTAAAGTTTGCTAAGCTTGTTAAATGACTTTTTTTTGCAGATAAATACAAATAAAAATAGTATTAAAAAGGACTATAAACACTTTATTTATTTTTCAATTTTGATCTGTAGGCAAAAGATTAAAAAAAAAAAAAAAAAATGCTAGGATGGAGATGGATGTCAGCTGCTTATTTGGAATTTTAAAAAAATACAAAGCATTTGAGAATAATTAATTTTAGATTAATTATAAAGCAACTGAATTAAAAACATCGTCAGCACCATGTTAGTAAGGAATATGAAACGTAGGACAGGTTAACAATTGTTACTTTAACATGGTGCTGATGACATGTTGAATGAAATACAATTCAAATATTAATTAATATAAAACAGCTTAAGAAATAAATTTAGTTATTTTGGGGGAGATGATATTGCCTGAGGGGGTCAAAGGTCTAAGGCATGTAATGGGGCCTACCATGAAAAAATACTTTCCCACCATTTAATCATGAAATGAGTTCTTTCACACAACTGGATCTTATAATTGTTCACAGAGCATGGAGACTTTCAAACTGAACTCCATAACATAAGGTAAGAACAGAACTTCATATAAATTAGAACATCGCCTAACTCAATTTTTGACTTTAAGTTGAGTAGCTAACTGGATAACTTTCTTCATGGCTGATCAACTGGTAACCATAAATATGTCAAATTTATGTTTTAAAGCCTTTATGAGTTTTAAATATACAATAACTTAAACTATTATTGACATTATCAAACAAATTAAGCAATTTCATTTGATCTCTCGTTATAAGAATTGAATTAGGCGATGTAAGAATTTATATAATGATGATACTACTATGCCTTAGCTGCAGTGGCCCAAAATGAGTGAGGCTGCTGAGCAAATCAATGTATATTACACTCTGTTGAGAGTAATATGCAGTTGAGAGGCACTAATGACTATATTCCTCAGGGATACTAGACTTTTATGTTCACACAGAGAACGATCTTCCTCAGCTTGTCATTGAACAAAATTTGACACAAATGAGTTTGTACGAGTGGAAAAGTTGAGTGAGTTCAGCCCATTTGGCTGAAGGGTGACTGCTCTTGGGACGCCACCACACAGAGGAGCCAGATGACGCTCAAGTGCATTGGGTCATCATAGTTGAATATTATTGTTTCAAAATATAATTTATTAGTAGTAATAAAATGTTAATAAATCATTACAAGCATATTAGTTTAATTATTGAAAACAATCTAATGTATTTAGTTACATAAAAAAAAAAATTCGAACCGTTCCCAGAACCAGAGGATTTTTGTACAAATCCAATTTTCCTCCCCAATCCATGCATACAGGCATAATGTAATCAGAGAGTTTTATTGTGGCATTCAATTCCAAAATTGCAATGTCATCTTTATAATGCAAAATTTGACCTTTGTAGGTATCTGTAGTATATATCTTCTTGACCTAATAACAATAAAAATAATTAACGAAACCTGTAGAAGAACAGTTTCATTTTTTTGTTGTTTAGAAAGAATGGCCAGTAAGCTAAGATAAAGAAGTTGATTAATCATAGTTTTGGGGGAACATTACAAGTAATTACAGAATAATCTTGTGACAATATTTACAAAATTAGTAATGATTTGATAAAATAAGTAATAACATTAGAAATTAGGTTGTCTTCAAAAAGTAACATAAAGCAATTGAAAGGTCAAGAAAAAAATTTGATTTTTTTTTTCCCTTCTTCATATTCTAACAACTAGAAAAATGCTGCATTTCATTGCACCAATGAAAACTAAAATCCTGCCTATACAATCAATGGAGCATAACTTCTCAATGGCTTGAATATTGCTTTAGTTGAAACTGTGCAATCACCAAGTGATCTTATGTTCGCATTTTCCACGAATTCTATATAATTCATTACTATACCAAGAACAATGTCACTCAAATTTGCATGACCAAAACATACAACATATCTTATATTTGAGATTAAGCTACAACACAAGTATGTCAAAAACCTTTATCCACACTCTTGAAAAAGGGCCTAAGAAATGTATTTCTCCTTATAAGTTGGTGATCAAGACAGGTTATGAGCTCCAAAAATTTCTTATAGTTTGTTTTAAAAAACATTAACAGGATGGTTAAAAGATTCATAAAGCTATGTGATTCACCATGCTATGTAATTCCAATGGAAAACTCAAAATCACAAGAAATACCTAACAAATTTAAAAGAATGTATACAATGGCAAAACATGCAATAACTAAGTTTTAGGCTCTCATAAGGGCTAAGACCAGGTAAAAATGACCAATAAGAAAGAGAAAGAAAATAAGAAGATATAATAAAAAAGGAATGCAAACAGTAATGATAAATCGAATATATAAGAAGGAAAGAAAGAAAGTTAATTTTATTCTGGGACATTTAGACAGAATAACTATAATGAACTATGATGACAATTAATATATATGTGTAAAGAATTAAATATATATTGTAACATCTCTCTTATATTTTACAAATAATTATATAACCTCGGAAGATCCCTTTATACTGTTGGGATACTTCCAAAAGAAATAAGAGGTTATTAAATAATAAACAAAATTATAAGAGTACTAATATATTTATTTATCTCAGGTGTGGGTTACTGACAATCAGATCAAAACACTCAGACAAACTAAAATTAACTACAATAAACACTGTTTGATTTTAAAATAAAGTCAAGTATGGATTGGAAAGCTTTTCTATATATATATATAATGTTTCTTCCTTTGTTGCAATAAATTCATTTCTCTTCTAACATTTTCCTATGTTGTGCCAAAAACATCTTCCAAAATGGTGATACTTTCTTCTACTCAACTCAAACTCCCTGGGAGATCAACAACAACTTCCAACATGATAATACTATTACTAGGTTTTACCCACTGGAGCCAAGGTACCTTCTCCCATCCTCTCTTCACCCCAGCCAAACACCAGCTGCGATTTTCCTTTTTGGGGAAACTACAGAGCAGCTATTTTCTTTTCCCTGAACTAGTAGAACTTGATTAGCTTGCTTTTTAACTGTTACATTAATTTATTAAACAACTTTCAATTAAGGTGTATATTATAATATACATAGTAAAACTTTTCAGTTCTCAGGAATCAAATTTTGTCCGCTATAGAGAGACGTCCATTTAGAGAAATTGGAAGTAAAATATGATAAAAAATAATAATTAGCAAATTGAAATTGTATTTTACAAGTCATATAAATGAAATTGTTTATTCATTTAAAAACATTCGTATATTTTAAATTTACAATTTACAAATATTTTTATGAGAAACAAAATATTTCTAATATTAACAGTGCTCTTATAAAACGTAAACTTGTGTATCCGTAATCTTTGTTAGAAATTTTTTATGCTTAACTACTTTATTTTCCAGATTTGGAAGGATGGATCAAATCAGTACAACGTGTTCAGTCTTTCTTCAAAATGAAAATTTTTTTCAGCCAACTAATTTGTGATTGAGCTTCTTCCGTCTTCATTGAGGGTTCATTATCTTGTGGGTCTTCTGTTTCTGAATTGTATTGTTTGATTAAACAACTATAATCGGGATTTAAGTGCCGAATAGTGAATCCTAAGTTTTTCACATACACTCATTAATAATGTCAATATTTCACTGTCAAAGTTAACCAGAAGTTAGTTGACTTCTTTAAAATTAAATCAGTAGAACTAAAAACAAAATATTAAAATTGTAGCCCCTATTTCATAACTGAATTCTCAATATATATAATTGAGCTAAGTAACTGTAGTAATTGGATAAATGTTCTCAAAATATGAGCCTCTCTGACTACCTACTGTAATAGAGGTCTGCTAGGCAGAAGTTATTCATACTGTAAACCTATTGAAAGCAGATGGGGATTATAAATTTGTCATCAATAGAGAAAAGAGAAATCTCCACTATGGAAAGTTTCACTGTATATATACATATTATATTTATTACACACGCCATTTGTATATATGTTACCATGAAAGACAGAATTTGGAGAATGTCAACTTTCACTGGTGAATGTCAAGACATACCAAATATATTGGTAAATATCGAATATTTCATTACATTCTTGTACATTCGGACGATCACAGATATGCTCTGGTTGAGGTCCAAAGAGAGAAGCTGACCGGCTCTCTCCCCCAAAATCCTTTGTTCTGCTGGGAGTCAGTCTTATGCAAGCTTTGATGATGCGAGCAACGTTTTCTTAATTTTTTTTTCTGATACCGTATTTTATACTGAATGGATACTGCAGTAAATGGTGATCTTTTTCTTGAAAAGTTGAATGCATCAAATGCGGGTAAAAGAGAAGACAATTGCTTTTATTTTTCTCAAGAAAAGTACTCTAAAATACTTTCCGAAGTAGTTTCTGCTAAAATTAAGTGCAACACATCTTTGGATTACAGACTATTAAAACGTTTTGACATTTTAAAAATTAATGACGAATAGAAGTTAATTGTACCATTAAATCCAGGGTAAATGAATATACAGTATTATGTTACCAGTGAAGAATTGTTCAGTATACTATATGAAATTCACACCAGTATAGGCCATGGAGAAAGAACATGTAAGCTTAAAGAGTTGCAATTTAAATACAAAAATATTACATATGAAGTTGTAATGTTGTATTCAAATTTATGCAAACAGTGTCAAATGAAACACAGTGCACCTAAGAAATAGTCCGTGATATAGACCAGTTTTTATAAAATTATTAACATCCGGCTTGTAGTAGATGGCCTCTAGTATTTACTTCTTTATGTGACATTAAGTGAGGAAATGGGAAGGAATGTAGGGTTGCACTATGAATTGTACTCAATTATGCAGTGGACAAGTTATTTATTGAAAAGTATCTAATCGATAAACAATCGACAAAAAAGGTACAGAACAGAGAAAGGAGGAAGCCTGGAAAAGTGCCGGTAGGTGGTAGCAGCTGAAGAAGGACGCTGGAAGAACAAAGAAAACACTTGTTGCAGGGAGAGGAAGAAGGAAGGATTTTATCCGAGAAGAGAAGCCTACTACACTGAAGATTAAGAATATCAAGCCTACAGTTATAAGACTTTAGCAGATTCATTTATTACAGTTGTCAAAATAAATTGTTCTGTTAGACAGGAATAAATAGTCCTTTTATTCAGTTGTTCTATAGGCCTCACAATTGAAGAATAACAAACCAGGTGAGTCAATTCATTCACAGTGATCAGACATTTCATTTATATATATTCTTATTATTTTTTGTCACTCAGTGTCACAAAAGCAATAGGTTCCCGAATTCCCAACGACAGTTAAACATCCTCAAAAAGCTTATATCCAGTGCCGAGGTTTTGTTTTAAGAAAAATAAATTCACAAGTGTAAATAACCTAGACCCCCGACAAAAATGGAAGGAATATTTACAGGCTGAAACTAAGTAAATAACTTCATCTCATCATAACCTACAAATATTTTATTTACCAAAATTCTCAGAATTGGGGCGTTTTCAATCTGGAGGTTGGAAAACTTTGTCTATTTAATAAGGTAATAAAAACTCATAAATACCCATTTGCTTTCCACTTGGATCGTAAGATAATATGATCACAAAATCGATAAAAATGGTGGTCTACAGAAACATTAAGCTGTTTGGTCTACATAACATCGTTGTTTTGAAAAATTGTGGGTATAGATCACCCCAAACGGCTCAATACTTTGGAAGGCCACCTTTTTTCCCGACTTTTTGCTCAAGTTATTTTACAATTCAAGTGGAAAGCCAATGAATATTTACGAGTTTTTAGTACCTTATTTTAATAAAAGCAACAAAGTTTGCCAACCTCCAGATTAAAGACGCCTCAATTCCGAGAATTTTCATAAATAAAACATTTGTAGGTTACTTTGAGATAAAACTATTCAGAAAGTTTCAGCCGGATGTTAATAATTTGGTAAAAAGGGGTCTGTACCAAGGACTAAAAGGTACTGTTGTGAAACCAATGGTCAGTTCTGAGTTAAACTCAAGATATCAAGTTGATCTGATATAGTCTGTGGTACAGGCTATGAAATTATAATATAATTTCATGAAATTATTAACATCTGCCTAAAACTTCATGAGTGGCTTCATTTTTTGTAACCTACAAATATTTTATCTATGAAAATTCTTGGAACTGGGGCATTTCGCGTGACCTACAACCCTAACATGTCAGAACGACATTGTGAAAATTTATGAACATCTGGCTGGTTTTCACATTAATGGTTAATTCATACAATCAAATGATCATAGTGGCCTACAAAAATATTAGGGCGTTTGGCGTGACATACAATCCCAACATGATGTCGGAAGACGTGAAAATTTATGAACACCAGCGCACACAATCCCTGAAAATTGAATCAACATAGTATGATCCACCACATGGGTTTGACTACAGACAGACATGGAATCCAATTTGTTCTTTTATGTCTAAAATGTAAAACATGAGTAGGAGTTTTCGATTCTGAGCACAAATTTTTTATTCCTCCTGCACAAATACAAAGCTTCCCTACCTACAGTAGTATGGATGCCAAATAGAAAAATGCTATTTATAGTTCTGAAAGTTAGTATATTTGTATGTTTAGCACACTGAGAAAGTACCTGAAACCATTGTTCGCCTAATTCTTGCTCTTTTGAATTAATTCTGTATTTTCCAGCAGCAACTAAATATTTTGTTTCATTTTGAAGCTTATCAAGATATACACAATGGGCAGCTGCAACAAAATAAAGTATCCCTTTGATTTTACATTGACGATTTATAGACGAAATCTGATGGCAGGACAGCTAGCCCCAGTGAAACACCTGTATATAAGTAGTTATTACTGTGGTCCATATATATTTGCATCACATTACTTAAAAATAGCTGGACATATAAGATAGGCAACTTTCCAAATTTAGAAACTGTGAAAAAAATTTTACAAAAACAGAAAAGTAAAAATGAAAATGGACTGAATATTAATCACCAAAATTGCTATAAAATGAAATAAATAAACTTGAATAAATAATTTTTCAAATAAAAACTTAACTTTATATTCAGATTCATCACCCATTTATACCAAATAATAAATCATTCTTAAATAAATCATAAATCATTATTATAGTAAATCATTCAGAATAAGAGTTCTATCGCCAGCCTAAAAGCCTGCGGGCATCATCAAAATCATTACCATAAAATGAATTATCTGTGGTGAAACTCATTCAGCTTATTATTAAAAAAAAAAAAGTGTTTGTAATAATTTATTGTAATTGTTTTTCCAAAAACACTGGTAAAAGGAGGTGACATAATTTCATGTCACTTAATACTTTTTACATAACTGAAGATCAATCTCAACTTATTCTATAACAAACCTAGACTTGATTTTTATGGATTTGCTTCATAAACAACAAAGTTATTCGAAGTATGGGGATCTGTAATCCAGTAGCAAGTTGATAAAAAACAAAATCTTGAACTATCTGTAGTGAACATGTGTGATGATTAGATAAAACATGTGATAAATTAGATTATGATTAGCTCACTAATGAGTGTTAGCTAAAAAAAGACTAGTGTTTGAAATAACGTGATGAAATAATTTTTCTTGCACATAAAGTTTTGGCGTCTTAGTTTAACCTAATACCATTAGGAATATAAGGCTTTTATTAACAAAAGATATGAAGATGTGAAAATGTGTAAGCATGAAAAATAACTTTACAGATAGGTATAAAAATATAAGAGATTACAAATAATTTGTGAAAACAAAGAGAGTGGAAATAATGACACCATCTCATTCTTTCCCCCTGAGAACTACAGATGAGATATAGTCGTCTAGGTACCGAGGTCGAGTCTTGATTCTACTAGATCTTTGAAAAGATTTTATTTCAGTCTCTGCCTCAGCTTCAATAGATCTTGGAATGGATTCTTCAGTTCTTTCATTTTCTTCTTTGTTTCTTTTGGTGGGAGTCAGTTCCTCATGATTTGTGATGTGTAGACTTGTAGGGTGGGTGATCTGTACTTGTCTGGGTCCCAAATAGATACTGTATCTTCCCGTCCATCTGGAAAGTGTACATAAGCATAAGTTGGATTACCTTCGAGGAATTTGACAACTTTGAATATAGGATCGTACATACTTCTTCGGTTGGAGGATATCTAGACAGCCTTTCCAGAAGCCATTAGCCAGAAGGGTAGGGACACTCCGTTAGGTGATTTTCTTTGAAAATTAAAAAGTCGTTCATGCTGAGTGCAGTTAGTTGCTGTGCATAATATAGATCTGGTGGAATACAGCGCATCGTCAACCACCATTTTCCAATGAGCTTCCTTTAGATCTCTTGACTGAACAGCAAGTATAGCAGTTTGTCTAATGATTCCATTCTCCATATCAGAGATGCACCTCTATCGAAATGAATATAGTCAGGGGTACGAAATACATGTAAAGATATTCTTAAAACATTTTATGACTGTAAACGATAACATATCAAGACAGGGGAATGCAAATGGGAATCGGCTATACTCGCTCACAATTGTTAAGATGAATTTGTTCCAAGTGTTGGACGGTAATGGCCCTTTGAAATCAACGCTGCCTTTCAAATGGCTGGGTAGCTTTTATTAATGTGCCTTCAAACTTGGTAAACCTTGGCTTAACCCGAATACAAAAATTACAAGTAGATGTGATACGTCTGATTTCTTTGATTGAGTAAGGTAGGTGTAGTTACACCCTGTTGACAAAGTTTGCTATGGAGTTCTTGGAGGTTATTCAGGCTGTAGAAAGAAGAACAGTAGTGGGACATTGCGTCAGCCACACTATTGACAAGCTCTGGTATGTAATTAATGTCGGAAGTAATAATTGAACAATTCCTTTCCCATAATGCCAACGCATTATTTTATTATTCTTTATTTTGGAAGTGAGGGTTGAACTGAACACGTAGGAGACTGATTTCTGGTCAGTTAGAACAGTGAAATGTAGAGCGATAAGGTATTGCCTCCAGTAACAAATGGTCCCAACCATAGCTTGGGCCTTATTTGTGATTGACGAGTTTCTTTGCTCTGAGCGATGCAATGAGCGAGAGAAGAAGGCAACAGGCTTGGTGTTTTGTGAAAGAATGGCTTCAACAGCCACTTCGGAGGCATTCATTTCTACAACAAATGGGACATCATCTAATACAGGTGTCATGGTTGTCTTAGCAATCTCTGATTAAAAAGCACTGATTGCTTCAGGAGACAACAGGAGCTTGCTTGATCAACTCAAAGGATGAATTTTCTCAGAAAACGATCTCACCAATTTGGAAAAATGAGAAAATAGTCCTAATACTCTCTTTAAAGCTTGACCGTTTGATTGGACTGGAACTTGAAGTAGTGATTTGATTCTGTCGGGGTTTGGTCGTATGAAATTATTTTCAATCAAATAACCAAGAAGAGTGATTGATGTTTGACAAAATTTAGACTTTTCCCTATTTATAGTTAAATTGTACTTTTGAACCATAGCCACAAAATGCTCTAGGTGTTTGTCATGTTCTTCCTTAGTGTGGCCTCTGATTGTGATATCATCTAGATATGCTTCTGTATTTTCGAATTTTTCAAGATCCTTAATTTCATCAATTTTTCTTTGAAAAGCAGCAACACCATTTGTGAGACCAATGACGATTCTACAGGACTGCCAAAGTTTACCCGCTGCTTCAAAAGCTGTGCAAGGCCTGTCCTCAACAGGGATAGGAATCTGATAGTAGACATTTTTCAAGTCTATGGTAATGAAGAGAAGAAGTTCCAAGATGCCACTCTATTGACTAATTCTTCTATTCGAGAGAGCAGATATGCATTCAGTTGGGCAAATCGATTTATTCTTTGAGAATAGTCCACCACCATTCATTTCTTGTGATTCTCCTTATGAGTTAAAAGAATTTGAGCCCTCCAAGGCGACCGGCTCGGTTCGATAATGCCTTCCTTCCAGAGCTTCTGTACCTCATTTTGAATAAAAATGGAATCCTCTCTTGATTTTATAGCAATTGGCTTGATGTGAGGTGATGAGCAGTGAGGTGAGAAAAGAAACAAGCTAGAGTCACTTCAGGAGCAGAAATGCAGCAAATTTTGATTAGTTCTTTTTCTCCACCAAATTTCACCTCTAGGCTGGAGTGTTTTTTTAAGAATATCGTGGCTAACAATGATAACAGCACAAAGCTCCGGCAGTACTAGTAATTTCACTAAATTGTAGTTTTGTTCAAGAATATTTAGGGAGCGTACGCAAAAATGTTTGATAGTGGGGCGGTGAGAGGTTGAAGCCATTACAACATTGCTCATTGTAGATTGCACTTTAAAGTGGTTAATTTTTACAGCCTTGAAACTAATGAAACTTTAGGAACTTCCTGTATCCACTAAAGCATCCATTTCAACTCCATTAACCAGTACTCGAATTTAGAGAGGATGGAGGGAGCAGATGTGACAAAAGATTGTTAGCTAAGAGCAGTCATTAGCTGGATTCGAACCCAGGACCTTGAGCTACCCTGCTCCCTATATAATTAAATATAAATTCTTTTAAATCTCTCTTAGTCTATAGAACTCAGAGATTGGAGTTATGTGATTCAAATAAACTGTTGTAGTTATAAGGATTTTATTGCCTGCAATCGATATAATAAATAGGGTTTATGTTATTTTGATGGTCTTAACACCTTTTTGTATTGATGAATATGGCAAAAATTAAAAAATATGTTGTTACAGGTTTAGCTGCATCAAAAATGTGCTTAAAAAATTTCTTGTAACAGCCCCATTTTGCCCGACAAGAATTGCTTTTCGAATTAGAGCAGTAAATGAAAGTTGCGTGATGCAGACACCAGATTTTTTTGTTTTGTAGTCATAACTGAGCTACTTGGGGAGGAGGGTGTGATGTAATGAACATGTGTGATGATAACATTATTAAATACGTAACCTCCGTGTAGCCTAAAAAGCAAAGAAGGGGATCCAAAATAAAATAAATAAATAAAAATCTTGCTAGTCAGTGATAGCTAAAGAAATACTAGTGTTATAGTTAATTTGTATAAATAAAATTAGTTCTTCACCAAGTGCAATTTCTTAGGATGTTTTCCATAGATACTAACAAATCCATGATTTTATGAAAACAGAAATTTATGCAGATTAGTTCTTTAAAAGCAATCATATTGAAATGGTCCTATTTATTTTGTAAGGAAGGAATTAATATATTTTCCTTGGTCGATTACAATATTCCATTAAACATAATAGACAAAAATATTTGTACGAATTGTTTTGCTAAGACCTATTTTTAAAAGCTGTCTGGAAAGATAATAAAAGTAATAAAGACAAAATAATGTCCCAATCATGGGATTTTCTAAATTATTATAAAAAATAAAATGTAAGAACAACCAAATGTCTTTAAGAAATAATAAAGTTAATATATCAGCCAGGAAAAAAAGTGTAGTAGACTATTCTAATCCTAAATGCAATATCTTTAAACAGGAAGACATTATTAAGTTCTATAACCAAAACTAATGGACTGTATTTTTGTTAATAATTGTCCGATTTTTTTTTTGTTTTGTAGAAAAAAAAATTTATTTTGAAAATTAGTAATGAAAATTAGTATTCAAGGATCTTCCGAGCTGCAAAATACAAATCTCAACTCTGTTTCTCCTTAAAAAAATATTTCAACACACTTTACTCCTTCGTCAATACAAATTGTTTAAATTATACATATTTGTAATAGATTTTTACGATTTTTTGTTTTGTTTTGTAGGTAATTTAGTTATCTTTATAATTATCATGAGTACAATCAAGAAAAGAATGCATAATTTTTGAGTTATTCACAAATAAAGTTTCTTTTTCTTCATAACTTTTTCCCCAGAAATTTCGGGGAGATAGGACTATTTTTCGCATGTGAAGGAGAAAAATATCTTTAAAATGAGTGGTCAATGATTGGATTTGATGAAAAATTGATGAAGTTATGGCATTCCGACAAAAAAAAAAACACCTTTTAGAAATAATATATAGGATTAAATCAGATAGTGAAATGTAGATAGAAACAGAATTGTTTTCACGAATATTATATATTCTTTCAATTTTTATCTTTGATTTAAGAACCCTTCTTGGCCAGTGGCACCTTCAGCCTATGTTGTATCACTCATGAACCACCTCAGCGTTATGATGAGGATCCACTGTATTAACTATAGTCAGATTGAAAACTGGACCCTGCTGTGCTGCCCTAATATTGATCGGTTTTACCAATATCGAAATTATACCTGTAATCACAGCCTTTGGATGAATAATGGTGCCTCCACAAATAGCTGACAAATCATCCAATCTCTTTCCTTTATCATACAAGGCAACATGCCATGGATATTCAGAAACCGTTCTTTGTTTAAATTTAACCAAAGGTTGTATTCGATTAAATCTGTACCTCTTTCCACAATCTGAAAAAACAATTAGAATGTATAAAAGGAAAACTATAAACATATATCTATATATAAGTCATGATAAAGATCAAATCTTTCGAATTAATAGATATATATTTTTTTAAGATATATTCTTTGTATTTAATTATAACACATGTTTAACATCGAAACACTCTAATTGGCTGTGTGGAGTATCCAATGACATAAAAAAAAGGAGAGAGAGATTGAGTCCACCTTTATTAAAGAGTTAATGCTATGAGTAATCTTAAGCTAATCACAAATAATAAGTGAATTTGCTTTGGCTTTTTAAATAATAGTTGCACCAAACATCTGGATTCATTAATTTATATGATAATAAACACGAGTCACAGTAATGAGAGATATGTTCCTAGAACCAATTAATTTCAAAGTGTAGAATTTTATCCATAAAAATACTAAAAATGAATACTTGTTTATTTTTATCTATAAATAATAATTTAGTACATAAAATACCTAAGCACGATTCGGGTAACGGTAGCCATTTCAATCCTGCAGAACACTCCGCTTCAGTATAAAGTTTAAATGGAGAGCCAGTATAATAACTGCTTTTACAATGTAGTCTTGCTTTTGTACCTAATTTTGCACCACTATTGCAATCAACAGATGTCCCATTCAAATTACATTGTTCTAGTGAAAATGAATTTGGAGAAAATGGAGGGCAACCTGGAATAAATTACTGTAATAATTTTATTTTAATACAAAAGCAGAAAAAAAATTAAGCATGATATTTTTACTCCAAATGAGTGTAGATTCATTTCTACATAATAATTATAATGATTGAGACAAAAGATCTATAAGGAAAACATCACAAGATTAATCTTTAATACTGGAATGTTCTGTCTCTTTATTGACCAAGATCTGATTGACAAAATTGTAATAGGACATCATTAAAGAAATTCAACGAGCTTTCGATTTCTCAACATTAAGAGGTTCTGATGGATAATAAAGCATATCAGCAAATTCTAGAAGACAATAACTAGAATAGATATCCTTTCAAACAGATTCCATCAACCTGCAGGAATAGAAAAAACTATTAGATGCCATCCAAAATGGAGCAATTGAAACCAGTAAAGCTCGAGAACAAGTAAGTTTCAGAAATGAAGATTAAGATCTATATCCTCAAGATGAGGGAGAATAAAATAATATTTCAACGCTGCTCAACTATAATGAGTAGGTAATTCACAATGCATACACATCAAGTCAAAAATTGTGTTGCCTCCATTTCCTTCTATACTTCCTTTTCGAGCATTCATTGACTGGACTAGATAGTAATTACAGGATTTGGAGTTTGTTTCAGACAGCTTTCTAAGGATTTCATTTCTAAAATTTGGATACTAAGTATTGTGATATAGAATTATGAAAATATTGTGCCTTAAAACTAATGGAATATTGAGTGAAGTTTGGTAGTGTTTTAAGAGAGAAGTAAACATTAAATATTCAAGTCCGCATGAAACATTTTGCACCATCACTTCTTTTCATCAACTCCAATTTCTTGCATATTCCATGGTGCAAGAAGGTGTCTGAAAATGAAAGTTTTAAGAGGTGCATGATGTTTAGAAATATGGAGAGATTAGAGGTAAGAGTGCATTCCACTAATTTATCAACGGAAGCAGCAAATTAAATGTTGATGCAAAAGTAAATAAATGTTCTGAACTAAACAAAATTAAATTAAATAATGAAATTATTCACAATATATTCAATTAGATTATTAAAATTATGGAATTAATAAGTATTTCTCACACCAATTGCAATCTTATGTGATACAAACAGAGAAGCTGCATAGCTTACTTTTTTCAAATAACCATGGTTCTGTTATTGATAAGAGAGTTTTGTTGAGCCATGGGAGATGTTTCCTAATGTCTGTAAATGCAGCTATGTTATTTCTACTAACATCTTTTACACTTACAATGCCATATAAATAATACTGTTCTTTATTATTAGTCGTGTTTCGTGGGAACGTTAATCCACCACCACTATCACCATGCTCTACTGCTGTGCCTTAAAACATAAATAAATAATAATAAAACAAAAACAATAGAAGATATACAATATTTCATAAATTATATAATAAACACATTTTAATCGAAAAGCTTGAATGGAAATAATTTACCATTATCAACGCCTGCACAAAATTTGTCAGAAGTAATAAAAAATGAAAAACCTTCTGAGATTCTATCTCTGCATTTTATGAAATCTATGTATTCGAGATTTGCCATCAGTAACTCATCACTCACAGTATTATTTTCTGTTAGACCCCATCCAACAATCTATTTCAAAATAATTATTTATTTTATAATAAATATAAATTGTTTCAGCAACACAGGGAAATTTGAAGTATCCTAAAACGTGACCACTTACTGAAAGAGAGCAATTGTCATATATATATATATTATATATATATGTTATTATTATATTATATATGTTATTATATATATATATATATATATAATATTATATATAATATATATATAATAACATATATATATATATATATATATATATATATATATATATATATATATATATATATATATATATATAATATATATATATATATATATATATATATATATATATATATATAATAACATATATAATATAATAATAACATATATATATAATATATATATAATAACATATATGTATATATATATATATATATATATATATATATATATATATATATATATATAATAACCTAACCATAAAAGAAAATATTGATGACTAATATTTAGTTAGAAATTAGTATATTAAAATTTTTAAGTGACATTAGTGTATAATTAAAAAAAAAAATGTAGTAATCAGATTTGATAGAATGATAATGCATATCCTCAGATTAAGTAAGTGATTCAGAATTTAAAAATGTCTTTAAATTAAATTTTCACCTCATAATTAAGAGGTGTTTCCATTCAAAATCACCTAGACCACATTACTCAACATTTTTGATTCTAATAATTTCTCACCTTAATCCCTATTTAAAGGTGTGTTCACAACTATAATTACGAAATTTTAAGGCTCTAACTTTTTTCATTGTTTTGAACATTTGAATTTATTTTTTAAATGAAAACGCTCTGGGAAAATATCTGTAATTCTGGTAAATTTTTTAGACATTAAATCAAAATGTTCTTGTCTTTCAAAGCATCACCTAAGAAGGAAGGAAAAGGGTAATTAAAAAAAATTGTAAAAATTGATATGAAACAAGACTTAGAATTTTAAAAATGTAATAATAAAAAGAGACTAAGATTTGATTTGATTTTTGATAGATCTATCAATGTGCTACTTATTGAAAAAAATTGATTCATAAAAACCATGTACTTTTTCAAATATGAATTTTTAAAAACGGTCAAAAGCCGTTTGCAGGAAAATATTGTTCTCAAAATCATTGATATGGCATGAAATGTTTATATGTTAACAATAAATTTATTCTATCACATTTGTTAATGTTGTTAAATTACTTTTGGATGAATGTACAAAAACGCACAAAAAAGGGAGTATTTCTTGAAAAAAGTCAGGTAATTCAAATTTCTTTTAATAGTGTTAAGTATATGGTGAGTATAAAAAATCAAATTTTTCGACATTGAATGTATTGTGGATTAGCTCCAATGCTCCAAAAACCACTACAATTTCAGACATTTTTTGGTTTACGCTAAATATTTTCTTTCTATAACGATATACCTAAAAAATTGTTATATTCATCCTTAAAGAGCTTTTTTTTGTAGCGAACATTCTTTTAAACAGGAAAATGAACTATCGATATTTCAAAATGCCTGAAGTTGAAAACATGTAGAGGAAATATGTGTACATAAGAATAAGAAATTTGCCCGGGGAAATTTAGGATTTCTGCTAAAATTAAGTAGGTAGCACTGCCAGAAAACTTTTTAGCTGAATCTAGTGCCTCTGACCCATACTGTTGTTCAATAATATTGAATAGAGTATTTTAGAGTTGGCAAAGTAATTTGTTTTTACTTCATTTGCAAGGTAAGCTAAACTTTGAAGAAAAAATGGACATTGTTGAATACGAAAGATTCACTTATCGAGGAGATTTTGCTGTTTGGAACTCTGATAGGCTCTTTATAGGAATATTGTCTGATATAAACGTTGAGCAGACACAAACTCAGAACCGGATAGAAATATTTCTCCTTCGACCTGCTAATATACTTTTCAAAACACTTTCAAACACTACCACCTTCCATAGTAAATCAATGGGTCAGTATCTTCAACGAAAAAGGTTTAGCAGTATTCCTTCATTCAGAACCTAAATAGTACTATTGTGAAGAAAGTTAGCTTTGAGTGGGTAACAATCTATAAGATCATAAAAAACTGAATAATCATTAATTAAAAAAAGTGGTAGAATAAAATTAATTGAAAAACAGAAATTGCTTATGGATAATTTTATTATAATAACTAGAAACCAGTAAAAACTAAATAAGCATTTTTTTCAAATTTCAAAACATCATTTTATTTTTAAAGATTTGTAGTTAAGTTGTTAGGTTTAGACTATAAAACCTATAGTAAATTTTGTGTCCTTTAATATTTAAGATAAACATGCTTGAGCTACGTCATATGGAAAAACAGATAATAAGAATGAAATTGGATGTAAAATACAACCTAATTTATATTGTGTGAGATATGTTAAAATAGAAAAAAAAACTTTACATGTTTGATTTTTATTTACAAATCCATCATAAATTATATAATTAAAATTATAGTGTTAACAAAATTTTGTATCAGTATATCATGAATGAATTTAAAAGAAGAAAAATGAGTGGGGACAGAAATGGATGAGCGAGATTCAACTTTACTACGATATTATAATACTTACAGTTCCAATAGTGGACAGTTGTTCGACCAAATATTTGGAATTCCAATCAATACAAACTGGCATAATTGCACTGGTAATATTTATTGGTGCATTTAATTCAAGTAGAGCAATATCTTCAGCATATCTATTTGTGAATCCCACATATGTTTCAGGAAATTTTATTTTAAGTACCTAAAAATGGTCAAAATATTGGTAACATAAAATAAGATAGTTATAATATAAAAAATAACGTGAATATGAATGTTACCACGGATCATCTCTTCACTCGAGTATATTCTTTTGTTGTAATCCAAGGCCAGATGCCTTGTAGAAGAATACCATTTAATGTTGTGTAGACAAATAACCTAATTACATAAAACCTAGTGGAAAGACAGCATGGCGATCAGCAATGACAAGGATTCTCTCTTTTAGATCTTTTTCTCTCAAAGGAATTCAGATTATCAACTCCCAACTTTATGTCCAGAACTATGCCAATGGTTTAGCTGTTTCCACAGTGTTTGATGTGGAAGTCCTTACTTCTAAGGAGTTCGACAACTGGGCTTGTTCAAATTTAGTATGCCTCAACTTTTGAACATTAATTTGCAATTCTAATGATTTATTTTTGCTAAGCAATTCTTCAATGTTTTCTTGCTCAAGAGCATCTCTTCTATTTTTTTCAATCTCCTAATATTTTCAAAAGCGAGACCGATTTATTTTCCTAGGGATAGTTTTGACTCTTCGATTTCCTTAGCAATCCATCTTACCATGGCCAATATTGAGGAAGTACTTTCCTCTGATCAATCAATAGCCGCTGCTGCTTGTATCTTGAAAGAAAGATAAAGAAGCTTTACATGAGAAGCTTAACATACAAGTGACAGAGCCAATTCTTTTTAAATGCTGTGATACACTAGTATTAGAAACATTGCAGCATTTTTTGTGGTGTATAAATTTGCATGTAGAAGCTAATGTACACCTCCTGGCCTGGGAAAACCCCATAAAGCCTAAAAGGCAAGGGAAAAAAAAGTTCATTAACTTCCTACCACAGCCTTAAGGAACATTTATTGTTGATGTATTCTTTAGTTATTTACTTTACAATGCTACATAAGCTTCACAACAATGATTAACACTTATGTTGGATACATTGTTAAAGATTTATGTTGATTTAGGTATTAATAAAGACTATTAAATAAATAATTTATTAATAAATAAATTTAATTCCTTAATATTAGTTTAAAATAGAATAAAACTGTGTTGATTTCTTTTTATATTTCATTTTCTTGTTTATACGAAAAAATAAATAAAAAGGAGCAATAAAGGTAATTTTTTTTCCATTGGCAAAACAGTAGGTTTAAAATATTTCTAAGAAAATAATTAGAGATTGTATTCTTTTTTAGCTATCAAAATAATGACCTTGTTAAATATTATATATTGAGAGGAATAGTTCTACTGATCAGAGATGGGCATATGCTACTCTGAGTACCAAGTACCAAGTATTTTACCTTAATTGAATCACTGTTCGGAATCCAATCACTACTTCAGTTAATCGTATTACATCAACTGAAGTAGTAATTAAATTTATTGGTACTAAAAAAAGGTCAGTATTTGAGTAAAATACTTTTTACTCGGTACTCAGAGTAGCATTTGCCCATAACAGGTTCTAATAACACACTTTCAATGTAAAGTTTCAAAACAGCTTTCCATTATCAAACATGAAACCAAGGATATAGAAAAGCTATTCCAATTAAATCTTATGGATAGTTAGTAACTAACATATAATTTTTAATAGGTGAAAGCCACAGGAAATTTCTTCACTTGGTCTCATATTGTGTCTAAATTAAGCAACATTTCCAAGTAATTTCGTAATAGCACATACTTGAATTTCTCATCTTATTCAATGTGGAGTATTTTTTTTATTTAAGTGCTTGTTTTAATACTTCAATGTTGGCAACTTAACCTTTTTAGCCACAATGTGACTAAATCGTGTTCTTGTAAAATAACAAGGTGTATAAAAAAGAAAGACCGTTCTATCAAATTCAAGATTTCAAAGGACTTTAAATATTTTAATCCTATTTAATACTTACCAATACTTAATAATCCTTTTAGAGCATTCTCTAAGCTCGTTTAATCCCATTCAACTTCTTAAAAAAAAGTGTCAATTTAGTTATTTGTTTCAAAGAAGAAACATGACAATGTCCTATGAAATTCTCGGCATTTTAAGGCATTACTGCAAAAAACATTTCACAGCCCGCTGAAGCATCTTGTGAAATTATCAAAGATGAAGGGGAAGGTGTCCTTGACCAGCACACTGTGCGGCGTTGGTTTGAAAATTTTAGCAGCAAAGATACGATGTTGGAAAGGAAGAAGGGCTCGGAAAAGGAAGAAACATTTGACAATTTTAGGAAGTTGGAATTGAGGTCCAAGAGTTCTTTGAGAGCCATCTCAAAGAATGATATCAGCGTGGAATCGAGCAATTGGCTAGCAGATGGCTAATGACAGTAGATAACAATGGACTATACTTTGAGTATTAATTGTATTTCATATCAAAGAAATAATAATACAAACATTTGGTTGAAAAATAGTCATTTTTTTTTATACACACTATTATCATATGTGAACTTATACTATTCGAATGGGAAACAATAATAAATGTTTAATTATTATCAAACCATTGAAAACTATAGAGTATTGTATCGATGAATGCTTGGCGATGAAACTTTGAAACTTACAAAGAAAATTATAAGAATTTTACAGATAAAACAAAGCCTACTGAATAGCTGAAATAGGAGTTTAAACATAAAATATGAATTTTATAATATTTTTCAACATATATCCATTCATAAACAATACCTCCTCTTCAGTAACAAACATAACAAATTTTGTAAATTATATTGGTAGTTCACATTTTATATTGGTGGGACACAATATATCTATCTTAAAACCCAATAAACAACAACAAACAGCTGCTATAAATCAGAAACCAATAGGAAATGTAACTATGATAATATTAAAATAATTACCTCAAATCTTTGTTCACCTGGATCTTTGCGCTTCCATGAGACATAATATTTCCCAGCTATTACAGAAAAAGTAGCATTTTCTATTGCAGAGTAGGTTTCATTATAAATACAATGAGCCGCTAAAAATGAAGTAAAATTAAAATAAATTGTATCATTACTTCTTATTTTTGTTAAATAAGTTGAAATATGTTTGTTAAAAATTATATTAAAAAAATAATTATGAATGGTTCGGCTGTATTGCCAAGAGATTCACATATTGCAGGATGTAGCTGGCGTTATCCAGAGTGGATTGAGAATGTATCATGTGCTCAGGCCATACATGCTATTTAGCAAACTATCGAATCCGTTATCCATATTTCATTAACTTACTTGGTGATAATTTTTTTTTTAATTATCGACGAAGCAGATATCATGGCCACTTTTTTAAAAATCTGTATCAACTGGGTAAAACAGAATAGGAATGCAATAGGACTAGTGGATTGAGGTTATAGCGATTGTGTTGTGGATATACGATTTCACTTGATATATATTGAAAAGAACATTATTTTCAGGATGCCACTGGACAATTATTGAGGATAACTACCCACAAATATTAAATAAAGAAGAATTAATAAAATATAAATAAAAGAAGTTCAAATATACAATATATTACTTTATTTGGTCCAGGTTTAATTGAATTACCTCTCCAAAGGTTGGTTTGTGTTTATCAGTTATTGTAATCAATAACATTACCTGCATTAACTATGGTATACATACGTGGAAGAAATTAACAATGACCTTATCAGAAAACTTAATTTATTAATTTAAAATATACACAAAATTTTCTGATTTCACAAAGATGAAATTCATAGAAGTTCTTAATTATTTGATATTATGAAATGTCACTTAATGACTTTTTTTACAATAAACTGACAATATTTAATATATAGTAAGATAAAGTATTATGATCGTGAACATTTTCTAATCTGAATTTTCAACAAAATACAAATTTTGAGGTGCTCTGAGTCCAAATAACCAAGTTCCACAAAATGGTATGTAGTATGTATGTGTGTGTAGTGTGTACATGAATAGTCTAGCTAAAAAACGAAAAGTTGTACAAAACTGATATTATGTATTTAAGATATGCCTGGGATGTAACAGCAACTTTCTTCTAAAAATCGGCTAACCAGAAGGGCCACTTTATATAATTGATTATATATGTTTTTAAAATTTTCTCAAAAACAGTTTTAACATTTTTGATGTAAAGCAATAAATCAATGTATAATTAAATGACCTTTAATATCAGGTAGGTATTATTTATTCTCATTAATGTCATTTAACAGGGCTTAAATACTTAACTGTCTCATTGTAAGTAGCAATAAAAAATGGCTGAATATAAACTATAAAAAAAATTGATAGTTGACTAAAGAAGGAAAAAATGAAAAATATTTTTTTAGATTAAAAACAAATTTACAGAAGTAATACTCAGAAAATATATATGTATAATATATACATTGAAAAGTGAGAATTTTAGAAAAAATAATATTTAACATATAAATAGAAGGTAATGGAGAGCGACGAAGAAGTTATAAATAATAACTTTTGAAAACTATTACTATCTAAATGTTTATAACCTTAAATACATTTACTATGGTTTAAATTCGATATTGTATATAAATAATTAGATATTCATCGTTGGTTCGTTCCAAAAACTCATTATGTAACATAATAGAAAAGGAGGTTGAAATGGCCCAATACTATCAGGAGAAAGTGGAAAGGATGTCACGGGATATCTACCAATCATGGGATAGCGATGATATTGAGCTGGACAGCATTTATAAATATCATTCTTGATACCGCGAGACTCATTTGTGGACAGAAGCGGATTGGGTCAAATTTCAAGCGAACTGCTTGGTGGACAGAGGATGTAAAGAGAGCAGTTAAGGAGAAGAAAGCAGCTTGGAAAGACTTCATGAGCCAAAGAACACCCGTTGCTCACCAAAAGTACCAAGAAAAGAGAAAGGAAAAAAAAGAGAAAAAGTACTTCTAGCCAAGAGGAAATCATGGGCAGATCTGGGCCGCAAAATTGAAGAAAACGCCAAAGAACATCAAAAACTTTTCTTCAAAGCAATCAAAGAAATGAGCAAGGAGAGACCCACCACATTGAAAGGAATAAGGAGCAGAGAGAGAAACATTGTCTGGCGGGATGATGAGATAATGGAGAGGTGGAGAGAGTATTTTAAAGAGCTGCTGGAAGGAACAGATTGGAACCTAAAAGAGTTCCAGGTTGTAGAGGAAGATTCTTCAGAAGAGGACAATTACATTGATAAAGAAGAATTGCAGGAATCCATCGCCAAGATCAAACTCGACAAGTCACCAAGACTGGACGGAATCACTCCGGAAATGATGAGGTTTATGGGTAGTAAAGGCCAGGAAATATTTCTCCATCTTGTGAACCTGGTCTGGAAAAAGAAGAAGATCCCGAAGGACTGGGAAGTCGCAGTCATAGTGCTAATTTATAAGAAGGGAGACAACAGGGTCTGCAACAATCATCGAGGTATTTCACTCCTTAGTGTTCCCAGTAAAATATACTCAAAAATCCTAGAGGCAAGGGTCAGAAGCATCGTAGAATCCAAGATTGGAGAGGAGCAGTATGAATCCAGGAGTCAAAGAAGTGTACAGGATCTAGTTTTTACTATGTGACAAAGCACAGAGAAATTGTAGATCTCTGCAAAGCCTTTGACTGGGTTAGAAAAAAGGATATAATTGAGGCTCTAGTTGAAAAAGGTGTAAATAATGGACTTTGAGAGCCATAAGCAGTTTATACGGAAATAAGAGGAATCTTGTTAGAACAAGAAACCATACCTCTCGAGAGTTCAAAACAACACTGGCCATACGACAGGGTTGTAGCCTGAGTTCGCTTCTTCTTGTACTGGTTCTCGATCTGACATTGGGAAAAGAGAAGATGTGAAGCTTTCAGTTGGGTCACAGAGATATGCAGTCTACTCTATTCTCTCTGCTGGCATTTGTGGATAACCTTGTCATATTAGCCCAGAATGACCGTGACCTCCAGAACAACATTAATATCCTAAAGGAAGATTTAAGAGAAATCAATGTGGAAATTAACACAATTAAAACCCTGAGAAGATGAAATGCATGCACATTGGAAGAAAACCTCACAGGGTTATGAGAATATTGAGAGTCGACGGTGAGATTTTGGAGCAGATGGAAAGTTTCAAATACTTGGGTGCTCAACTCAACAAAAATGGATATATTGACGAGGAGGTAAGGCAGAGAATAGGAGCTGCTGGAAGAATGTTCGGCTCAGTTAGGAAAGGCTTTCTGAACCGAAAAGAGGTGGCCAAGGAAACGAAGATGACGGTCTACAGATCAGTATTCCTTCCTATACTAAGGTATTCTTCCGAGTCCTGGACACTTACTTCAAAACACAAGAGCCAGATCCAGGCTCTAGAGATCCGAATCCTGCGAAAGGTGGAGGGAAAGACTAGACAAGACAGAATTCGCAATACTACAAACCAGATCAATCTCAACGCCAAAGCTGTCGAAACCATAATAGAAGAACATAAGTCAAGATAGTTTGGGCACCTTCTCCATATGGATCGGAACAGAGTCACAAGGAAGACATATGAGACTCCCGTGCACGGTAAGAGACCGAGAGGAAGACCCAGAATCTCCTGCAAAGAAGGCGTGTGAGATGCACTCCAGAAGCGAGGTTTAGAATGGAACAGGAGACGAGAAATGGTATTGGAAAGGTCCAACTGGTCCAAGCTCTACAAGAAGTAACTTCACACTGCATAAGCTGTAAAGAAGAGCTTGATCATGATGATGAATAGTCAATCATAAAAAAATATATTGTACATTATTCAAACAAAAATATATTTTAGAGGTAGGAGATGGTCCGGGGTGGTGTTCATAGAGAGACTAAAATAGTGGAAAAACTATTTTATATCAAGCCAACATTTCGACCAGACTTTGCAGGTCTTCTTCAGGGAAGTACATTCAGGAAATAGTTTCATTTAAACTACAGTTGTTAAAACTCTTTAAGACCGTCACCCCGGACCATCTCCTTCCTCTACAATATAGAATGGTAAATCATTAAGTATTCAATAAAAATATATTGTACATTATTCAAACAAACAATAGAAATCAATTTCTAGAATTTTTATTTAAAAAATAACAGTAAAAATTATAAAATAAAAGCTGTGCTGTACTCTAACATTCTCTTAAAACAGGGGATGTTATTACAAATTTTTGTCTAGATTACTTATTATCTTTAGCTCTTTTTAATCTTCTATTTCTATTAATAAGTCAAGTCAATTTACCAGTCAATATAACTTTTGGGTGAAGTATACTTCCTCCACAAATGTAGTCAGGACTTTCATCAGTATGGTACTTTCGATAAAGTGCTACATGCCAAGGAAATTCTGAACGAAGAGTTTTTCCACCAAACGATATAGCAGGTTCATAACGATTCAAAGCATATCTAATTCCACAATCTAAAACATCATAAATAACAATATAGTAAATGTAAATAACCTAAGAAATAGTAATATATTATTTAATTACATATAAAGTAAAAACTCCGATACAAAAGTCTGTTCAGGAAGGCAAAAATAGTAATATATAAAATGGTGATTAGACCGGTTGCTTTGTATGGCAGTGAGACGTGGACTATGACCAAGGAAAACAGGAGAGCCTTGCCGGTGTGGGAGAGAAGAGTCCTAAGGAAGATCTTTGGAGCAGTCAGAGAGCAGCATAGATGGAGAATAAGAAGCAACACAGAGTTAATGGAGTTATATGGAGAGCCAGACATCCTTAGTGTCATTAGAAGGGCAGATTCAGATGGCTGGGTCATGTTGAAAGAATGGATCTCAGTAGACTTCCAAAAATGATGCTGAATGGTACTCCAGGAGGGAGAAAACAGAGGTAGACCCAGACAACAATGGTTGGATGATCTGGAAGAAGACTAGAGTTGGCTGGGGATCAGAAATTGGAGAAATCTTGCTGCGGACCGTGAGGAGTGGAGGAGAGTGGTGACAGAGGACTGTAGTGCCCATTGAAGAAGGTATAGTAAAAAGTAAATTGGAATTATCAATTATTTAAAATAAATTGTATTAAAAGTTTTTACTTTATTAATTTTTGTTTTTATTGTAATGAGCTGCTTGTACAAAGTTTCTAATTTGAAGTTTAATTTTAGTTATATTTTAACTCTAGATTAAAAAATATGTAATCTATTCCCATGTATTCTTTTAATTGAAATTTGTGTTAGAATGTATTATGTTTTGTTCTCCTGATAGAAATGAGGATAATTGAAGAGAAAATTGGATGGGATGTTTAGTCAAAAAAATGTAAAAATAAATAAATTACATTTATTTTTGCCAAAAATTTTATTTTGCAAAAATAAAAATAAATATAATTTATTTATTTTTACTTAACATCATAACCAATCTTCTCGTCAATTATTCACTACAGTCAACCATCAATGAGGATCTATCTTTGTAAAATTGATGAGCTAAAATAACCGTTATTTTAATTAATGATATATATTCTTTTAAACAATTCATATATCACAATAAATTTGTTTTACTTTATTCAATCAATGAAAATATTGTATTAGTGTATTTAAAATTGACTTACTATCTATCAGATATAATTCATTATTGTTGGACCATTTTAAATTATTTTTTAATATTATTTCATTTCAATTTGTAGTAAATAAAAAAAATTGTCTAAACAAGTAAATTTACAAATAATTGTATAACATACCATGACATTCTACAGCTATGCTTCCACCTAGGACAATAAAACAGATATCTATGTAATATTTATGTAATTTATAGCAAGAATCAAATTAAAAACAGAAAAATAAATATAATATATCATACGAGTGGCGTCATATCAAAGATGGACATCTGCCATTTTCAAAAATTGGAGAAGTCAATTTTTGTTGTATAGTTTCTGATAATTTCATTGAAGAATGTTTAAATTGAATCGTGAAAAACAAAAATCTTTAGAACTGGTTTAAATTGAAGGTATGTGCACAAAAATTCACTTTTTATCCACTTTATGAATATGACAGGCCATCTTTGATAAGAGGCCACTCACTCAAATATAGTTATTTCTAAACTTTGGAGTGGTAAATGTTAACAAAACTAATTTCTTTTTATATTGTGTATCTAACAGACCAGAATGCATTATTATTCCTATCAATATACTTATAGATTAAGGGTAATTTATACAGTTATAAGAATAAGAAACTGTATATAATTCTAAAAAAAATGTATTAAAAATAATTTATTCTTTCTGCCTGTAATGTAGACGAGTTTTTGAAATAAAAAAAGTTTAAATATCTTTGGAAACCGGAGGCATATTAGACATACCTAATAAAGTTCAGTATTATAGGTAAATTAAAAAAAACAAATAAAAAGGAAAAATTTTAAAATATATTGGGCAAAGTTTAAAATATATGAAAAAACTTTAAGGAAGTACAATAAAAATAAATAAAGAAAAACAAAATAATGTAAATACACAATGACTTACTAAGAATCCAGAAATTCTCTATCTGAAATCATAAATAAATTACCTTTCTTCATCGAGAACTTTGCCAGTCTAAAGATTAAGTTGTAGATTAAATGGATCATCAAACTAAAATTGTTATGATTAATTAAATTTACAGTTGCTCTATGGTATTATTTTGTTAAACCATTGAATTATAAATTTTACATTCGCATTTATAATGAATTTTAAGGTTTCAAAACATACATATACATTTTATTGATGATAAATGATTTATGAACTTAAAAAATATTGTCTTTATACAGACACTTCAAAGGCCTCTACTAACAAAAATAGATAAGTCAATTTTGATTGTTTTTAAATGTCAATTTTTGAAAAGCTTATTATAGGACTAAAATAGATATTTACTCAAAAGTTAATTTACAAAGCAAAACATAAAGCTACAAAGAAGGCAAACCGAAGTGTCAAAAATGTATTCTACCAGTAGCAAACAAATAACAGGTTTCTTTGTGTTTGTTCAGCTGTATTTAAAATTTTGAAATTGTCCCTCTTTGTAACTAGATGCCTCATTTATCTGGAGTAGTTATTTAAGCAACTATATCAAATTTTTCATAAGATTAGCCAGATTAGAATAATGTTACCTTGACCATGAAAGATATTAATAGTATACCTGAATTATGGAATGCATTTCCTAATTAATTTATATTCCATTGGTCCTTCATTAATTTTGAAGTTTTGTTAAGATTCTTGACGAAAATTACTGGAGTGGAATGATGAAAGATACACAAATTTACGACCAAGTCGAAAGATAAATTTCTATTATAATCATAACAAAATATAAACGTGCAAATGTCCTTACATGAAACCAAGATAATGAAAAGGGACAACATATCCAGGCAATTTTGGCCTAGAGCATAGGCAGAACTATTGACCTTGTCAGACAGTTCTTAAGGAAAAGGCAGGAACTGGTTTTTGGGAATTCTTAATTTACCATATTACTATCACGATTGCAACGTCATTTAGTTTCTATTTTTTGGGCATAGTGTATCTCTGTATTATTTTTTTTCTTCAAAAAATCACTAACAAAATACATATTTTATAAACGAATTGTCAGGTTGCTGGTCTACAAAAATTCACTAATAAATTAAAATTCATGAATTCATAATAAAAGGAAAAAGATGACGGGAAGCATGTTGTCCTCTCCCCCCAATATTTCTTAAGTGATAATAATAATCCGCTTATAAAGCATTGACGTCATTACTTAGAAAATATTGGGGAGAGGGGCAAGATTAGCGGTGCTGATCTTTGACATTTGGAGACCCCGCGCAATGACGACATCTCCTTCCAAAAAATTAAATTTATATCTTAGCCTGTTTTATATCACGTAATATTTGAAAAGCATTTCATTCAATATTTCTCTAATTCAGTATTTTTGTTAATAAGCTAAAATTATTTATTTTCAGACTTTGTAATTTTTTTTATTCATAACAAGTGACGCCTCTCTTCAGCTCGGCGCATTGGGGCAATTGTCCCGTTGCTCAGCCTTGAGGCCGTCACTGACATGCACTAGCGGATCCTGGGTTTAATTTTTGGGGGAGGAGAGCTTCAGCCCGAGAGCTTTTTTTTTCATACATATAACGATAATTACTTTGGAAAAAAAGAAAGATACTAACTACCTATACAAAATAGAGTTTAAGTAATTCTTGAGGTCCTATTAAATGTAATTATACGGACAATAATACTTTAAGAGATAATTTTTTACCGTAAAACATAGTTACGTATTACCACTTTGAGAGGGAAGGGGGCTTCAGCCTGAAAGTCCCTCTCCACCCGTAGTTCCGCCTATGCTGAAACGAGTCCAGTTAGAATGTTACAGTTAAAGTCACATGGTGTCTTTACCTTGATGGCAGGGATTTCACTGTGTAGGGTAACTGGATCATAGGTTTTACAGAATCACTGATATCATCCGTGACGCTGCTGAGAAATCTCTCCAGCACCGGAAGGCGAGAGCTCAACCTGTCCCATAGTGGACACCGGCTTTAACCACCACGAAGAGAGAGCTCTACAAGGTCCAAGCTCTACTATAACGAGCCTGACGTTTGTACCATCTGTATAGTTGCGATGAGAAGCACACTAAACTTCGTGATGAGTACAGGTCTAAAGCCAGGGTATACCAAAACGAGATGCGCCTACATGAATGGAAGTATTCGGGTGAATTTATCGTTGAGGAATCATCTAAGAACCCCTGAGGTATCCCGTACAAAGTAGCCTTGGGTAAATTGACTCCAATGCAAGTAATCGCCGCGATAAAGTGTGACGGTACCCAGGCAAGAACCACAGAAGAATCGGCGAAGATGTTTAATACAGAGACTTACACCAGGGATGATCCATCCCAAGATAATGAAGAGGAGGAGTTTGTAAGACGCACTATAGTATACCCTTCCGGCACGGACCTGTACCTACCATGGGACATATGGGATCTTCGCACTGCTGTGGACAAGCAAAAGACTGGTCCTGCCCCGGTTTAGACGCCATTGACGCGACAATTTTCAAGAACAGTATTCTCGAAAATTGAAGAAGAAAGATTGCTGGCTGTTTATAATGATTGTCTAGTAGACAGGAAATGCTTCCCAAGAAGCTGGAAAATTGCTTAACGTCAAGCTCATTTAAAAAGGAAGAGACAAAGATAAGCAATTATCCAAATCTTATAGACCTATATGTCTCCTCCCCGTCATGAGCAAGGTGTTAGAAAACCTGATACCAGCCTACGGCCAGTCTTCTCAAGAGCGAGCCATCCACGGCAGTACGGATCTTATAAAGGCAGGGGAACAACAGATGCCCTGTTGAGAGTGCGCCGTGATGTCGAAGAGAAGGCGGAGAAGTATGTTATACTTCTCCTGTTTGACATATCATCCGCCTTCGATAGCGTATGGTGGCCGAGCGTACTCTATCAGTTGCAAAGGTATGAAGCTCCTAGCAACTTGTATGGCTTGATCAGAAGCTATGAAGTGGAAGATACGGTGTAAAGGTGTAGTCCACAGTGCTCTGTCCTATGGAAACAGCATCTTTGACGAGTTGCTGGGAGTGCTAGAGCAGGAGCGGTTCCCCGCAACTGCATATGTAGATGACCTAGCTGTTGTAGTGGGCTCGAATAGCAGGGTTAGATTAAAATATGAAGTTGAATGTTGCCCCTCCCTTGTGTAATAATGGTGCGAGGGAAAGAAGTTAAGGATGGCGGGTTCCAAGACTCAGACCATCCTCTTGAGAGGCAAGACCGATAGAGCACACTCCATAACCTTGGTGATATAAGGTCCTTCACCAATTCATCATTCACCTATCTTGAAATTAGGATTGGAAAAAAAAATTTAAGAAATAGGGTAACCTCAGCTTTTAATGGTCTCAGTCACGTAGGGGGAGGGGCCTTTTGGGGCCTTAGATATCCAGCAACTATGTCCATTTATAAAGGAGTAGTTCTTGGTATCCTGAGATAAATGTCCTCTGCATGGAACCGGAATCTCTCGTACCGTCAGATGCGCAGATTGGCAACAATCCAGCGGATGGCCCAGCTTAGAGTAACCAGGTCATACAGAACTGTGTCTCATGAGGCGGTGCAGGTCTTAGGAGGAAGTATTCCTCTCGACCTTCTCCTGCGGGAAGACCCTTTTCGGCACAATATTAAGAGGGATGGCTTGGCGGATTTACCAGCGAACATTCGGGAGAGGATTTTTGAAGACCCCAAAAGATGGAAGATGATCCTCCGGGAGGATACATTGGAACAATGGAATCGGCGATGGATGACAACTCCAAACGAGTCCACATTGAGAAAATTCTTTCCCACCGTTGAATCGCGCCTAAAAAAGAAATGGGTCCTCCCGGACTACTGGGTCTCACAGATCCTCACGGGGCATGGGAGTTTCAGAGCGAAACTTTTTAAACATGGTAAAAACATCGATCCCTTATGCCTCAATTGTGGAGTACCTAAAATCGCTGAGCACATCCTTGTAGCCTGCGCCAGCTATGAGGTACTGAAGGCCAAATCCCAACCGATGTCTCAAGAAAACTACCCGCTCTTTAAAAGCTTTCTATGTGAGTGGAAAAAATCTGTTGGCCCAACCCACTTCTTCCTGTTTAAGCGTGAAGAAGCAGTACCTGAAAGGCCGCTGATTAGAACGGAGCGCAAGCAGGATATCCTGGTGAAAAGGCCGATTGTATTAGGAACAGGAGAAGAAGATGAAATTAGAGAAAAATTATCAAGCAGGCTGTGTGCATAGCAATTCATCGCAATGTAAATAGATAAATTTGCAACAGTGATTTGTTATGCAGGAATGTGTATCAAGTCACTGCTGCAAACTCCCGTATTTTCTTAAAGGCAGGATAGGTAATTTATAAGAAAATCACTTGAAAATCAATGTGACCTTTGTTAAAGCAATTGAAGACTATCCTGGAATATAGGATATTACAAGTAAAGAGTACTCAAATAGGGATGCAAAAGAGAAATCATGGAATGCCCTGACACAAAAATTCGAATCAACAGATAAGAGAACTATGTACTTTAAATTGATTTGGGCCAGCGAAAACAAATACACTTATTTAAATATCAATTACTATTAAAAAAATACTATCATCATCATCATAATCCTTTCCCTCTCTACCGCTGAGCAGTATGGGGATGTCCTCTACAGAGCTTGACCCATGTGTCCCTCTCCTGTACCACCTCTCTCCTCCCCTGCCAGTCCAGCCCTCGCTTCCTGAACGCCTCCCGTGCGGCTTCTTCTCAGGTGATCCGTGGTCTTCCTCTTGGTTTTCTACCGTCCACTCCTGTCTCATACGTTATCCTGGCCGTTCTTTCCATATTCATCCTTAGGAGGTGCCCGAACCACCGAAGTTTATTCTCTTCTAGAGTGGTTTTTATCGACTGTACCTCGAGGTTTGACCTTATTGTCGTGTTGCGGATCCTATCTCTACTGGTCTTTCCCTCAACCTTTCTTAGGTACCTCATCTCCATTGTCTGGATCTGTCCCTTCTATTTTGAGGTAAGGGTCTATTATTCGGAGGAGTATGAGAGGATGGGCAGGAACTTTGACTTGTAGACAGATAACCTTGTTTTCTTCGTCACTTCTCTTTTGTTAAGGAAACCTTTTCGGATTGAGTGGAACATTCTTTCAGCTGCTCCCAGCCTTTGCGACACCTCTCCATCGATATAGCCACTTTCGTTGATGCATGCACCTAGATATTTGAAATCCTGAACCTGTTCCAGGGTCTGTCCTTTCAACCTCAATATTCTCATAACTCGGCGGGAATGTCTACCTATTCTCATGCATTTTGTCTTCTCTGGATTAATATCCATGTCAATGCTAGAAAGCTCTTCTTGCATGATATTTACGCTGTATTGTAGTTCTCGGTCATCCGCAGCGAGTATAACGAGGTCATCGGCAAAAGTGAGGACTCTGTATAAAGTAGGCTGTACACTCCTATATCCCAGTTGAAAAAAGTAGAGGACTTAGGCTACACCCCTGCCGTATTCCCTGCGTCGTTTCAAACTCCTTGGATGTGTGGTTGCCAGTCCTTATAATATTTCTGGTCTTTCGATAGAGACTCCTAACAGCCATTCTCCAGGATGGAACTTGTCTTTCAGACAGAGCACGCTCTATATCTTCCTCTTTGACTCTGTCAAATGCCTTTTTAAGATCCACGAAGCAGATGGAAAGTTCTTTCCCTTTCTCGATGGACTTTTCAATGACCTGCCTCAAAGTGAAAATCAGGTCCTGTGTACTCCTCGAGTTTCTGAATCCATACTGCTCCTCTCTGATCTGGCATTCGACCACTCTTCTTACCCTTGCTTCCAGGATTCTTGAATAGAGCTTACTTGGCACACTGAGCAGAGATATGCCTCGATGATTATTGCATTCTCTATTATCTCCCTTCTTGTAAACAGGCACCGCAACAGCGATCTCCCACTCCTTCGGTATCATTTTCCTATGTCAAATCAAATTTAAGAGATGGAGAAACATTTCTTCACCTTTACTGCCCATATACCGTATCATTTCGGACCGTATCATTTATCATTTAGCATGAAGCCCTGCAGACTTGCCCAGCTTCATCTTAGAGATAGCTTCCTGCAGTTCTTCCTCGCTGATAAAATCATCATGAATCGTTGACTACTTTGAAATCGACAAACAATGGTGAACATTCT